ACATTGAAAATGAAAGTAGTTAAGATGTTTTTTGTTCGTTGTCGAATTTGTTGGTGAACTTTTTGAACTAATGTCGATGCCACTATGCCAATTAATCCCAGTAAGGACAAGAAATATCTTCAGCAGACTAGATTGAATGAGAAACGAAAGTGGAGTTTTTTTCAGTAGTGTAGAGCGGGTCTATATATTTTATTACCTTTTGAGATTCCCTACACTCTTTTGATTATTTTTGCTTATCTAGTCTAACCGAAGCGGATTTTCAATGTTAATATTTTTTTTCTGTGTTTAAAATCAATTATTCCGGTGTGATATTATTTTTATTAGTTGAAACGCAATGTTTAAAAGCACGGGGTGGCCCGTTTATAAAGCACCACTACTTTATCTCAGGAACTAGAAGAGATTTAACAAAAAGTTAAATACAAAAGTTGCTTAGGTTAATTTTGGCGATTCATTTATTACACTTTCATGTTTACAGAGTGACTCGTGTCGCCGTAGCTATTACCAACTTTTTTATTTGAAATGGAACACCCTGTATATTAATACTGGTTTCTATAATAACTTGGTATTTTGGATCTCTAAGTTTCTGGGTGGTGGCTATTTTATTTTTATACACAAGATCTTTAAGAGTACTCCACAATAAAGTCCGGTGGTGTTTGCTGTGGGCTCCTTTTGGGCCAAGGATAATCACCAATCAATTCCTTATATCGTATACTTGAATTGTTTTCTATAATCAATTAAAGGTTCAATATCAGTTACAATTGAAGATACTGTTAAGAATTTAAATTACCCTAAAAGAGCACTCTCCTCGCACACCTTCATTGAAATTCTTCACTTCAATCGTCTTTTTCTTGTTTTTAGGGCTCCAGTAATGATTGTTTTTTCCATTGAATATTTTAACTGAAGTAGTGAAAACCCGTCAGACCAAATAATGGCATTAAAAATGTTTTCGTGGAAATTTCTGTCAATAAAAATAACGCAGTGCTCTAACATAACACTAAAATCCAGCAGTTCAAGTTTCTGTACCGGCATAAACTGGTAGGGCTTCCATTTATTAATCCAAAAGCAAGATGGCAGCGTTGTTCTTTTAGTATTAAGATCGAAACATGTTTTCTGAGTCAATGTTTCATGACTGTTTTCAAAGTGCAATAGAATATCTACCTGCTTTTGTTCACTGACTATCTGACGACGCCATTTCTTTTTTTGTAATACAGACTCTTTCCTAAACTGACGGTATATTTTGTAAAATGTTTTTTTCTCTGAAGTTTGCCCCTATAGCTTGACTTTTATTACTTAATAAATAACAATCTACAATATCAATTTTCTCTCTTATCTCGTTATGAACGAAAAAAAAAAGTAATAAAGAAAAATAACTATTAGTATAAACACTGGATGAAGGACACGTCAAAATTATTTACTGGTAAAATAAGAACAATTATTGCTGTCAAACCTATTATTGCAGAATTCATGGCTATTGGAGAATTTACGATGCATGTTTTAAATGTTCTTTAATTCTACAGAATATTTCAAAATTCGCAGCAGATATTTAAAGGCTGTATTCTTGAGCTAATTTTATTTAGAAAATAGGTTTTACACCAAAACTAACTATTAATTCAGAAAAGGTGATTTGTAGATATATTATATATTGGTGGCATTGCGGGGTGTGCATTTGAAGAAAATGAGAAAACTGTTGATGTGCGAAGTATGGCAACAGTGTAAGATTTTTTCATTTAAAAATGCAAGTTTTCCAGAATAAATAAACGATATTATTATCGCAAAGAGAATTTGAAACTCGAATACATTACCAGCTTAAATATCGGGCCAATAATGAAGGTGAATGAATTCCTCCTTCAAAGGTATATCAGTTTAAATCAGTATTAATATACAGGATGTTGCGAGAATACAAAGTGACAAAATCGAGCAAAACTCAAATAATGTAATATCAGAGAGTGAAAGACTCTTTGTTGTTGAAAGGGGGCTAACATCATATTTACCCTTTAAAATGCTGTAAATTAAAGGTTTGGTTATTTAAAAAAAGGAAAATAATTAATATTTCAAACCGGCTCTAGATTAATATAGGAGACCATTAAGCAAACATAATCTGAAGAATAATTGATAAATAAAATAAATGGAATATATATGTTATTAGAAGCAGCAACACTACACATTTTAATTCGCTGAGGCAAAGGTACTGTCTAAGCGTCTATCCGCAAAACTAAAAAAGAATTTTTTATAAGGCATAATTTATTTTTTTAATAATTATTATAACATGTAATTATAACCAAAATTTTATTTCTTTATATTTTTGCAAATTTCCACCCGATTCGTATCAAACGTAAAAGATGCGTTGTTGCATCGTATGCAAAAAAGTTAAGATATCTAATTTGTTTTAAATTAAAATAGATTTGAAAAATTATTATTATTATGATCATCATCATCAAAAAAAAAAAAACAGTAGCTTATCATTTTTTCTTAATAATACTCAGTTCAAATACCTGGCGCACGCGAATGGTAAAAATTTTACAAAGTTTTTTTCACTAAATAATGTTGTTCGACACTCGAAAGATGTTTAATGAATTTCATAGAAACATCTAGAGTAATATGACATATGATAAAAGTTCTGCAACGATGTACACCATGTATATTATCTTGCCGCTTGTCCGGCTTAATATAATTTAGTTTGGATGATGAATTTTATTGCATCTTTCGAAGTACGTGACGTTCTTCAAAGATTTGGTGTTTAGGTTAATCGGTCATCTGATGCGCTATAAGATCCCACGCGGATTTCTAAAACTGAATAATCATTTTAGCTTAAGCTTTAGCTTAACAAAATTGTCACTTATCCGCTTTAAACAAAAAGATCAAAAGAAAGTTAAAACATTGTTCGTCACTCCATCTAATCCCGATCGCGATCTCAAAACATGGAAATGAAATTAGGATCTTATAATAGACAACAAATAGAAATTCAATTTGAATCACAGTATCAATTGACACAATCAACTAAACAAGCTATGATAATAATTAGTTTCTTTCACGTTAGGTACAAGCCTAATTAATTATAAAGTTTTTTGCAACTTAGATGAAAAAAAAAAACTTAATAAAATGAAAAAAAAAACTCTCACCTAAAGAATTTTAGAAACACTAGGAGTCTTAACTGTGAATGTAAGCGGAAAACTAGATATAGAACATAGGATATCGTATCAATATTAAATTTAATTGGGGTCCTGCACTCTGAAATGTATTTGGTTATTTTTATACATTTTATCTAATTTACTAGCAAAATCTTTCACAAATTTGGATTTTTTAAAAAATCTGCACTTAGCATACAATCTAAATCATTAATATGTCATAATATGAATATGTCAGTAATTTGCACACAGTCGTTAACTACACCTTTCCAGATGCTGCTTTTAATTTTAAAAAACACAAACCACATGTCCCTTATTCGGATTTAGCGGTCTCTAATTAAAAATTAAGACTTCTTCGTCACTAGTGTCAATCTTATGTATTGACACTAGTCCTATGCGTACAGTCCGGATCCTTATACTAAATATTGGCTTAGAGAAAGCTATTATACCAAAATTGCATAATTACCAAAACGTCTACGAGTTACAAGGTCATTGATAAAGTTAACTAACAACACTAAATATCTAACCACAATTTGAGACATGAATCAAGACAGTTTTTACGGGCCTACGATAGTTAATAATTGTTAGATGCTTATTAGAGCATTATTAGAGACGCATACAAAAGAAGAATCAGCATCTGACCGTAATCCTGAAGATTTTTTTCCCATTTTATAAAAAGTTCATATAACTTTTCGCACTGTTATACGCATAGTTACAAAGTTACAAGAATAAGTTCCAGAATGGCACAAAATCATGATTAAAATTTTGTTTTCAAAACATTCCACGATTTTCTCTATTTTGAATAAATTTTTATTTTGAAATTTGACGATACTCTCCTTTGACCATGAGTTTTATAAATTATGAGATAATGATAAAAACTGCCATTACGAACAGGCAAATACGAAGTTCATCAGTAATGTATACAAAACAAAAATTATGTTTTATTTGTGGTTTATTATTTTTAATCTGTGTTTTGACTATTAGTTTATCGAAAGTAAACAAGTTACTTGGCAGCGACAATGGCAAAAATGTGATGTATGCGCTGTACAAATAGACTAAATTAATTTTTGTACGCGTGTTAATTTTGTTTCTTACATTTAATTTTCATGTAAGACCGTTCTGTTTTCTGAGGCCGTAAATCTTTGCATTAATGATTTAAAGCAGCCAAAAAGACCTGAAACTTTTACATTCCGTAATATCTACGAAAAAAAAAATTGCGTATTATGTGTTGACGATTTGGTTACTGTATTTTTTGTTCTTATAATGTAACTTTCAAATTATCATAAAAGCACTATGTCTCCATCATTTTATTTAAAATGTTAACAAAACCGATTTCAATTGTTATGTAGATTTAAAAAAGACTGCAAAAAATAATTTTGAACAATGAAAAAATACAGTTTTTAAAATTAATTGGCCCACTTTTAGTGTCGCCCAATATAATTTTAATAGATCATCAATTTATACTTCTAGAACTGTGCACTGCTACTTCGTATCTGCCCGGTCGGATTTAGTTTTTCTTCAATTATCGTAAAAAATATTTTTTTCCCCGACATTAATATCATAACTGTTGTTAGTGAATATTTTTTTATGGAAATTTTTCATGCGTTATAAATATAAGAAATTGAAAAATGTTCATTTGTCCAGATGTATATTTTATGCTTTGAAATACTGACAAACATAGAATTTAGAGGAATAATGAGATCCTGTTAGATTTACAACAGAGTGTTTAACATTCAAAGGTTAGGCAACGATAAGTATAGGTTTAATTCCGTAGATGATCAAATACTGATTCTTTCCATTAAATAGTTATAATTATTAATATTTAGTTTGGTTTAGTTTCTGTAGTTAGAATAGTATATTTCATCAAGATCGTACCGATTCTTTTGACGTGAACGTCTCGATTGAAAGACACTCTCGGTTTTTGGGAAGCATCGGATCGGTTCGAGTCGGAACGACTTATTTCCGTTGCTGACATCGTTGCGTTTGTGACATCGAATGCTCTGTATTCCTGAAATGGGCAACTTCAAACTTAAAGTACAAATTATAAAATTGGTTGAAGTAAATATCGTAGTCCTTGCTAAACGGAATTGGCATCCCTATAATTTTCAAAAATATATGATTAAAAAAGGGTTTCTCAATTACTTCCGGTCCCCCATTCATTTACGTAATTTTTTTGAATATCAGGCAATATAGATTTTGTGAGGCAAATTTTATATAGAGTGCGATGGGCAGGAATGGTCAAGTTTAATTTATCGTGCACGTGAATGGTACATAACTGTAATAAGCATTGCGGAATACTCAACCTGTTTGAGTTGAGAGCATAAATCGTTTACTAGAGGGTACTTTGTGATATCATTCTAATCGTTTTCTTTGAACTAAGTGTTTGTGAGATATTTTGAGCATTTTTAGCGGTGTTTTGTGAACGTAGAATATCTGAATATCTACTAATAATTGCATGCTGGTGTTAACTAATAATTTTTTTTTGAAATGGTGAATCCTTGTGTTGTATATGAGAATACCCAGAATAAGCTGATAATTATCCGAAAAACAGAACATGTGGTGAAGTCCAGAAGGTTATATATAAATTATAGTTAACATATAGTAACATTGGAAGGTGGTTTATTTGCACGGGATAATATGTGGCATTATTTCGAATAGTATAAATATACGGAATATACAGCTTCATACAAAGTTACTCCAATTTTTAATTCTAGATGAAGTGATTTTCGCCGGTTTTTCAATTTGGCTTTTTTTTATAATTACCAAATTGCCAACAACATTTGTTAATAGAGGCCTCTTTTTGCAAGAAAAGTCGCTTAATTGGCATTATAAAGGAATCCTCATGCTCAGACATTAAGAATTTAAACTGATTTATGTATCAATTTTGTTGATGTGTATATCCATCTAAAAAAAATTCAGGTCATTTTCAAAAAGAAAGTTTTCCCGCCATTACATGCTTTGATTTGTATGCGTCTTTAAATTGGCAACAAGTTGTGGTTCCTTTTTTTTCGTACGCTTTAACTTCAAACAGTGATCTAACGAACGAATAATAAAATTACCCAAAATTGTTGCGTTGCCACAAATGGCAGAAACGTTCGTTCTGCCAATTGGCAGAAAACGTGATGACCTCAACTTTGTACATGCAATAAGTTGATTACCTTTCCGTAAGAAACACGAAACCGGAGTAACAAACATTTAAATACAATAAAACTACCAGATTTTGCACAAATTGAAGATGTTTTCAATAATAGAGGCTTAAATATGATGTCCTGAATATGCGAATAATTACAGACTATTAGAATGTTGAACGAAAAATATCTAAATGACGTTATGTCAAATCAAAACAAAAAATTCTCTGATTCGCATTTAATTTATGTATCGGTATCATGAGTCTGATTTTTTTCTACTACGCTCCTATGCCGCATATACAGAGGATCCTGTTTTCCATAATAGGAAGGCCTCAACTTTCGTTTTGCTGAAGTCGGTTATGTCAGAAATTCTTCTTTTTTTTTGTATTTGGAAACCATTTTTCGCCTTTGCCGGTGCACGCATCTTACCGTATACCTCCAAAGGCAAAGGTGATTCTCTTCATTTTGGTTAGTTCTGGTTCCACTTTTTTTTATCATTTAACGCATGCGACAAATCAATTTGCTCCAGCATTCTGTACGTTAAGCTCCGATACGCCATGATTAATTTTTCTAAATTCGAGCAATCAGTTTATCTTTGAAATGTAAAGTTAAAACATGTTTTTGTGTAGTCAAATTTTAGGCTTACATTTTTTTTAATGTGGGTGGTTTCAGGTAACAAAACATATTTGCTGCACCCATATATGATTTCATGATAAAATTTTCTCCACTTCTTTTTGGGATTTGCGTTAATATAGTTGTTCAGGTTCGATCAAGTTTCAAAGCTGTGCTTCATATGGTAGGAGAATGAATATTCGTTTCTTTATTTATTTCAAAATGTGGAAAGATCGATCATATATTACAATGGTCAGTTGAAACTAACTTTTGTAGATATAAAGAATCTGAGCGAAGCTTTCGTGTTCGTTACAATTATAAAAATATTTGTCCGAGGCCAATATGGTGCCTTTTAAACCGAACTTGATAACTTGTAGCTTTTTAAATATGTCAATACTTTTTCGAAAAAGATTGGTTGTGCCTCTATTTATCCACATCGCAAAACGTAACCATCCCGTAGTTCGCGGTACATCAAATCGACATCGACCTTAACACAGACTGAAATTTACTGTTAATTGGTAAACACAATGCGTTGTTTGACTTTGTTCGCGGCAGCAATGACGTCAATTACCAAACACCACTCTGCATTTATTTAGTTCGGACCCATCCTAGAATAAGTTGTGGTACATTATTTTCTGATTGAAAGGATAAATAAAACTCGTTTATTAGAGGCTGTAATAATGGTTCTATGTCTACCAAATAGTGAGTTAATTCATACTTAAATACTTGCAATAACTATGCATTTTGAAGACGTCTTAAAAGTTGACGGGTACAAAAAGTTCTTTGTAAGCGAACGTATTCGGTAGGTAGATCCCGTTTTTCTAAGGCGAAAAACCATTTTTGTCGCTTTTCGACTTTCATTGTCGATGTGACCCTGAACGGCGAAACAATCTAACTAGTGAGTGGAAATTCAACATTTTATATTCGCGTCCGGTACGTGATAACCTTACAGTCGACTTACCTTAAATAAACATTGTCACTAACTACAGTTATGCCGCAACGATAAAATACGATGGACACTCATCACAACAACCAACGAAATCCGAAATAAAGCTCGTCCAAAGTGCCACGAATTAAGAGGGAATAAGGAAAAACGGATAGCTTGTCACCTCCCGTTTCGCAGGCAAGACTGATTCACGCGAGATACAACACAACCTGCAACAAAAACCACTTGGGCGGCCAACCTACTTTTGCAACTTGTTACCTTCACATGGTTTTTAACATTATTTTATTTTGCCCACGACGCATTTAGAGCCTCCTTTATTTATTCACAATTTTTATAAATTATTGTAGTTATATAACGGATGATACGGATATGATGCCCTCCTATCCGCCTCCGACGCCTATGTTTTCCACAATTTTTGAAATGAAAAGTTTTAAGTCATAGGCCTTATCCGTGATAGGGCAACAAGTGAAACTATAATCCAAACATCTTAATTTTTGGCAAAAATTGGGAGTCAAGTCGATTTAGGGTATGTTTTTAAGATTTTATTAATTCGTTATATAAGAACTGTTCAAACTCAAAAACTTCGATTTAAATTTGCATTTAAATACGAGCGTTCAGATTTTCATACCCAAACTTAAAATGACTTTTTTCTACTCCCTACTCCAAAATGCAATAATCGTGTCACTTTTAGCTTCGTTAATGACTTCAGACTGTGACATTGAATGAATGTATTTGCTCCGCTCGTGTCAAATCAAAGTCGTGGCTAAAGTGACGTTTATCAATCTAGTTGCATAATATACTATTCCTTAGCCGGTCAAATCTAAACTCTGATACTGTAACTACAAAAATGATAAATGACATATCTTGAATAAATTAAATTTTAAAGTAAACATTTATATTAACAACAAAAATTTAATTTATGAAAATGAAATTAATTATTTGGCTGTTATATTTGCGTCAAATTTGACGTTTTATACATATGCCGATTACATAATTAATTAATTTTCTGAAAATATTAATTTAATATCTAGAATATTGAAAAATTTGTCAATTAACACCAAATTTTTATTGTATAATAACCTACCTGCTTCCCATTTAGAATATTGTTCCACACTTTTGTTCAATTTGACAAATTATAAATTAGAGCAATAGTAGATTAATCAAAATACGACCATGAGCAATATACTACAATGTAATAGATATACTTCATTGTACTTAATTACTTGTCTGTACTTAATTTCTTGTCTGTAAAACAAAAAGTAATGTTTAATGTCTATGTTTTTATTTTTAAAATTAAACAGCAGTGTGTTCCTGATTATGTTTGTGAAAAAGATATTCATTCTTACAATACAAGAAATTGTTGTAATTTTATGCTGTGAGAGTATTATTCTAGTCATGTACAAAATTCCATATTACATAAGGGCCTAAACGATTTTAACAACTTACCGTATGATATTAAAAACTATGATACTCTTAATAAATTTAAAAGAATTTTAAGACATCATGTATTGTCTAAATTTTGATTTGTGTGCTTAGCTCTAAGTTTCTGTTTACCTTTTTATGTTTAAAATTTCTATTTTGTATTTTTATGCAGCATGATGCTAAACATTATTATTAAACTATGATGGGGAAAATTTAGTGGCTAGGCCTAAAAGGTATCTTGTCGGGATGCTACATTGAGCATGAAATCTTGTTAATTTTTCCCTATTTCCCAATTTAATTTTTTGCAAACACGGCCAAACCGTTTGCAAACTAAGATTTTGATCTATGAAAATCCCAAGAACTTCGTGTGCGCAGACAGAGTTTGAGTGGAACCATTTCAAGGTACCATATCCGTGGTGGTTTCTGTTTCTCTGTTTTGATCAGAAGCATAGGCAGTTTTTTTTATCAGCGTTCAGATCATTTGTTTCTGGTGAACCAGTCCTGAGCCGCTTTAAGCGTTTAGTATGCGTCCCAAGCAACTCCGATAGCATGGTCCTCAAAATCAGCAGGTTTGTGTCCTCCACAAAGTTAGAGAGGTGAGACTTATTGTCGAGAATCTCATTTGCCGAATTGTTGACATATGGAAGAAAAAGTAAAGGTCGTATTATAGTTCCTTGACGTACACTTAGCTGTAACTCGCCCTGTCTGGGATTTAATATAATTTTTACGTTATTACTGTCGAAAAATGGATGAAATCGAATTTCTTGAAAGTATCTACGGTCCTATAAAAATGTTATATTTCGGCAACGGTAGGTCCTATAGGACCGCCGTTGTTGGACTAAAAGATCCGCGAGATACGGTGCTATAAACTTTTATTCTTGATATTTATGTTTTCGAGAGCTGTCTACTCAATCGAAAACATTCTTAACGCAGGAAACGCTAGAGATCCAGAGCTATAATTTTTATTTCAAACATTGTTTCGATTATATTTGGTTTAAATAATACTGTAGGCCGCTTCAGGGGCTACTATTTTTATATTTGCGGTTTTCATAATCACCCACGCTGCTCGAGATATTTGGAACAATCCATGTGAAAATCGCTATATTTCGCGCTCAATCTAGACATAATTTCAACAAATAAACATCTGGAATATTTATCTTTGACATTTTTTGTATTTGTATTGTATTATGTATAGGATGTGGCTGCAATGAACAAAAAATCTAAAAGAACCAGAGAATTGCAGTTTTCGAGGATAATATATTAGATGAAAATGAAAAATTGTAAAAGATTGAATTAATTCTTTTGAACAATATTGTAAACTGTGTGGAGAGAGATGGAATTTTCGTCTGTTATACAGAGTGAGCAATAAATTTAAATAAATATCATTGGAAATAACTATTACCTGTACAAATTTTTATACTTGCCACGTTTGCCATGACTCTGATGTCTCGTCGAAGGTTTATTGCAATATCACTTGGTAATAATAATAATCAATAAGTTAATTAAATCATTATGATAACAACACTACAAATAAGTGAAAAGATGTTTAAACAAATCAAGATTTTTTAAAATGGAGGTTTCAACTTATGCTGTATTCAAGTTTCGAATGCGGAGTTCAAGAAATCAACCAAGAGGCTGTTTTCAAAAAATTTATTTATATAGCGACTAGTCGTCGCTCGTCTATCCTATTTTAATTTTATTAAAAACCTTATAAAAATTAACAGACTTTTATTAGGTCGATATGTTTTCTACTTGTCCGAACAATATCCAAACCATGTAGTAGTAAGTTCAGATTCATAGAATTTCTACGAGCTGCAATCTGATTTTGTAATTTGTTTAAACACTTTGCACTACAAAGTGGAACTTCCTGGGGCACGGTATGGTTCAATGCTCGTTTATTCACGACCAATTCTAATTTGTTGTTAAATTCCAGACAAGGGCTGAATGTGTAGCCCCACATAATGTCCTTATTGAGATACGAAGTTTGACTTACGGTGGATTGGCCCGTTTGAATAGAACTTCCAGACACCACCGCTATAATTTCGATCCTAAAAATTAATTTTTAACCTAAATTGTCGAATGCAATTTATTTTCAAAGTTTATTAACAGGCGGATATAAATATTTTTGTAGCGAGAAGGTCCTAGGGTCTACAATAGCATCGAACCTAGAAGCGCGTTAATATATCTCATAACTATTAATTGTAGAAGAAAAGAAATTAGAAAAAAAAAGGATGTTGTGCTGATTATATTGCCATTAACGCTCAATTTGTAACGGTTTGAAATATGACTCCCCCAAACCCAAATAATAATGCGTGAAGCGGCACAGACACGGCACTTTTTTTATACACAGTAATTTAGTATTTTGTCTACGTGATATTCTCTCATATTCATGCGTGTGTCACTTTAAAATGTCAGCTTCATTAAAGACTGCCGAGACCCACTTCGATAGTTTTCGGTACTTTAGTCACGGGTTGTGACACTTTACTTAGGTGTTAATTTCGCAATTCAATAAACGAACGGAGGATGTCATTCAGAAACAATTTTAATCATAATCGTATTAATTCTCTCAGGATAAATTTACTAGCAAAGTTAATGGCAGTGATTAATGATTGCTAGAGTAATAATAATATTTAGTACTGACGAGGTGTAAATAAAAATCATGCGCTCGGCTGGAAATTCTTCGTCCGAAAAATCATGATTTCGAAGACTACTTGGGCAGCCTTTGGACAATGATATTGAAGATTTTTAAATTTTATACTTAAGATATATCAACGGTTCCCAAAATGAACTCGATCAGCAAAAGCATCTTACTTAACGACGCTTTTTTTTCGTACTTGGTCAAAATATAAAATATAAAATGATATATATATATATATATATATATATATATATATATATATATATATATATATATATATATATATATATATATATATATATATATATATATATATATATATATATATATATATATATATATATATATATCTGAATAGAAAACATAAATTACGTTTTTGAAGAAGTGAAGAAGAAATAAATAAATAAACAGATGCGGAAAAACAATAATTTAGGGGCTTAGCGCCTGCAAAGAATAAATGTTTATGTTATAAAAGATAAGAGCAAAGTCAACCATTCTTTAAATCATGGATAGCCATGTAGATAGTTTGTTAATATATTTTAATGTTTTACGGCAACAACATAAGTTGGCGAATGTTGCCCCAGACGTTAAAATAGAAATTGTTGCTAACTCTTTTATCGGGTTCAACAAACTCAACTGTACACTATGTAATATATATAGAAGCGCGTTAATATATCTCATAACTATTAATTGTAGAAGAAAAGAAATTAGGAAAAAAAGGATGTTGCGCTGATTATATTGCCATTAACGCTCAATTTGAAACTGTTTGAAACATGACTCCCCCAAACCCAAATAATAATGCGTTAAACTCCAATTTCGTTTTGAAGCGGCACAGACACGGCACTTTTTTTATATACAGTAATTTAATATTTTGTCTACGTGATACTCTCTCATAGTCATGCGTGTGTCACTTTAAAATGTCAGCTTCGTTAAAGACTGCCGAGACCCACTTCGATAATTTTCGGTACTTTAGTCACGGGTTGTGACACTTTAATTAGGTGTTAAGTTCGCAATTCAATAAACGAACTGATGATATCATTCAGAAACAATTTTAATCATAACCGTAAGTTAAGTTAATGGCAGTGATTAATGACTGCTAGAGTAATAATAATATTTAGTACTGACGAGGTGTAAATAAAAATCATGCGCTCGGCTGAAAATTCTTCATCCGAAAAAAGAAAAAAAGTTCACACAAACGAAGGTCCGGAAATGCTTAGTTTTATAATTAGTTCATGTAATATGTCAATATGTAAAGAACAAGTATAAAAATATCCTTCCGTCATAGGTTACATGCCGGTAATTATGTTGGTGGTGCTCGTTTTCAACATTTTCTTTGGTGCTAATTTTGTAGAACTAAGTTTACTGTGATCAAAGGGTCCAAAAAATAAATGTTCATAAAATTAAGTTTTATCAATTTTTATTATTTTTATTTTTTCGCTCGAAAACGAGACAATATACGAAAACAGCCTAAGAGTAAAAAATAGTATATTATGCAACAAGTGTGATAAATGGCATTTGAGTCACGAGTTTATTTGGCACGAGCGGAGTGCAGCGGAGCGAATGTTTTTTTTTAATAAATGAGTGAACAGTTTACGGAACGTGTTGCATACTAAACTTTTACTACGACCGTTAGTTTTTGGGCATATTTTCGCAAAACAACACGAATACATTCACTCATATGACCGTCAGAATTGACAAACGTCAAAATTTAAACCATGCGGTAAAATCTCCGAAAACATCCGATTCCTCCCAAATCCGTGCGGTAAAATCCCGGAAATGTCCGAAGTGGCTCGAACCAGTGGAAAACAAAATTGACGTGGTAAAGTGATGCTTCCCGCACGCTAGATCGGTGTGTAATTGGATATTTTACAGACGGGAGTAGAAATAGACTGTTTACTGACTAAGTACATAAACATGAATAAGTAACTGGGTATAAATTAAACCTTTTACTTGAGAATTATAAGTTCACCTACACTGTCATAATTCTAATCTATAGTTTTCCAGATATTATTAGTAGCATGTCTGAGAAAAATGCGAGAAGCACAATTCATAACTAGGTTTTGCAAAAGGCATTGAATTGAATTGAATATATTACAGATGTACATGTATTTTATCTCGACTTCTGATGTGTAAATACAGATGACCGTTTGGACTACTTTTGACTATATTATGGGTTAGTTAGTTTTTTTTCTTTTTTATTGTCAACAAATAAACGATAATCTGTCTATGTACTTTCGATTCTACACTCGACTTTGCTAATTAATTTAAATCTAGTTGAAGCAAAATTTGCCCTTCATCATTATAAATAACTTAACAAAATTTCAACAAAATCTGCCAAAAGATATTTAACATATTGTATCTTGGCAACTTTGCATTTCCGGACCTACATTTACATAAATGACTGAAACGCTCACAACGAAAGTATTTAATTATGATCCAAGTCTTACTGCTATATCTTGCTAGCAATTAAGCTGCAATCTTTGATTCTAAATTGATACGTACTTTGTAGTCATAAATTCTTGCGCGGACATATCCCATAAAGGGCTGTGTTGGTCAATTTCGTGTATTATTTCGACTGGTAAAAATAACATTCCGTGTGGTTTTGTTTTTAGTTCGTAAACAAAATTTGGAATGATTTCACCCTCCGCTGATGTAAACTGCTTCAGTAAGTATAACCGTACAGCCGTACTGATCCAATGTTTCCCATCCCTATCATTCAGACGAAAAATTAGGCAAAGCTTCTCATTGCAGAACGATACCTGCAACATTTGCGCGTTAAGTAAGTAAATATTGTAACAGGAACAAATTAGCAAATGTAATATTTAGACAATAGTTTTTTTCCAATCGATGTAAAATAAACGAGAATGGACCTTCTAAAAAGATTATGTATTTCATTATATTTTGTCCCTTTATTAGAAAAATGAAAATATAAGTAGTGATATTAATATTATTTATTTCTAAAAGGTGTTGTTAAATCGAAACAGCAGCATATGTATGACCAAAATGAACTTTTGCGAATTATTTCGGTCGTTATTCAAAAATAACAAGGTTGTGGTTGTCGCATTTCCACACTAGTCCGTTTTAGTGAAATTTGTAATCGAATTTTCATGACGGTAACTTGATTGTTTGGCGAAGTATATAGTCAGATTTTCTCCACATTTTTATGGTTTTTGTAAAAAATTAGAAACAAGCACGACATTTGCGGTTATGCTGGACTCCCCAATCCATCCTTAGTGCTACAAGATTGTTAAAGGGGCGTTGTTTATTGGAGATGTTCATCAAGAAAGATTTTAATGCATTTTCTTCATTTTAGATAATTTTTATATACATTTTTTAGAAGTCAGACCTAAAGTTTTCATTTAAAAAGCCATGGCAATAAAACATTTATATTCAAAAAACATAACTTTAAAATTATGAAAACGTGGTGAAATTATTAATTACTTTATTAAGATAGAGATTAATAGATAACTAGATAAAATCTTCATAGGAACAGTAGCAACAATAATTTCTATGTTATCAACGTTATTAATGTTTCGTAAGTTTTCGTGAGTTAAAAAGAAACAAAACATATACCTTTACTGCAAACTTCTTTGGCGATTTGTAATGTTCCAGGTCACTTTCAACTGTCTAAAATTTTAAAAATGGTGATGTCTACTGTTTGATGAAAAACAGCTCTAATTTTTTTGCACATCAACCTTACTTTAGCCATGTTTACGATTTTTCTGCATTGTACATGACTCTTAGTCTTTTGGATTTTTTGACTCATATAATGCATACTCTATCAATCACAATACCGAGCATCCGATAAACCATGATTTCGAAAACCACTTGGGCAGCTTTTTAAATTTTACACCTAAGATATATCAACTGTTCCCAAAATGAACTCGATCAGCAAAAGCATCTTACTTAAAGACGCTTTTTTTTTCGCACTTGGTCAAAATATAAAATATAAAATGAAATACATATATCTGCATAGAAAATATAAATTACGTCTTTGAAGAAGTGAAGAAGGAATAAATAAATAAACAGATGCGGAAAAACAATCATTTAAAAGGCTTAGCACCTGCAAAGAATAAACCTTTATGTTATAAAAGATAAGAGCAAAGTCAACCATTTTTTAAATCATAGTTAGCAATGTAGATAGTTTGTTAATCTATATTAATGTTTTACGACAAACCATTTTACAACATAAGTTGGCGAATGTTGTCCCAGACGTTAAATTAGAAAATGTTGCTAACTCTTTTATCGGGTTCAACAAACTCAACTGTACACTATGTAATATATGTGAATGTATGCAATGTACCACTGTCATTATTTACTGTGCAACCAACGACAGAATATCTAAAGGAGACCCAACACAAACCCTAAATACGTACGAAGCCAACATATAATTAGATTCTCAGCGCACATTTATAATCACACATTATAATTTCAAATGTATTACTTGCTTTGTGAAAATATATAAGTTTAAATTATACAGTAGATACAACGTTAATCTACGAAAGTAGATTTTTATTTTACGATCTGTGTTAAAATTATCAATGAAATGCCGGTCTCCTTTGGATATAAATTTCTTTTAATATATGTCTAATCTATGTAGATATTTACCACGGCTTTTCTGCTAAAGATTTGTTCGAAGGTAAATGTTTTTGTTCTGTTCAGTTTAACATAGACAACTGAAATAAAAATTCCATCTATCAATATGCTAATCAGTGTGCTAAATCCCAAAGCAATATAGAAGAAGTTACAATTTTCCGTCGGGTGCCAATATCCGTAGCCGGTAGTTGTTATGGTTTCTATGCCCAACATAAAAAACTTTGCAAAGGCGTGATTTGTTCCCTTCATGCATAAACCTTGACCTAAAATCATATTTTTTTATAACAAACCTAGGAAAATCGACGATATTCACTAGCGATTAAGTGTTTTTCTAAGCCATATTCTTAAGTTAATATTTATTTTTTAACTGCGTATAAAAAAACTAAGAACTAATCAAAACTGGTAACTTTATCGCAATCTATACCTCGTCCTACATCCCTATATAAGGAAAATATTTTCGAGTATTGAAGTTTTTTTTTAAGTGCGCATTTCAGTTTTAGTGCATTTCCGTCCTAATAGTCATTATTCAACAAGTTTTAGAAAAGGCACTTCTATCACCAGTGACTCTTTAATAAACGTATATCTGAAGAACTTTATAAACATGTTCTACGTATTTTAATGATTTGTAATTAAGGACTTGAAAATATTTAACTCTTATATAGTTTTGGGTAGCTTCATGTCTTATAATTAGAATTACCTAGAAGACTTACCTTTCTGGTCAGTTTCAAAATCTCCACTCAGCCACGAATCCCAGTAAAAAATCAAAGCACACGTGAAATATGCGGTGAGGTTTACGAGAGTTACGATTAAAATTACCCATCTCCATTGTAAGTTTACTAATGTATTTCCAAGATCCTTGACATATCTCATGGATTTTTGGGGAATGTGTCTAAGGTAGATTTTAACCCTCCCTCTCTTGCTGACGAATCTGGCTTCAGACCATCTGTATTCCTTGTTGTGGAGCGAGGTGTTTCTCCGAAGGGAAACATTTTTAAAGTTTCTACTGAATTGACCAAGAATACAAAATATGTAAAACGGATATTTAGGTCAATTGATTCACTACGTATATTTTAATTTTTTAAAGAAACTTCCACAGGATACTGAAATACTATTTACAAATCTTCTGGATTTCTCCTCTGTCAGTTGTCGTAGGAGGAATCCAGACAGTTTGTAAATAGTATTACGTATATCTTAATCTAATATTTCCATCCTGACATCCAAAAATCCGTAAATTTACCTTTGGCCTTCCTGCTTTTTGAATATTAGGGGAAGATCAATATGATAGTCGCTTTCTTTTTTCAATACTGCCGGCACCCCTGGTCTTTCTGAATGCATACCTATCACTAAAGGATTTAAAAATTGTCGTTATAATTTAACATAGGTAAATTTTGGGTGCCTGATAAGATAAGCAAATTTATTGTGTTTATATAGTAAAACGCGCATTTTTGTAATTAATAAATACAATGTATTTTATATTTAGCCTTATTAACCTTAAACAAATATTAAACAAACTCAATGTCGCCAGTATAATAACTGAAGAAAATAATTGTAACTATAGCCAGAAATTTTCGTGAATTTCTCTTTTAGTTTCTGAGCAACTAGGCAATATTTTATATATTGCATTTCGTTTAGTTTGGCACACGCAAAAACAAACTAATATACACACGCACTCACCCCATCATCAGAATGTCACATATACTAGGTCGTGCACCATAATCAACGACATTGCAAAAATAAAATATTATAAAGTATTATCCAACAAGTTTTGTAAATACCACTTTAGTAACTAGTTTGATTTAGCATGATCGTGTTGCATAGTATACTTTTGGAAACGTGTGATGTGGTTAACGAAGCTGACACCTTAAAGTGACTCTTTGCCCATAATTGATTATTTTAAAGCAAGGATTAGAACCATTTTTTTAATAATTATATAATGTGTCCAAGATAAGGATGTCTACCATAGGCCTATTGGAAACCATAAGAGGTGCGAAGATGGTTAAACTAGAATAAAGTTGCAAAATTTAAAGTTTAATAACGTCCTGTTGAGAAAAAAATTTTTTTATTAAATTTTCAATGATTGATTGACATATTGTAGCTGTATCCTTTTTGGCTGTTGATTCTCTTTTCCTATACAAAATGGAACGTGCTTTTTCATCTGAGGAGAAGTTCGATACGCTACAATATTTTATGCTATAGTAACCTAGGTTGAAGCTGTATTTAAATAACTACCCAGAGAGAAGGCAACCGAGTGCAATTTTTTTGTAAGATTAACTACGAATCCTAACAAATAAAGAGTATAATTAGATCATTTTCAACATAAAAAAATACCCCTTTAAAAATTTATTTTTTGGTTGGTTATAACCAAGTTGGTAATAAATTCGTCACCTTAAATGGGACATCCTGTAAGTTTCAATTCAAATGTGCATCAGATGTTCTATCCCTATTCCTATATTCAAGAGGAGCCCAATTTTCGACCTTCAGGGACGCAGAGTTATAGTCCGTCGACGAATGTTTTTATTCAACCACGTAGTGCGTACCCGAAATAGTTTACCTAAAGCAATTGCAAATGCCACGTGCACAACCCTTTTAAAAATATTTTTCATTTTTTAAATATGTTGCAGAATACTGTAAGTAATAATAGCAGCTTTGGTCGGCACTGTGGGCCTGCTGCGTCCCTCTATAATAATAATAATTATTATAATTAAAATAGTAATAATAACACCCAATAAATAAAATACAGACAATAATTTATTTACTTATGAGGGTGTACAGCAAATGACAATTTCTCGGAGAGTAGCATTCACTAACATTTCCGCAAATACTGCAATTAAAAGAGCTACGGTGACACCCTGTGTAATGGATAATAGGTTATTTCAGCCACATCATTGAGTTTGCAGTACGCTTTACAAAAAAAGGTTTTTTCGCCTTGCATATGCTGATAACACACGAACTTCTGAAGCGAAGATCAAGAAATTGTTGAGAATGGCGAATATGATCGGCATTTGACATCTCGCTTTCAACTAATAACACCTAGCAGCATCAGTTCGTCAATTGGATAGTTTTCAGTTTGACTGTGGCATTTTTACAGGAATACTTTCTCAAAATATGGCCAGATCCCGTTAAATGTTCAAGCAAAAACGAATTAAGTGTTTAGCTTGCAGGTTATTGTATGAAATTTAGGAGCATACGCGGGTTTTCGAAAATACCATAGGGGCCTGAGGTGCGTCCTTGCGACATCTACACAATATTATATAATGGATATGGAAAATTATAATTGATTTACACTTAGGTACCTATTTTTTAAAAAAATATTATTATTCACACTTTAAAATATAGATTGCGCGACGAGTATCACACTTATTACAGACACACTCAATGTGTATTATCGTTGTAGCTGCGGTTTGTTACAGTGCAAGTACAAGGTACTTGTATATGTTGTTGCGAGAACTGTCGAGTAATATTTTTACGAATCGAGTATAAAATGACATTGAGAGACTTGTTAAAATACCAGATATACATATATCATTAATTTAGAATCAGCAACTTAATTTTTGTCGTGCAATCTTATATCAAATAATCATAACCCTGAACCAGATAAATAATATACACTAAATATGCTATATATTATTGAAATTAACATGAACTATTCTACATATTACTATTTCTCGTTCATGCATTTGATAACAGGTACAATAAAATGACTTCTTTTGCATGATATATATTTTCTGCCAAAACAGTAGGTACTGTTAAGTCAAGGCCTGCTTACTGCAGAGTGTAAAATCTTTACAGAAAGATTATTTTTTGTTAATAACAATTAGTATGAAGTGGCTAACACGTAAACTTATAAAGAAAACTTGAAGAAGTGAATCACTTGTAGAAAGCGCCATCACAGAGTAAAATAAACAGCAAGTGACCTTTATTTGACATAAACATTTACTAAATTGATAAAAAAATGTATAAAAAATACTTTTTAAGATATAACTTACTTTTATTTGGAATTCTGAAAATGCGCCGCGTTGAAGAATAATTTGCATAATAGTATTATTTCGTGAGATGCATTGTAAAAATCGCATATAGCAGTTCGCTGTTGAAAGCTCTGAGATAACATAAAAAAACATCCAATAATTGATGATATTGTCGCCCAAAAACTCAACGGCTATGACCCTATGAGAAAAGTAACTAGAAATAAAAGGCATTGAGATTACTTTTGATTATTTGTCATTGAAATTAACACAGCCATTCAAATAAACTTAAAATAAAATTGAAGAAAAAGAGGAAAGAACATTTTTTCATCACTTATAAAAACTGTTAAAATAAAACATTTATGCAAAACAATTTTTTACAAAATTTACAATTTAACCCTATAAAAGTTAATCATTAATCATTAGCACCTTCCATCGTTTTTCAATCTTTCCACTCCTTTTCCATGAAGCTCAATAAACTCTTCCAAACTTGAGGGTACTTGTCCCTGATAAGGAACATGATTGATTTTAATGGCATTTGCAGCCAGGCACTTTAAATTTAATTTAATATGTGTTTTGAGTATTATCTCTGCTACACCTAAAATATATGTTTTGTTATTTTACTTTGCACATTTTAAATTTTATTAATAATACACATGTTTAAAAGCCACAAACTTTAGCAAGTGATTCAGAAATTGTATGTCATTGTATTACTTAATCAACCAGATTACCTAGATGTCTGCATATGGTTATTTACTTCCTTATCTATGCATTTATGCAGATATCATGATTTAACGAAAGAACCGAGCTCCTTGCACAAAATTTATACAATTGGGGTTTTCTGACATGAGAAATCCATTGTCATAATTTTGGGGCAAATTTTAGAGAGCCCTACGTATGGTACTTTTCGTGCATTTGATATTTCCTAACTTTTTTTGGTCATAGTGTATGCAGATTTTTAATAAATATATCATTTCTTACACTTTTTTCACACAAAAAAGTTATACCTTTTAAATTTCAATGTGAACATGCAAAACAGTTCAAAATAGGCTTTGACTAACATAATGACAATAAAAGAATGTAAAATAGTACAAAGTAGGCTATGACTAAAACAAATGCGTTAAAAGCACTTAACTTCTGGAAGACGAAATGTTAGTCCAAGTTAGACACTACCTAAATAATCAATTTCCTAATCATTGGACTGGTTGTGGGAATTAAGATTTCAATCCTATTGATTTTTGTGTATATGAAGTCGCTAGTGTATCAAGAAGTTCATGATCGAGATGAATTTTAGTACAGCATCAAAATCTTATGAAAATCTTATGAATATGTTGTGTATTTTACTTTAGTTTAATTAACTTTATATATTCATAAAATTGTTTTTATTGAGATCGAAGTTTTTTTGAGTCTCTTGTAAAAATTCCAAAGCAAATTATAATAAAAACCCTGTTAATGTCTGTACTACCATTCAGTTATATGCAAGTTCAAAACCAAATTTCTCGAAAGCGGCGACTCGGAGCCAAATTTATAAGGCATATGTGTAAAAAAAGTGTAACAAGTGATATCTTTATTAAAAATCTTCATTAACTAAGGCGCAAAAAAGATAGGAAGTATCAAATGCACGAAAGAATCTCCCATTTTGCCATATATCCTTACTTAAGGGACATCCTGTATATCTTCATACATACATAGGATAGTTTTACTTTGCAACTATGCTGAATATCACTACCCCCATTACATAATTAGTTATTTAACTGAATAAAAATAGTGTTGCAAACATAAAACGAAATTTACAGGATTTTATTTTATTCGATGTTATAATTTTAAAAAATCCACTCTCTACTACAGCGATAACATAACCAAAACGAACAAAAATTCATAAGAATGCAAGAGAATTGAAACTCCTTGGTTTAATATCCTTAAGAATTTTCTATTTACATAGTATTTTCGTAAAATCACTTATTTTTGGAAAATCCCAAAAACATATCTTTCATAAAACCATAAAACTGAAACAAATTTGGGTTCAGCTAACAAACAGTAAATATGGAAAATCACTTTTCTCAAGTTTGTTGTCTGAAAGTCACAGTTAAATTACTACCTGTTGTGGAGGATTCCAAGGGAGTTTCTCCTTTATTATTTACTATATCCACATGTGCACCATTTTTTGCTAAATCAGTAATAATTGAATGCAAAGTCGTAAAATCAGAAATGGCATTATGGTAGTTGACAATAATATGAAGAGGTGTATTTCTTTCGTTGTCCATTGCATTTACATCAGCTCCACATTTAATTAATAACCTGGCGGTCTCAGCACAAGGAAATCTGCAAGCATATTGTATGATTAACATACATTCCATAAAATTTATGCAATATGCTACTATTTTGATGTAGAAGGTCATTAAAAGTGGTTAAAACCAATCTATTCGTTTATTCTCATTAAAGTATCGAAATTGTTGTTCTGCATAAAAATTAGTATTCAATTGGTTTAAACTAAAATCAGGAATACATCAGATATTTCTGTCTTCTTTGAAAATAAAGTCATTGCTCTAAACCTAACCATAACCAAATTAAATAATAATTAAAGTTTCTTCCAAGTTCTTCGTCTTTTACTTAAGCCGCAAATATGAGTGTTGCAAAAATAGGAAATCACAAATTGTATGAAAAAATATATTTATTTGTGAAATAAATTATAAAAAATAAATTGTTCAAGTTTCATCAAAATAACTAATTACCTCTTTGCCGGCAAGAATTTTATCTTATAATATATTGCTTGCATACATACTTGCACACATCATTTGTATGAAAGTCATCTACAGGAGTTTCCGAATTACAAGCCAAATGCAGAAGAGTTTGTCCATCTCTAAGTTTGATATTCATTTGATTTAATAAAAACACCATTCGTTGAACATTAAATGTTTCCTCGTCATTGCATTTCTTAAATAATTTTGTTAAAATCGTAAGCAGGTACAAAGTAATTGTGAGATTGCTTTCAATGTCGTCCTAAAAATAATCATTACACTTTAGGCCATAAAAAGAATGCAAACAACAATTATTTATAATTTTTCTCTCTCAATGTCCTTAAAAATTTCAAGAGAAAGTTTTTATCTAACTTGAATCATATCTTTACAAGAAATGAAACTGAGAATATGTATTTACCTCATGTGATTTAAGATCCTCTGCATTCAGTATGCATACTTTGTTTTTATTTCTTTCTAGTTCTACTATGGCAGCTGATAAGACTTCTGTTACATGTTCATATGTTAGTTGCACTCCAACATGTAACATTTGTGAAAAGACTTGAGCAAATCTCAGGAGATCCTTAACAACGGAAATGTTGTTTGTCTGCCTAAGTTTTAATGCATGAAGCCATAGCTCCAGGCATCTGAAATTTTTAAAAATACTGGATTGGCTAAGTTACCCTTTTTGAAAAATAGGGCTCATTATAAAAACTAATATGTAGTCTATTAAAATATTATTAAAATAAAATCCTAAATTTCAAAAATTTGGTATAGCTGTGTTTTCGTTATAGTTAAAAATTCTTTAAAGTTTACCTATCAAACCTGGCATTATCAGCAAAAACTGCTCCCCTATAAATTATTGGATGAGGAACTTCTGGGTTGTGAATTCCCAAAATTCTTTCCCTTATTGTCAATGCTTCCATATGTAGACTGTTTGAATTACCTTGAATAAGTTCAAGTTCAGTCAAGTTTCGACATTCAATCCAATTTTCATATGCTGGGATAGGTGGCAACTCCCGTTTTTTTATCACATGATTTGGATCATTGTACCTTAAAGCATAAAATACACATGGAAAATCTGAATTTCTTTTCTTTGAACTTTTTACAGACTAACTTTATATTTCAGCATAATGAGAATGATATACACACCTGAGTGCCATAGACATATGCATGTACTTATATGCCTTTACTATGTCATAGTTTTCCTTGTCATTGGCAAATGAAGCTCCTAATAGTTCTAATGCTTCAATTTGTTCTTCTTTAGTAATATCTGATTGATCTAATAAAAACTCAACTATTTTATACTGTGTTCTTTCAGCAGCAGATTTTATAGGAGTCATTCCAGCATCACTCGAATAAAATTGTGCTCCATAACTCATTAACTCTTTCACAACTTCCAAATGACCAGATTCTGCGGAAAAATGTAAAGCTGTTGTCCCACATAATGCTCTTTCATTTGGGTTTGCTCCATTTTCGAGTAGAAAACTGACCTATTAACAATTAACATAAAAACAATAAAATAAACTGATTAAAACTTAAAACATAAGCATAGTAATTACTTTACTCTAAGATTAGTACCACTGACAAAGTGAAATGCTCCAAATATTAATACAACAAATTTGAGAAAGGAAAAAAACTACAACTGCCACACATATTCCACAATTTTTTAAAAAGTTACATTTCTTAAGCTATGCTGATACTCACTACATCTAAATGTCCCTTATATGCTGCAATCATGAGGCAGGTGTTGTTATATTTGTTTGCTATATGAATATCAGCCTTGTGACAAGCTAAGTATTTGACTATATCAAGTCGCCCATCAAAACAGGCTGCTCTTAAAGGAGTAGAATTCGTTTTAGTGGGATGATTGACATTTGCTCCGGCTCTAACAAGAGTTTTAACCACATGTAAATGGCCTAAAAAATATCTCACTTGTTAAGTTAAATGGTAACAAAAAATCTAAAATCTAATGATTTGTTATTTTTTACATCTACCAATACTTAAAAATTTACTTATGCTTTTCTGCCTATTTTTTTTGTTTATAAGTGATATGTCTTGTCCATGATATTAATGCAATTCCACCCACAAAAACATGGGCTCTGATCTACAGATTACAAAATCAACTTGCAATAAAGGAACAAATTCATGCTTTATATGGGGATAAACATATATTGTTAACAAATATTGAAAAAAGAGAAGTAAACCTACAGAATAGTGTTTTACACTACATAGTTTCAACAACATAAACATTATTAAGGCTTTCAATATACATATTATTATTAACAACACTATGTAATAATGTATATCTAAACATAACAAATACAAACCTGCACAGGCTGCACACCACAAAGCACTAGCTCCTTCAACTACATAACCATCAAACTTCACTACACCTTCTTCTTCAATATTTGGGTTAAACTTTGTCAGCAGCATTCGAACAACTTTGTCGTACCCATATTTTGATGCTATAATTAGAGGGGTGCACTTATCAGTGCCCCCATCAACAACTTTCTAAAACACAAATTAAAAGTAGCGAGCGAGTAAGTATTAATAACCATCCATCAAAGCATTGTACATTAATGTTAGTGCAAAACCCAAGAGTTATATCAAAGCGAACTTTACATTTTTTAGCTACTATCTAAAAATAAATGATTTAATAGCTGGTTTATACTCTCAGCAGGAAATAGAAAACAAAGGAGTTACAAACGCAAACAAAGGAAAACGTGAAAAACCATTTACCTGATTTAATAGGTCATTAATTTCCGACTTTTTAATATCAGAAAGAAGGGTATACAAATAATTCGGCATACCTTTCTTAGCAGCATAATAAACTTGATATCTCAATTGTTCGAGACTATTACTTCCGCAGTCACTCATTTTTTTTTGGACCAAAAATCAAAAAGCGTTTCGCATCGCAGATTTCTATTTTCAACTGCGGCGGAAAATGCGAATCACGTACCTTGAATTTTTTGTTGACGTATGAGGTGGGATGAGAGGGGATTCGAATTTTTCCAAGCGCATGTTATTAGACGAGAGGGGATCCTAAACTCTACTAAAAATTTTTCAAATTCGAATGAGGTTGTCTTCTTATTCATCTCCATCTCGATGACAGATATCAGCTGTTTATCAAACAAAGTTGAAGGAAATTTCTAAAGTTTAATTTGCTTGGAGGGCGAAATTCAACAACTGACGTCATTACGTTACCTGAAGTTAATCCAGAAATATTGTTGTTGATACGGTTAAAGAATTATATTTGTTTACACGAACGTGCATAGTAACACATAAAAAATAATAACAATTGTATTTACTGCTCGTGTTGCCGTTGCGTTATGCGACTATGCAGTGTAAAAAAGTGTATAAATGTTGATCAAAAATAACGGCTCCCAATTTTTGTCAAATTTTTATAGGGTCATTCTATCTACGACATTTCTTTAAAAATATACAGGGTGTTAAATTTAAAAAATACAATATAATTTAAATTCGAGGTAAAAAAAAAAATGAAATTTGGCATATCAATAATTTACACTGGGCGCAATAATGGCACATATCAAAAAATAGCTATTTTTAGTTAATATAAATATTTTTTTTGTTTAAAAAGAGAATAATACAAGTCAGTATGTACTTATAAAACATATCACATAAATTTTGTAATAAGTATCTCAATATGTCAGTTTTTAATTTCCTAAACGTCGTCCACAATCTGATGCCCTTTAATAAAACACGGCGGAGATAAAGGGTATAGCATATTTTTTCTATACAGAATGATGCGCCGCGATTTATTGCAACAAACATAGTATTTTTGGACTTGCCTTTTCCTACAAATTGCTAGTATGTTCCTCGAAAAAGATCCGCTTTTTAAATAAAACGTAACAATCGATCCTGATCTAAACTCTCCCAATTATAATTTTAAATCGGGTTATGATTAAGAGGATGATACTATAGCAGTTTTTCTGAATGTGGTAAAATGCTCTGCTTAATACCGAAGAAATATTATTTTTCGTAGACAGAAGCCAAGCGACAGTCCAGGTAGCGCATGGAGGGAGTACTTCTTCTGGTTCGCCATGAAGTAGTAGACTCGTAGTCGTCTGAGATTTGTCGACGCGGGTGCGAACATGTTTCACCATATTATTGTATTATAAGCCAAAGGAAATTTTATTTGTGGCCGTTGACATTTAGGTACTCGAAAACATGGGTTCAAAAATTGAATATGTCGATTCTTCGCAAATATATGCAACCAATTACGTACGAAATTCAAAAGCGATTGGAGTGCTCTGGGGGGTATTTACGATATGTTACAATATTATCGTCGTGGTTTCTTTTGTTACTTCAGAATGGATTGGAAACGCGAAAGGCCAAAATCCGGGTAAATTCGGATTGTGGTCAATGTGTGTCGCCGAAGAAAGTAGTGAAATATGTAAAGGAAGGTTAGTACTTAACGGAACAATTTGATGAGACGATACATAATATTATATAAATCCTTAGGTAGGTGTCTATTTTAAGACTAGATATAAATAATGTACCTAAAAGTTTATTAGGTAAAGTATCTCTATTGAACAATAAATGTGCCATACCTAAAAGTACTCCTGTATGTGGACCGAAGTGAAATACATTTTTATAGATACGCGTATTTTAATAGAGACAACTTTGTTTACTATAGATGCTGTATTGGTCGTGACTACCACTAGTTTAAACTAGAATTATTTCTTTCCAGTGCTCAAATTCAAATTTCATCAGTCGTAGGTTTCTCGAAAAGTGTAAATTAAAGTGCGCTTATTTTTGGGGACCTCCAAAACTATAAGAATTAAAAATAACTTTAAAATTTAACATTCAACAATTAAACATTTTCAAACGTTATTTCAATTAAAATAAACAATGTTGAATATTTGAAAAAATATTTTTATGGTGGTCATTTTCATCATTTTTTTTAGTGTTAATTTTTTACAACTAATAGTTTATTCTTAATAGTTTATTCATCAAAAAAACATTCATAAAAATGCGTTATCATAATTCTTATTTTAAAAGTAAAAAAGTTGTACTTAGTTATATGCCCCAAACTGCAGACGAAGCACAATGCTAAGCGAAGATAATGCATCGCTGACACCGCATCAAAAGCGCTATTTATTCGATTGTTATAGTGTAAAATGTGCTCTTAATTATTAAAGCCTTTGTATCGGTTAGTCCAAATAAAACTTTATTTCGGTTTCTGTGTAATAAATGTTTTTAAAAACGCTCTTCCGAATTTTGAACATTTAAGTACTTTTAGTGGATTATTCAAAGTAAATAACAAAAACAAAGTCAGTGGCGTACATCTTTTTGACAATAACATTCGTTAAGATATCTCCCGGGAGGCACTGAACTCCACAATTTTATTCTGATAAACTAAAATTAGCCCTTTGTCATTTTAAATGACGCTTTCCACCTGAGGGTTGGTGCATGTTTTTTAAAAAATTCTGTATATGTGCAAAGTTTTTATATACAAATCTGTAAAATACGTTCGCATTTGAATCTTATGTGAATTACTTTATTAATTATCTATTTTTTATTTGGAGCTTCGACAAACTTTCTAAACAATTCTTGGTAACAAAAATGATTGAATCGGTTATTTTAAAAAATAAAAATTGTACGGATTTATTTCAATATGCTGTTAATTATTTTTAGGCTAGAAAACTTTTTAAACCTATCGAACCCTGCTTTCCAAACATCGGCAATTCTTATTGCATTGGCGGCGTTATTCGCCTTTATTGTAACATTTGCAATGATTCTTTTCTTTTTTTGCCGATCAACGAGGGTATTCAAAATATGCGCCTGGGTTCAGCTTTTCTCCGGTAAGTATTTTTTTTATTTCAGTAATAAGACAACACACAATGTATCTGCTTATAGCCATAGCCATAGTGAACCAGCTCATGATAAAAAGATTGTCAATGTTTTATTGTTTTATTTTTTTCATGGGTTTAATATTGTAATTATTACTGTTGATTAGTTCATCCAAAATTAAAACAATATATCAATCAATTTTCGGTACATGTATAAAATCAAAAATAGAATCTAATTCCGGTGTTACCAGAAATTTAACAGTCAGTGTTACTGCTTGCTTCAATAAAATCTTTTGGCATCAGCGATTTATTTACAACATGCTACGAATTGCACATTTAAAATTAATATTAATAATAACAAGTAGGAGAGTTGTTGCTTCTTTATTGTAATATAAATTAATAAACGTTTATTTTACCGTTTTTCCTCTTTTTTTTTTGTTTTCCACACTTCGTGGAATATAAAATTTGATGGTTTGCTCTTTTTGTAAATTTGTGTCTAAAGTAAGATAACTTTTATATGCATTTAAATTTTCATAACATTTTCCAGGGATGAAAGTCTTAAATCTCTACATTGCAATAAAACAATTTTATACCGGATGTTGGAGAAAATGTGTTAAGTCTCTCGCAACAATTAAATAATGTTCATACGTTCAATTTATAGTAATTTATTGTTAAAGCAGTATTTTCTCATACCACTTATAATTTATATGCTAATAATTTATTAAAAATAACAAAAATAAATCGTTTTTTTCTTATTTTTTTCACTGATTAAGCGGGCGGAAAGTGTCACTTTAAGACGCTACCAATAGTCACGAGTCACTTCGGACATTTCGGGTACTTTAGCCACGGCTTTGGGAGGTATCGGATATTTTCGGTTTATTTTAGATCTTTTGTTTTACGTTTGTCACTTCTTATGGCCATGTCAAACACTCAGTAAATGTATTAGTGCCGATTTGAAAAAGTGTACCCAAAAACTAATGGTTGTTTATTAAGCACTCGATCGGCTCGTGCCAGAGCTGGTGGCGTAATATATTACTTTACTTTATTTGTATATGGTGTTAAAAAAATATGCGTTGGGTGTCTTAGTCCACACCTCTGGTAAACTAAACCTGCAAAATATATTGGATTCGATTATATTTCGACAAATTAAGTACTTTAAGTTGATCAAGAAAAACTAATTTTTAGTGGTGTCGTTTAGGGGCTCATACCTTCGTAAGGAGAGCGTGTGGGATGTTGTACTTAATAAATCAAGCTTATTTTCTTAAACACATTCGTTTATTATATAGAAAACTATATACATTGCACCTTACACAATTCATTCCTCATCGGCCCTTCTTCAAACGTACATAACCCATACATGCAGAGTATAATCGGTCATAGATTAGATAACAGAATAAAGAAAGGCGTTACCCTTTTTGCATTGTATAACAGGGAAAAGTGTATTTGAACTCGTCATATTATTTTTTCGCGTTCTACCAGAATCCCCGACATTTCCTATGTTTTCCCGGACAATCTGTATAGTGTTAATTTTACAACAATGTTAAAAAGCAATTACAGCAGATTTGGAAATAGTCACAAGTTAAGTCGAAAGTGTTTGTTTCGAAATCTCTATTCTTGTAGGTATTGCTTTGATAGGAGGATGTTGCTCGTACCCAGCGGGTTGGGCGGACCTAAATGTGAAGAAAGTATGTGGACTAACAAGCGGCATATATAATTTGGGAGAATGCGGAATGCGATGGGCCTACATATTGGCCGCAATCGGTTGCCTTGACGCAATTGTTTTATCTATTTTAGCCTTTATTTTGGCGAATAGGCATGTTAGTTTACAACCCGAGCCGCAATACGCGCCCGCAAGTATTTTCAAAGGTGGGTATCGTACCGGAATTCCAATTGTAGTGGCTTTAAAATGGTTGTATCCATAAAGCTATTGATATACATATTCATGGCTATGAAATTTTCATACAGAAAAATCGCTTTGACAAAATTCGGCCGAAAAAATGCTAAATCAAAACTGAAAACTGCCATCGCCCTAAGATCTTATTAGTTAAAAGAGATATTTGAAATTGGTTGAAATGATTCGCGCATGCGAACCTACATTTTTTTTGTGGACTTCAAAGGTGTAACTTAACCGATGGTTGTACCATGGATTTAAAAATAACACTAAAATATTTAGCCTGTGGTTGTAATGAAATACGAAGAGACGAAATTTATTAGATTTGAAAAGATCGTTGAAACAAAGTCTACATCAAATACCATTGTTTTATTTTAAATATTCTAATTTAAATATTTAACGCCATTTTGGAAATCGTTTGTAGTCGAAATTTATTTATATTAATAATAAATGTTGCAATATTTAGAAAATATTTCGAACTTGAAGCTGCGGTTTTGAGCAAAAAATTTCTTCAAACTTTTCTTCCATCACCGTTATCAATTTTATGTTTTGGTTTAGTTATCCTTGTTGTTCCTTATATTTATTATATATAAAATCGGAAATCAGTGCCCAAAATATATTCTATAATTATGATCATATAAGTCGGAATTATATTGAACTCTTCTCTACTGAGAACCTTGTGGATAGGTAGAATATAAAAATCAAAATTTAAAAACGCGTCTTTTTGGATTTAGATATTTTTTTCAATTTCTAAAAAAAAAGTCATATAAAATATCATTAGATAATTTTCTTTGAAATAAAAGAAATGATCTTAATAATTACAAATATCTTATTTCAGGCGAAACAAACAGTGCCTTCGTGAGTGATTCAGCCAGCGTAGTCGGTTCGAGAAAATCTCTGAGCATTCGACCGATAGTTATGATGGCACCCGGTCAAGAAGACACCTACTCCCAATTTTCGCAACGAACTATTCCCAGATCAGTACATTCCGGACATTATTCCCATCTTCATTCACTCCATAAAAATTTTCAGCTGTAACTGCAAAATTAAAAAAATAGTAGGATCGTGCAATGATTTTTTTTAACAACCTGACATTATTATTAAAGTATTATTAGTTTTGATTGACAAGGCATGACTTAGTTTCATCGTAAACTGTTTTTGAAAGCAAAAGCAAAGGACTTGACGCCACCAGATTAAAAAAAAAACTGCATTTGTTCAATATTCTCAGAAACGGTTATTAGCTACTTGAAAATATATTGAGATTATTATTTCACAAATGGTAAAACCCAAAAATAAGCATTAAATTTGGCCTGAACTGGCTTGGCTATTATGAACGTTAAATTAGATACAATGTAGGAATTATGAATACTGAATTTAATGAAGTGCAATTTACAAATTGACACTATATGTCTCTCGAACTTTGTCCCTGTCTTTCCATAAATCAAGCGTGTGCGAATGAGTTAATTATTGTTTTCCTTAAATAGCAATACTTTGTTAATTTTTTTTATTCACCGTTTGAAAACCAGTATTGTAGTTTTCCATATATTCACCATAATTCCATGCGAAAATGAATTCAAATGATAATGATATCTTTATTCAGTCTTATTATCACTGTTGACAACTACCCAATACAAAATCCTTGCTTGTTCTACTTTCTACTAATTTAGAGGAAAAATAGAATAGTAATAAATAATGTTATTTTGGTTAATATTCATATACTCGATCCAATCAAAGGCATTTGAAATGTTGTTTTGGTATCTTAACAGTTTCAAAAATTAAAAAAAAATATATCAATTAGCGGAATGGTTTTGGAAACACGGTGTTAACGGTGTTGAAAGCGGGTGTTAACGAAAACTAACCAACCTATAACTTAAAACAAGTGAATAAATTTGATATTTAAAAATGTTATGTAAATAAAATATTGCTATTTTGTGACATTTTGGCGAAAGTAAGATTTTTTTATTATGTATACCCCGTATATTTTGCCATTTTTGTAAATAATATAATAAATGTTCTTTACTCTTTTTTGTTAGCTCTAATAGCTTTGGAGATAATAGCGTTCAAAAATTTTAATATGTCATTTTTCTTCAGGCGATTTAAATAAGAAAAAACATGTTTTGGCAGATTTTTGAGAAAACCATGGAATTTGGACTTTGTAGTAGTTTTATGTGTTAAATTTAGAATAATTTTTATATATATTTTGAGATATTTGCGATTTAAATTAAAAGCCAAACTAAATTCAAACCTTTGGGCGCAATATATATTGTTTCCCAATAAAAAACAAACGCAACGCAAAAGAGATCAAATTTGAGAGGGCGGGAGTTTTTAAGATATGTGTTAAATTGAAAAAAAAACTGATATACGAAAATCTTTACGTCATGGCTACATGATGGTTGTATTCATCATTTGCTTTAATATAAATGATTTTCCTTCGCTTGTCCTTGAAACAATTACACACTGTAATATCCTTTCATCATGTTCTCGATCACGACGGTTAATTTTTTTTTTCGCTTTTTGTCTCCGCCGAACACCGGCTGGCCGGGCCTGCGAATCATTCCGTTTTGTCGTGTTCTTATAAGTCGACGAAATAAATTTGCGTCTTCAAAATGCCAAAATAACCAATAGAGAGAAAAAGCGGGCTTCGAAAGGATTTCAGAAAATTCAGAGTAAACTGCAATGTTTGGAATCCAGCGATTCGACGAGTGTGCCCTCATCTAGTGAGAAATCAAGTAACGTATGGTCTGTTCATAGATATAAGAAAGTGACTAATTGCTTTTGAATGGGATTATCCAAGGTTGGTCATTAACATACAATGCAACAAGATTATTACCTATATTCGGAATTTAAATTCAAGTAAAATTGTGGTCCGTAATAGAAAATAATTTTACACTTACCTGTGTACAATATTCTTTGGTTTGGTATGCTACTTAGTTTAATTTTATTAGCAATCATTCTTATTTAGTGTGTAATACAGAAGAGGGAAGCAGCCAGATTACAAGGAACACTGTTACCACCAGGAAATAGGTTGCTTGAACAAGGTAAATTTTTAGATGCATGGGAAGCAACAATCAGTGACCCAATTGTTCTGAACTGGGTCAAAGAGATACCCGTTCGTAGAAAGGAAAAACAATTGTGTACACCTAAGTCGGTATCTGCTTTTCTTAGAAAATTAAGCATTCTCTTGGTTGCTTACCTAGGCGATATTCTGATTATCTCAATGACAAAAAACTTTAAAGTTCACAACGGATCCATAAAATATTACCATATCTATACATTGATTGTGCCAAATTAGCCAAAACAGTAAAACGGATGAACAGCTGTTCGAAAAAGAATTGCATAACATTTTCAAAAACAACTAAGCACTAAAGAAGGCAAGTATAGACCGAGAAAAAAAATTCGTCAAACCGGTGGTCGGGTAGGTAGCAAGGAGCCCACAAATAGTCAATCAAAATAAATTGTAGGGTCGCCGGCAAAACTGTGTAATGCAAGAGAGCAAATCGGGCGATTTCAATAGCACCCGCGGGGAACATTCGTACCCGTTCAGACAGGTAGCACGCGTTACCGTTTGGACGCCCGCGCTAAAAATTTTTGAAATATTTGCATATCCATTTAGTTATTATTTCAATATTATTTCGCTATCAGAGCCCTTTTCTTCGGAAATGGGAGTACTCACAGCTAATGAGGACTATAGGCAACAAGCAGATTAGGCCGATTTCGAAATAGTTTTGCGTTGACGTGCAATCATAAAAAATGGCTTGACAAGCACCGAAAAGATGAAATAACAGAAAAATTCAAAATTCCCAATAACTGTATTTCCCTTATTCATCCAAAATCAAACAAACATACACACAGTTAGTCTGTGGTCTATCCGCAATCGGGGCAGTAATTGGTCAAAAATTACAAGTGACAGAACAAGCAACTAATACCAACAAATTGAGTGAAGCAGGCAAATATATACAAATATTTACAATTCGCTCTCTGTACACAAAACCCATAAAACACAAAACCAAAGTGTTTCAGAGCGACAACAATATATAACCGTGCTGAGCTTCTCACTAAACACCTCAAATATGAAAATCAATCAATTATTGCTTCCCATTTTTAAAATCGTCTACAAAAGCAGCTACTATGCCTTAAAGTCATCGACGGAAAATGAAAATAATATTCGCATGTTGCTCAGAACTGATAATTGCATTGCAAAATCTTGTGTCAATCGAGGAGGCAGCTTAAAATTTCAACACTTAAACGATGTAACAAAACAACTTTGGGAATGGTGCGAACACGAAATCTTAACAGTGTTTGCAAGCTACATTGCGTCAATAGAAAAATTAAAGCGGGCAAAGAGTGAAGATCATTATCACTCGATACCGAATACGAACCGAAACACCGAATACTAAAAAATTCGGGATTCCTGAAGTAGATCTATTCGCTTCACGAATAAGCAATAAGTGCAAAAGGTGTATTTCCTGAATTTAACTGAGGGGGCTTTTACTTGATGAAAATCAATTTATCAAAATAAATAAGAACTAAAAGTTCAGATTTTCACGAAATTATATATTTTGACATGACAATTGTTTCAACAACACCGTGTCTTTATCAAATGTGATCACATTTGATAAAGACTTTTAGTTCTTATTTATTTTGTGTATTTCCTGGCTCGCCGATCCAATTTCTTTGGCAGAAGACCCTTTCCCTATTCGGTGGAACAAATATTTCTTTTACGCCTTCCTACCTTTTTCCTTGCGCTACTCAAGGGTTGGATAAATCTATTCAAAAAAAAACGCTGGGTATTGCAGTTGCACCAAAATTGGTCTTCTCAACCGTGGTACCCTATTTTTAAAAGACTGTTGGCAGAAAATCTCATTTTTTTCGAACCTAATTTCAATCTAATACTATCCTCCTTCGGGACCAGGCCCACTAGCTGGGGAACTTTCCCTGGTGGCAGAGAAATTATTCGGTGCTCTCCAATGAAGAAAAGTACACTGGACACGACAATATCAACCATGGTCAAGCCACCAGCAGAAGTCACCGACAATCAGTACTCAAGTTATTTCAACAAATATTGGACTCCTGTCATCACAAAGTCAACACAGACCCGCTCTCTTATAACATAGGTAACTGTCTAGAGTTTTTGAAATGTGTATTGCATAGCGGGGCATCTCCTGTTATCAACTCCTCCAGATCGCCTCTAAACTTAATCTTTACCCCCAACGAGGATGATACAAACATCATTTACAGAATTTTAAAAGATTTTGCTAACATACGCTATTACGTGGAATTTGGATCCGGTGCTGGAGGTTTAAAAAACTTGGTATCCATTAAATTCTCTATGAGCATCGTATTACTTACGCACAAAAAACCATTTCAAGCAGCATCCCGCAGCATAAATCCCAGGCTAAAACTGGTCCTAAAGTTAGGTGGAATTGACACCAAAATCTTTTCCGACCAAAGCAGCCGATATACAGCAACTTCGGCTGCTTCAAGACGAGGTGTCAATATTGACTTTAGAGTCGGTTGGATACCATACTTCAATACATTTTTTAGATTTTATAATGGACCTTTAATCGAGCCCTGTTATTGTATATATTATTGTGTAGATATCTACACCGTTGTGAGTTTAATTATTTATTACTTTGGTTTATATTGTTATAAATTATGAAAATACACCTTCAGCTCCAGCTGCAGCAAAATCGCCTTTCACTCTGAACATCTACAGTGTATAATTGTATCAAGGAGGAGCGAAGAAAAATTGAAAGATTACTCGACTTACCTGGAAGATTAATATTAATTTTCCGAGCTTGTCCGTAGATACAATTACAAATCCATCCTTTACCCAGCCAGCCGGCGTTCGGCGGAGACAAAAAGCGAAAAAAAAAATCGTTTTTTGCTTTAAACGTCGTCATCGAGATGATGAACGGATACTACAGTGCGTAATTGTATCTACGGACAAGCACTAATTTATTGTTTCAAAGGGTTTAAAAATAAGGCTTCATAAAAATACTTTTTGTTAATTTTCACAATTTTTATTTGTTTGCTCGAAAACGAAACAAGACAAGAAAACAACTTAAAAGTTAATAACAAAAATTCTTAGCAAACTTTATAATTTTTATCTAGTTAAAGCCAAATTAGTCCTTTGTCATTATAAATGACGCGACCATATTTCAACAAAATCTGGCAAAAAATATTATTACATATATAAATGTAAATAATGTAATAAAGTCATTTTTTATTTTAATATTCACCAAGGTGCATCTTGAAAACATTTTCGGACCTACGTTTATAATTTTTTTTTATATTTTTTAACAAGGAGTCGTCCATGCATTATAATCTAGGTCTCTATCATAGTGAATTAAATTAAATTAAAAACCAAAAAATTTACCCCATTGTCATCGAAATTTTTTTTCTTGAATATCGTCATTTAAACCATTAGCTCTCCTTCTCTTCATCTAAATCTGTTTGCGTTCCTGCTCTATGCTTAAAGCGTCTTACAACTTACCCAAAATAGAGAAATCGGCAATAACTAAATCAAAAATAAACAATTATTATAATTTTTTGTGAGTTAGTTTTACTGTGAATACCCTCTATTTTCTTATCATTGAACAAAATCTTATTTTGATTCATGTTGCTCTAATATAGCTGATAAGTTATTAGTTATAATAGTAAATAGTTTTGGTGTACCTTTTTTTATTTTAGTTCTCCAAAAAAACCGTTTACTTTATTTAAAAGATATGTATTTTGAGATGTATATAGTTCGGTTTACTATAAAGGGTATAATTACAAGTATTCATCGGAACAGCATGCCACAAACACTGTTTAGCTAATTACTTGATAAATTTAAGTATTTTATAAAAGACGCAAATTTTCGTTACATGGACGCAACGTTTTAATTGATGTCCCCGCTAGTACTGCGACCACTTTAACAAGTTATTGTTAATGGCAACAGTACTTGCACAAGTCATTTTTTTCTGCTGAAATGAAATACCTCTTCATAGTTGCTGTAATTGTGATTTTTGGTATAAGTAAATCTGTTCAAGTTACGGGTAAGCGTATTTACGATAAATATTTTATAATTTATAATTCCAATTTCGCCGAAGTCTCGTTGTGAAATGTTTTTACCAAGTACACTTATCGGTTTAATATTTAAAGCCTCTGCAGCTCACCAAAAATCAGAATAGATAACGAAAATTATTTATATGCTAATAGTGAAATAGTGAAAATATGCTAACCAATATTTTAATAATATAATATTTAACAGCTTATCATAAAAAAACAGAACCGTGTCTGACTATCGAATTCGCAATAGGGTGAGTAGCCCCTTTCTATTTATTCGTGCTGTTTAACTACATATACACTTGACGCAGTAGGAAGTTGGTTTCCATTAGTGTTGACGTTAATGACATCACGGGGCTGTTCTAGAATTAGTGTTAGATTGTAAAACTTAGTTGGCCGTCAAAGGAGTGAGCAGACTCGATTGATTTTCAATCTCGGAGTTAAGCATTCGCTTATGTTGTTTGCAGGATTGTAGACATTTCATAAATCTGCTTTTCTATTTTCCTTTGGACCGTACCATTAATATCTCTTACATGTAAAATAATTCGGAAAAAAACATCAGTAAACATTTTTTTACCTAAGTACAACTCAAAAATAATCTACACAGAGCTGCACTCAAAAACTTCTTTAAACTAAACATAAAAGTAATTTCAAAATACCATCAAAATATGATAAATGAAATTTTGCACGTAAAAGTGATAGCTTGTTTATTATTTAATAAATAATCAAATAGGTAAGTTATGCTTTCTTAAGTATACTTATACTCAATGCTTGAAGAAAATTGCTAATATTTTGTAAAATAAATTTTTTATAACAGAACTACCACTAAAATATTTATTAGTATCATCTGAAAAAAACAAATGTTTTCTAACGTTGTTCTTCGTTGCAGACCAGCAATATGCATCGATGCCGGATTTATTTTATCTTGATAACTTTGACAAATGCATGTTATATGGGGACCGTGCATTGTTTTGCTCTTTTAGATATACGTTAGAGCCTATCGACGGTCAAAACGTCTCTGAAGTGTGGAAAATCATTCAGGTATATAATACTTTTAAAAAAACATTATCATATTTATGCATTTTCAATAATATTGTAATTGTATATTGTTTCATTTAGTATTCGATAATATTATTTACGTCAAATGCTGCGTGACTTATTTACATCGTAAATTACCTTAGATACGAAAAAATTTGAATCGAAAAATTCTCGATACCTTCCTAATAAGTAGAACAAAATTATAGCTTATTAAAGTTGAAGTTTGGAGTTTTGTAATGCTGACCGCCATTCTTTGTGACACTTTCGACAACATAAACAATAGTATATTATGCAACAAGTGCGGTAAACGAGGATAATAAACGAGCTTACCAAACGTGTTGCATACTATACTTTTTCTACGACCGTTAGTTTTTGAATACATTTTTGTAAAACAACACGAATACATTCACTGACAAAATTGACAAACGGTACAATTCAGGGCGAAATGTCCGAAAGAGCTCGTATATAATTAGCTATTTTACAGAAGGGAGAACAAACAAATTAATTTTCATTTAAAAGATAAGATTGCTAATTACAATATCGAAATCGATTTTTCACGCAATAAAACCGAAATAGCACATATATATTTTTAAGAAACTTTGACAATTTTAACTATGAATGATATTCTGTTGTTCCGTTTTAAAAGTAGATATTTATTTTTTAACGAGGAACTAGTGGGTAATGAAGAAAATCGAGCAATCGGAGATTAGGGAGTTGTACCTCAAGGCTCCGATCAAAAACCTAAAGCCAGGTAGAGGCGATCCAATTTCTACATGTATTTCTGTATGTATTTTTTGTGTTAGAAATTGGAAGGTACCTTCTATCGAATTCGTATTAGAGAATACGGAAACTAATATAATTATTATATATTGAATTTTATTCAGCTCTTCAACCAAACATCATTTCTCTCGTTTCTAGTGTTGGGATTATGGATTTTCCTTATGCACAAGTTGTGCGTCGTAAAAACATTTTTGCATAAAGTTTAGCCACGTGACATTCACAAATGCTAAAAAGTATCGTTTATTGTATTAAAAGTTTAAAAACAATATTTAAAAACAAAATTCCCCCAAAGTAATCAAAAATCGAAAAAGTTTGCATCGTTTCTACTATAAAAAAAACTGCCAGTTAAAAATACTGCATGTATGTATTTCTACGAACAATTTTGATCTGCTAAAAATTCTCGCATAACATGTAGAAATTGCATTGTATCTACCGGGCTTAAGAGCGAGCCTAAGAGTTATGAGAATTCTTTCATTTCAGTGTTGTGAAAACTGCAACCTTTAAATTCTCTCAGTAACCAAGATTACCTGTAAAAGTGTTAAAAAGTGAACATCAAGTTTAATTTGTTTGAATTAATCGCCAAACGATTTTCATCGATGCTGTTTTAGAATGTAACAAGTCATATTGCCAATTACCAACACAACCAGCTTAGACACCAAATTTGCGTAACGACTACGTGTCATGATGTAAGGAAAGCACATGAAAATGATCCTACATTGAAAAGAGAACTTGAAGATTGCTACAATAAAAAGTACACCGAATTAGGTTTAAAGGGAACGATAAAAGAACTTTCATGTGAAACGGCTAATTCACGATATTCAGTTGACTGGCTGGACATTATCAGCGGGTAATAATTATTGTTAGTAAAATAGTTGTCTCTATACGGGCGCAATATCGGGATTGAGAAAATAATTAAAGCTACGCAAAAAAAAATAAAGAAATGCAAATAGAATATGTCCCAGTTTTAATGGTTTTACCAGTGGAGTCAGTCTTCTTGTGAAAAGCACAAATTTTAGTATAAGCTCACGAAAAACTGTGCAAGGCAATTTAATGTTTTGTGACATTTTATTGTTCTAATAACTGCAACGGCATAGACCCGCAAAAAAGCTTCTTGGTCGTTATCGGGTTGCTCTACTTTAGTTTCTTAGAAATCGTTAACACTGCGGTGAAAACGAATCGAGGTGCATTTTGTTTACTGACAATTTTATTCTGAGGCATGATAATTCAAAAACGATGTGGATATTCCTGTCTTGGAGTGGTCAGCTTTAAGTTCAGATGTGACGCCAATTAAACATGTTTGGGACGTACTTGGGCAAAGAATACGAAGTCGTGCTTGTGCTTCTTTAACTTGAAACGAATTGCAAGCAACCATATTAGATATATGGAAACCTCCACCATCTGATTTTTAGCATGCTGAGGAGAATGCAGTCAATTATTTCTCCACGTGAAGGCAACGGTGACATCTATTATTAAAAATATACCATTTTATTTATAAATACGCCTCAATTTTCATTAATTTGAAGATCACATTGGTACAATATAAATCTGTATTTGTGAGTTTTCCTTATCACATATACTGTTGTTGATTGTTAAAAATGACTTAAAACATGTTGTTTTGTTATTAGAAGAATAAAATATTACAAAACATTAAATTGTGTGTGTGGTATGATAAACTGGTAACTAAACATTTGTTTTTTAATAAAACATTCTATAAGTCTAATTTCATTAGAATTATCATGAACTTTTCAAAAATATGTAGCGCATACTAGCTACTTCAAATACAATATTATTAAATATCTTGAATGTTATTTTTTTGTGTTACGTTTTATCTGTCAAATAGTCGTGACATTTCGTAAGTATTATTTTAATTTCTGTCTTGCCTTCCTTCCGTTATGGGTTGTGTTAACCCAAAGTTCGCCAATTCTGAAAAATTTGAAATAATCAACAAGTTTACTGTGACTAGCTTTTCATAATGTGTTATGTAATTTACGTAAAAAGTCTATTTTCCATGATCTACTCATAAAAACAATAAAATTAATGATATGTCGTTATTAAATTAGAACAAAAAATATTCAGATTTTCCCAGTTTTTAATGCTTTATGACAACTGTTTCGGCAACGCCGTGCCTTTATCGAATACCATATTTTAGAAATAAAATATAAGTTTAGTTTATATCAAAACATTTTTTATCTTTTCTATAAGTGAAATCATAACTAAATTACAAAGGGTATCTAAAAATGAAACAATAAATCATCCTATATCTAAGAATCCAAAATAGCTATAACATTGTCATTTGCGGCACCTTTCATTTAATAAAAAGCCGCTCTCGTCACGAAATTCCCTACAGGCTAGCTTTATTAATAATGAGGTACACCCTACAACCAAAAGCCGTACATAGCAGAAAATATAAGGAAAAAAGTTTTTTCTTGTGGCATTATTGTACAACAATTTTTTTGTTTTTGTTGTTTCGTATTTGAGAGATCACGATACATTTTTAAATGCTAATGATATGCAGCTGCCAATATGGTTTTTTTACTTTATTTCAATTTATTATGGAAAAGATACCCCAATATGCTCCAATTTGGCAAACAAAAAAATAACGAAAATGACAAATTATTAAAATCCACGATAATTTTAATCAATATTTCAAAAGTTAAGCTGAGAGTAATCATTCAGAAAATGAAGGACATCTGTCCTTACTTTTGTTCAAAATTTTACTCGAATACTTTCTAAAATTTTGCAGAATATTTTTTATTTTGTACGCGTCGTTTATATTGTACGCAACATTTTACGAATCGGTGGCAAGGTACAAATCGCCTGAAGAGTATAGACGGTTAACGAGTACGCCAAAAGGCGTCATCTTGAGTTCCTGTTCTTTGGTTAGGAGCTGGATAAAACTAAAAACCGTAAATTGGACCCCAGAAGTGGAGAAGTTACGATGTATTCAAGGTCTAAGGTGAGTCTAATATTTTCATTTTCTGCGTTTTAAAAACAAATGCTTGTAGATTTTACAACATCGGTTTGGTTGTACTGTCACATACGGTGTTGACATATTTAGCAGTACCCACTTCGAACACAAAATATCCCGAAAATGTAAGTTTTCATTATTTTTTCGCTTTTCCGAAGTTTTGTAATAAACATTTTATAGGAATACCTCTCGTATAGATTGCTATTTGCTAGTATAAACAGAAGTTTAACCAATTCAACCGGGAGTACTAGCAATATTTTTATTTTGAGTTGACATATCAAGATCTCAACATACAAAATTTGTTTTATAGACTATTGGTCTCTTAGTTAATGTTTGCTCATTCAAAAACGAAGTGGTTGACTTAGTATTTTCAGCAGCGCAATATGAACAATAAAAAAAACTGCTCGTATGGTATATTTAGTTTCTGCAACGGTAAAGCTTTCGTGTTCATTTAAAATCAAAGAGAAATTTTGTACTTCCTTTTGAATGTGTATTTAAATATGGGACGTTCTTCTGCATACATATTAACGTTTTGCGCGAGTTACGTTTGTTGATCAGAGAGACACTTTTTTAAAAAACTTTAATTTGCTTAAAGAATTTTATTGTCGTTAAAAACGGGAACGATTTATAACAACAAAAGCGAGTTGACTGCCTGAAGTTAAGAACAGAACTACTTCTCCTGTCTCAAAATTATCTTAACGTTAAGTTGTATACAATTACATAAACGGAATAAAGCGATATCTAAATGCACACTGTGCGATTAAATTATACTAAGGTAAGCAGTTTATTGGCATGTGACTCCTCCCCTCATAAGTGTGAGCATCCCTGCTGAAGGGGGTGAACCGTGTCCGTCGGGTATTCTTCATCTTTAACCTTCGTGTGATCCTTCTTTTTAAAGACGATAACCCTGTAACTAACATAACAGCAAAATACAATTATTAATACATAAAGGATTATTGTCCAGATGCTGACATCTCTTGTTCTAATAGGGTTGGTTAACTCTGATTTCTTGAGTCTGTAGCCTAAGGGTAGCTCGAATCGTGTTCAGGTCGTCCAGTTGAATATCATCTAAGACGAGTGGTTCAATCTTCGACGTCGGTCTTTCCATTTCTAGGGTTGTAAAGTTTATCGACGGGAGTTCAATATTTTTATGTCGAATCTTTGATTCTTCATAGATTTTTATAACAGTTCCTTCTAACTTTATTTGGCACTCTCGCACCAATTCCAGTAAATACGGACCTTCTAGGGGAATACTTTCTTGTTCCTTGCCGCACGTTTGAACGCTAACAGTTTTTTTCGGAGACACTATTAAAAATTTATTGTTCGATAGTTTCGGGATCTTGCACTCCGACATTATCACTGGGAAAAGTTTATAGTTTGACACATTTTGTTTAAATTGGAGAAGATGAACTTCACAAGGTGATAACTTATTAATCTGTGTTGGATTACCATTATTACAAATAAATTCTCCTTCACTAATTTCCTTACAAGGTGTGTTCGTTAAGATGTATTTATTTTCACTTATCACTAGGAATCCGGCCATGGGAACGATTGCTTTGTAGGAATCCATTTTTATAGGCAAGGGGATTAATTTGAAGTAATTGTAGTTTTCGTTTTCTGTTAACGGGATTTCAATAATAAATGTTATCTTATTCAGTTTTGAATAACCCTTTATATTACTTACTTTTTCAAAAAGAAGTATAGTCTCAAGTTTAGATTCAAATGGCAATTTATTATTTTTAGTTAAAGTCTTTTCAATTGTTTTCATTTCGTCTATCAAGTCGTGTGGTTCAATTAAAGGATTATGCAATGTGCCTAGTTTAGAGAATGTTATTGATGTTTCTAAGTTATCCAAAATTTGCAGAATAGTTTGATATTGAGTCACAACTTGCGAAATTACCATTTCTATAATCAAAAAGTTAAAAGTATTAATATTATGGATATCTGTTTTCTTCTATTAGTAGTAATTTACTTTCTAGCATAATTTGATTATATGCCAGTGAACTAACTGTTTTATTAAATCTATTGATCGAATTATCTAGGATCGAAATCTGATTGATGATTAAAGATTTAATTTTATTTTGATTAGATGACAGCGTTTCAATAGCTTTATCATAACGTTCGGCATCGTCGTTATCCAGGTTGCCAGTTATAACTTTAATAATAGAACCTAGGCCATTAATAATTCCACGTTTTTCTCTACCTTGTTCTATAGTATATTGAGGATTTATTTGTGAGATTCCAAGTTTGATTTTATTTTCTAATGTAGTTATTAAATGGTATGAATTATAAAATTCTATTTTAAAGCCAGCACTATTATTATGCTTTTCGAAAGCTTCTCTTAATTTTGTCGCTGAGTTAGATATATAATGATATTCTTTAATTAGATTTGTTATATCGAAAATTTGAACAAATGTCCAGTGGTCAATTTGGTTTTGTGCGTTACCTAACTTAAAGGGGAATAATCCTGGATTATTCTCAATCTTATGAAATTTGGGGTATCTTTGTTCTGCCATCAATCCGCAGTAGAAAAGGAGGAATCTGTAACAGAAACAGGTTTCCTTAGTTCCTTTATATGTGTTATTTCCGTTTTATTTTTATTATTTTTTATTTTGACTTTATTATTAGGTAGAATTTCGACAATTTCGAAAGGTCCTTTAAATTTATTTTCTTTTTTATTTCTTCTATCGTTACTTTTATAAACCTTTTGCCCTATTTTAAACTGGAATTGTTCTGGTCCTTTAGTGTATATAGTGTGACTATAGCCGTATTCCATAGGATTTGTTTCGTTTTTAAATCTATTTTTTAACAACCTTAAATGTTCTAATAGCGTAGACTGGAAACGTTCTATTGGTGAGTTACTTTCGTGATGCCCGGGGGTAGTAAAATGAATATATATTTTATGAATTTTTAGCAGTTCTTTTACTGTTTCGTTATAGAATTCGGTACCGTTATCAGCTATAATTTTTTCTGGTATTCCGTAGAATGTAAAATAGTGCATTAAAGAGTTACAAATTTCAATTGCATTTTTGCTAGTAATTTTAAATGCTTGCCCTAATTTAGAAAACTTATCAATTATTGTTAAGTAATTCTGACCGTCGAATTTAAAAACGTCTATGTGTAAAATTTGAAATGATTTGCTCGGGGTTTCTGTTAAAGCTAATGGACTGTAAGGTTTGTCTCGAGCGTATTTTGCGACCTGACATATTTCGCATGCATTAATATAATTAATAATATCATGTTTCATTCCTGGCCAATAATAATTCTTTTTTAAATGCTCAATAGTTTCTATAATACCTCTATGATTTGTTTTTCCCTCGTGATGAAATTTGATTAGCATTATCTGTTCTTCCTTTTCCCTAACCGTATTTATTAATTTTGTGCATTTAATGAGTTCTAGTCCTTTCTCATAAAAATATTTACGATACACATTATTAAATTCGCTATACTGGGTGTTGTCGTGAAAGTAAATATAAAATTTAGTTCCTAGAGATGTGTGTTTTTTCAATAAATCTAGAATTAAGGTTTCATTATGTTTTGGAATTTTTACTTCCAGAATTTTAAGTTTTTGGAAATCGTTTTGACTTATTATTAATTCGTTATGTATATTGGGTGTAACAATTATTTGGTGTGATTTATTATTTATAATTTCGTCCAAAATTCGGATTCCTTCATTTGTTGCTTCTTGATTACTGTCAGAATGTACAGTATCTATTAGTTCGACAGGGGTTTGGTGATCGATATTTAAATTTTGTTGGTTTGTACTTGGTGCTATCGGGTTATCGTTTATAACATTTTCGGATAAGTGTCGTAAATAGTCAACTATGTCCTCATTTCACTTTCAAGGGCGTTAACCTGAATTCGCGATAGGGCGTCGGCGTTCGCGTTTAATTTTCCTGGCTTATAGATAACTTCATAATCAAATTCTTCGAGACGAAGTCGCCAACGTACTAACTTACTATTAGGTTCTTTTAGATTAAAAAGCCATGACAATGGTCGGTGGTCTGTATAGATTTTAAATTTTTTTCCGTACAAGTACGGCCTAAAATGTTTGCAGGCCCACACTATTGCTAGCAGTTCTTTCTCGGTTGTAGAATACTTAGTTTCACTATTGTTTAATGTTCGAGAAGCATAAGCCACAGGTTTATCATTAGGAACGTCTCCTTGGGAGAGCACTGCACCAATAGCAAAGTTACTAGCGTCGGTAGTTAAGTTAAATGATTTTTCAAAGTTAGGGTATTGTAGAATAGGCGAGTTTATTAACATGTCTTTACAAGTTTCGAAAGATTGTATAAATTCGGGCGAATGAATTACTTTCGCTTCCTTTTTTAGACAAAGAGTTAGGGGTTTAGTTAATTTTGCAAAGTTTTTAATAAAGCGTCTATAATAACCGAGTAGGCCTAAAAAACTTTTAATTTCTTTTTGAGTAGTGGGTATTGGGAAGTTCTTAATTAAGTGTATTTTATCTAAGTACTGAACTTCCTTCCTAAGGAACTCCGATTTATCAAGTTGTACCTTTAGATTAGCTTCTTTCAAACGATTAAAAATTTGTCTAAGTCTTAGGATATGTTCTTCGAGCGAAACCGAGAATATAATTATGTCGTCAAGATAGATGGAACAAATTTCGTTATGTAAACCTCTAAGGATATTGTCCATGACCCTTTGAAAGGTGGCTGGTGCTCCTTTCAAACCGAAAGGCATTCTTTTAAAATGAAAATGTCCGTGAGGTGTGGAAAATCCGGTTTTAGAAACATCATTGGGATCTACCTCGATCTGGTGAAAGCCAGAAGCTAAATCCAAAGTGGTGAAATAATTTGATTTACCTAATTTATCGAGAATATCGGCAATGTTTGGGATCGGGTAACGATCATCGATTGTTCTGTCATTTAACTTACGATAATCAATTACCAGACGCCATTTTTTCTTTCCCGATGCGTCAGTTTTTTTTGGGACGATCCAAATTGGGCTAGACCAAGGTGAATCAGAATGTTCTATAATGCCTTGTTCGAGCATCCTATTAATCTGAGAGGTTATTTCTTCGCGATGTACTTCGGGAAAACGATAGCTTTTAGTATAGATAGGGGTCTCATCTTTTACTTTAATTTTATGTTTTATTTTATTAGTAAAACTAAGAGGAATTTCTTCGCAATAAAAAATGTCTCGATATTCTAAGCATAATTTTCGAATTGTATTTTTTTTCTTCTGAATTACAGTGACTTAATCTAAGGTTTTTTAAATTTTTTTTCAAAATATTATCTTGGGAAGTGCTTGAACAATTTTCTTCAATCTCCATTTTATCAATAAAGTTTTTTTCTGCTATATTAACATTTCCGATTTCTAATGGACCATTAAAATTAATTTTCACAGGGTTTTCGTTAGAATTAGTGGCAATAGTCAATGTGAAGTTATTTTGAATATTCACTAGAGCTCTGGGTATTTCTACTTTGCTACCTAAGTTAGTATAGTCCAAGATACCTAAACCATCGGATTGGTTTACAGGGACTTTTATTACTTTTTGGGATCTACCGGGTACAGTTACTGAATTTGAGAAATTTCGAAACGGTTCCGACCTATTATTTTGTATGGGTTCTTGTGTGTTTTCGAAAATCATTGGTATTTCAGTTTTTGTGGTTCTTAACACCTTTTTGTTAAAGTCGATACTTGCGTTTATTTGTTTTAAAAGGTCGGCACCTAATAAACCATCGTATTTTTCGGAAAATTTAAAGAGATAAAGTTTTATAATTTCATTTGTTTTGAATATTTTAAACGCTGGAATTTGTAATACCTTATCATGTTGAGAAATTGCGTGGGCAGTTTTGATAAAAAAGTTTTCAAAAACAATGTTCGATTTAAAATATTTTTCTGCAGTTTGTGGATTTATTAACGATCTAGAACTACCTGTATCTATTAAAAAATATGAGTTAATTTCTGGGATATAAATATATGGCAAATCAAGTCTGTGGTGGTTTATATCAATTACGTTTATTGATTGGTATTGATCTGTTAGGTATTGTTGTTGGTAGAAGCATCCATTTGAAAATTTTGCTCATATGATTCGAAATTATCGGGTTGGTAGTCGTAGTATTCGTATGGATTAGCATGATAATCCATATAATTTGGGTCGAAATCGGTTTCATGTAGATTAGCAGTATAATCTACTGTATTTTCATAATTTTCAATTGTTGGGTTGTGTTTTCTTGTATAGGGGAATAATTTAATTCTGATGTCGATTGATCAGGAATATTACCATTACTTTTCACGGATTGTGCAAATAATTCTTGAGCTACAAAATTAGGTTTCGGAAACATACGTGTATTTCCTGAGCTCGTATCCATAGGTTCTGGTTGATTATTTTTCGGAATATTTTGGTTTCTAGCGGTTTGATTTCTTAACATTGCACTTGCACGTTGATTAGCAAAGATCGGATGTTGTTGATTAGGAAGTCTATTATATGGTTGCCAAGTCTTGGTTGATTCTGTGACGGCCTTTGAAATGGTCTAAACATTGGTTTATAGTTTGATTGGTTTTGATTTGGCATTTGAGGAGTTTGATTTAGAATATTTTTAAAATTAGATTGGTTATTGTGAAAATTTTGAGACTGGGGGGGTCTAAATAGGTTTATTGGCGTTCTCACAAAGTTTTGATTCATTCTTGGTTGCGGTTTATACATTGTATTAGCTAAATTGCTATTATGACCTGTTTTGAAATATACGAAATTTTCTTCTTCAGTTACATAGGCCAGTGCTTGTTCTAAATTATCCGGATTCTTTAATCGAGTTACTAGTTGCAGGTAATCCATTAATAAAAGTTTTTAATGCAAAATCGTCATAATGTCTAATTTTAATATTTCGTTCATTTACTTCTTGAATTTCTGAACTCAATTTGGAAAACAAAAGACTTCTAGCATCCTGGATTCGCATGCCGAATTGGAGAGGTGTTTCAGACTTTAACGGTTTCATACTAATTAAATCTTGAATCAAACAATCAATACTTCTCTAATCACTAAACGTTTGAATTAAAACGTTCTTAATTAATTGCCAAGAATTTAGTTCACTTCGGCTACAAATCAAATCAGCGGCTCTACCACATAATTTTCTTCTAATTGCATCCAGAATTATTATATTTACATTATTTTGATCTGGTGCATTACGACAAGCTAGTAAAAGATTTTCGCAAGAAGTAACAATTCTAATTAATAATGTCGGATTGCCATCAAATGGAGCAATGTTATCAGTTTGGAATCTTATTAGAGGAATATTTAATGCCATTTTATTACTTCGAGATGTATTATCAAGTTGTTCGTCTAAGCTAATGTCTAGAAAATTTCGGATCAATTCGTCTATACTATAGAAAGTTATTGACATAAAATAGTACGAAGGTAAAATTGAGGTTTAAACGAATCTCTTATAACTACAATTACTACACTAACAATGGAAAATGGGAAATTGAAATATTCGACTTACAGTGACGGGATTTTCATTGCTTGGTTTCTTCGACTGTTTGTTTGTTTCTTTTCTTCTTCCTAGCCTAACGCCTATAGGAACCGGAGATGTGTTCTAGCTCCCAGGTCTTCCTAGTCTAATTTGGACGAAGTTGGTCCTGTTCCCTTGCACACAGTTCAGTCCGGAGGCGATTTTTGTCCTCTTCGAAGATCACGATGTACTAGTGTCTCTTGACTGTTCCGAACTTAAATTTACGGTTCGTCGATAAATCGCTTCGGCGATTTTTGTCCGAAATTTGCGAAATTACCGAAAAATCCGCTCCGACTGCGCCAGTTACGTTTGTTGATCAGAGAAACACTTTTTTAAAAAACTTTAATTTGCTTAAAGAATTTTATTGTCGTTAAAAACGGGAACGATTTATAACAACAAAAGCGAGTTGACTGCCTGAAGTTAAGAACAGAACTACTTCTCCTGTCTCAAAATTATCTTAACGTTAAGTTGTATACAATTACATAAACGGAATAAAGCGATATCTAAATGCACACTGTGCGATTAAATTATACTAAGGTAAGTTTATTGGCATGTAACTCGCGTAACATCAAGGTCCGTTTGTATGGCCCTTAAAGGAGGAAAAAGTATTAACTTTTTGGTCGATCGTAGGAAAAAATATTTTGTTTGTAATGTTGTCCTTAGACTAGGTGTCAATATTTAAAGAACGAAATTTCTGAGTCTGTTTTCTTTAAATAAAACTTCATCTTCACTTTTGAAATACACGTGGTAAAATTTTCAAAATAAATCGGTTTTTAAACAATATCTATAATTTATAATAATAGTACCTAGACATGGTGATAGAATTCGTTATACAAGAATTTATGCACTGGTGGTGTTTAAAAAAACATCTTTTATTAATTATTAATTTTATTTGTCAAAATATGCAAATCAGATTCCTCACGAATAGTGGAAAATAACCTGGTTGCCAATCTAAAGCCAATTCAATTAATTCAAAGATTTAAAGCAGAAGTAAAGAGAATCATCCTCGATCTCTCACCATACACAGTGGACGAGTTTGTTGCTGGATTGCGAGGGCCGTTTAAAAAATTTTAGTAATTATGTCTGTGTTTGTCACAAATTTTAAATGTAAGCCTTATCTATTGGGTTAGTTGATTTTTATCTATTTGTATTTTACTTTATTTTTTTCATATTTAATTGATCGCTATTGTTTACTATGAGACGATGCTGAACATTATGTAGTGCGGAAGAACAAATAACGCATATCATTATTATTGTTATTATTATTATTATAATTATAATTATTATTATAATTATAATTATTATTATAATTATAATTATTATTATAATTATTATTATTATTATTATTACAGAGCAATAAAAATTCCTCTTGATTCATAAATACTTGTATAATAAACGCTATTATTATAAATTATAGATATTACCAAATAACCGATTTATTTTGAAAATTTTACCACCTATATTTCAAAAGTTAAAACACGTCCTCCTAAAAATTGACATTTAATCCGAAAGCACGCTGTATAGATGTCTACTTATAATATAACTAAATTTTTAGATGCACCAATCGAACGGGGTGTTATTTTTCTCCAGTGGCCCACTTTGTGTAGGAACCTTTTTCTTCATATCCTCATTTCTGTTATCTCAATCTCTCTTTGAGTATCTCAGTGACAAAAAAGGGATTAATATGAAAATGTATATTTTCGCCATGGCAAACCGCTTTTTTAGGTAAGTTGCAAGGTTTTAACGAATTTTTTTTCCGAAGATTTTAATTTGACAAATTTAAAAGGGTATATTTAGGTCTGAGTTTAGTTTAGGTTTTTTTTAGGTTAGTACCAACAGTATTTTTTGTAGTTTTGTTCCATGCTACATGGTTGCGTCATTTTGGTGCCGGTCCGTTTTGGCATGATTTTATAGGTGAGGAATTTCGAAAATGCCGCAAGAATGGGTGGTCAAATGTGTTATTCCTTAACAACTTTGTCGATAAATACAACATGGTAATTATTTTTATATACAATAGTTTTTAACTTCAAAATTTTATATTTTTTGGTATACGGTAAGTATTTTACTTATTTATCCAAAGACAAGTACATTAAACTAGTTAAAATACGGTACGGGATTATGTATGTTAGAGAATCAATTACTTTTCCTTAAATGTGATTTTGGCCACAGCAACATTAGCAAATAATGGCATACAATGTGCTATTTGAATGGGAAATTTGCTTTAGTGCTTGCCGACAACTTGGTATCTGGCATTAGACACGCAATTTTTTGCGTTTGGGATACTTTATATAGGCTTCATAAAGAAGTACGAAAAATACGTCTGGCCCATACTTGGAACAACCATGCTGTTGAACATGACCGCCACTTTTCTGCAAAATTTATATTACGATTTTCCAGCGCTTATATTTCCAACAGCGGAGTAAGTAATCATTGGTGTAACCCGTATTGTTACTATAATTACCAAAACTTATTCTAACTACAGTGGTGTTTGTTTCACTCTAAGCTTAAAATCAATAGCAGCATATTAATTCGATTTGCAATATTCAGTTCATAGTTCACAAGAAATGGCGTTATCTCACTTTATTTCGTTTTATTTGCTCTATAACAGTTTTTTTTAATACTTAAGATACTTTACCATACCTAAAAAGTGAATTAAATGTGTTGACTACTAGATTTGTTTGTTAATTTATGCTAACAATTCGTATAAACTAAATTTAAATTGAGGACAAAATTGGTATGTCATTAAGTATACAATTTTCACCAGAATTTCGATTTTTTTTTATTTAAGCACATACAACTCGTAGTAGAGCAAGTCATTTTATGTTAATAAACTTTTGCAGACTTCAGTACAAATTGGAAGGACTTACACATAATTTTCAATTCTATACTCAGATAGCCGGACACATCGGTAATTTCGGGGGCTATCTTAATGGCATTGGATTTGGATACTACTACCAAAAGAATAAAAACAAAAAAATATTTAACACCAAGGTACCGAATATAAATAATAAATGCATACTTAAGCACAGCATTATATTTTTGCGTCCATCTCATACCTATTATTGGCACATCTACACCTTTGCCGAACACTTTTGACTTGGTATGTAAATATTTTTGGTATTTTTAGTTTCGCGTCTTCGTATGGTGGATGTCAACGTTTGTGCTTGCTCTGAGCTATATTTTCATTACAAGTTTGATCTTCTTTAGATGGTCTGTGGAACGAAGTCCACGGTGGGCTTCTCTATACGTAGCCGTATCAAGACCCTTATTTACTTTTGTAATAGGAATTGGCTTACTTGGTTTTACAGAAGGTGTGGGGTGTAAGAAAAAAGTAAATTATTCAGATTCGCATAAATATCGACTTATACAATTTTAGGGCTGGCACTCAGAGTGCTTCAATGGTCACCCTTGTATGTTCTTGGAAGATTGAATTTTAGCGTTTACTTAATACACTTGTCATTTGCACTAATTAGATTAGCATATTGGCGATACCCAGTATATGTATCTGATTACGTGATGGTAAGTAAAATGTATGCGCCTAGTCTCGGTTAGAGATTTGCTATAAAAAAAAGAAAGAAAATCATATAAAGGTATTCGCTAAGAAACTTCTCGAAAGGGCACTGACACAATTTTAATCTTCTATCGTTTTTTTCCTTTGCTAGTTGTACTATTTGTATTTTATTAGAAAACAAACAACGCCCTTGACAGTATAATGCTTACTTCAAACTATGGTACTGGGATTGGCATCGGGATATTTTTTTAAATATGTTATTCAAATAAATGCTAAAAATATTCAAATTGTGTTATTGTCAAAATACAAAATAAGTACTTTTTTTTTTTCACAAATTACCGCTTTTGCTTCTTGTTATAATAGTTGATTTGATAGATTTTTTAAGAGGTATTTTGAGGAAAGATCACAAATAACAAAGAGAATTTGCTTCATCCCCGACGTTTCAACTTTTTTGCTACATCTTCAGGGCCTACTGGAAATGGTTGGAATTGTCACAGTTAGTAGCAATACAATTATTTACCAACATAATTTATCCAAGTGTCGTAATTCAATAACTAGCAAGTTTTTCTTTTTATTTATCTTTTTTTAAACTTTTAATTTTAAGTTAACATATTAATTAAACATTTCGATTTCTAGGCTACAACTTTCTTTTCGGATATGGTTGTTAGTTACATAGGAGGTGCTGTTCTTACGCTGTGTATTGAAATGCCGGTTGCCGAACTGCAGAAACGTTTTTTTAGCCTGCCGGAGAAAGAAAAACCTGAAACTGAGAGCAAAGAACAATAGTTGAAGTGTTATTTTAGTCAATAAAAAATGTGTTGAACTTAACGAAAGTTTATTTTTTAGTCATAGAATTTCCAGTAATTTCTCAATTGGTAAAATCTTTCTATTTGCACCGTGCGATTGCGATTATGCTTTTTCTTGGAATTTTCAGATCGATGTGCTTACTCGTGCTTTCTTTTGTTTAGCTTGGGTTCTGGAGCAACAGTCTACGCGAATCCAATGGTGGGTATAACGCTTACGACGTGAATTGAAAGCAGCTAAAAAAATTCTCGTTGTACCGGGTCTATACACTAAAAGTCTTTTTTAGGAACATTTCTTCAGATATCTCTGAAATACCCTGAAATTGCATGAAATACCCTGCATTTTTCCAAAAATCGAACACATATTCCTTCCTTTCCTATGATTTTCTGACGTCCCAAGGGATAGTTTGTCACAGAAACTTATCATTTTAAAAATTGAGGATCCTTACATTTCTATACAAAACCAACATCCTACCTACTATAATCCTATTAGAATTAATCTCAATGACGACTCTGGATAGTGAAACAGAATTAGGTTTGGACATTTAGAATAAAAATGTAATTATGTATAGGTATTCCTATCTATGAATTTATTGTATATATTTAATGTCATTGTTTTTTTTTTGGTGTAATTTAATAGAATTATACCCACGTAAATAAACAAAAAAAAACATGATTACCAAAACCTTTGAGAGTCTGTCAAAAGCAAAATACTAAGTTAACATTTTTACCATACTTTTTATAGTACGCTGCCTATAAACTTGATCGTTTCGTTAAATATTTTTACTGTGCATCTGGAAATTCCGTTGTTATACTCGGTTGCCCGCAATTATGGAAGTTACCTGCCACTGGCAATAACACTCGGGTATGATAGGTATTAAAGGACAGAACATTAGGGACGGACTCTCAAAAGTTTTGGTAATTTTTTTTTGTTTATTTACTTTTGGTACAATCCTGTTAAATTGCACTAAAAAAAACAATGAAATTAAGTGTATACAATAAATTACATATACATAATTACATAAATTACATAATTCCGCAAATGCTCTATGAGGTTAAATATGCAATGATATGGAGGAAGACGTAACCCTCCCTGTTCAGTAAAAATATCATACTGTTTTTTAATTGCATATGAAGCTTTTTTGTAACTGAATTCAAAATAAATATCATTTTCTAACAAATATTCCTGGCATTCAGTTTTTGAATTTGATAAGGGCGGGGCATAGCATTGCAGACCGCTGTGGTAGCTTGCACTATCCACGACAAAATATTGGGATTTTTTTTTAAATGTTGTTTTGAAATAAATTTTCAAAAAGTTCGGCACTTGTATCCTCATAATAATCCAAGCTAAAATCCTTAATATTCTTCGCAACCAACAGCAAGCACTTTGGAACAATTCCATCTTCTGACCCAGCGTCTAATATGGTGATGCATTTTCTTTTATTCGAAGGAGTGTTCGTCTGACAGTTTTGAGTGGAATCAACCCACCAGTCAGTGTCGTGTGTATCGAACCATATTTTTTGTCTGTTGTCTAATCTATATATTTTCCATCACGACTTGCCTTTTGTCTATTGTGAGGCACTTAATCCCACTTTACAAACAACCCTATGGAAGGTGGCACGGTTAATATTTCTATTAGTCTCATCGTCTTCTAGCTTCTTTTTCAGTTTATCCAAGGTTGGAACAACTTCGCTTTGATAAAGACAATATATTTTCCTTCTTATTAGGTCCTAATTACTATTGTCTACACGGTGAGTTTGAAAATCATTCTTCACTATCAATAATATCCCTTATCGACGATATTTGGCATTTTTGTAAGTAGAAAGGTTTCTGTTAAAGTTTCTTGTTGAATAAGTAACTGTTTTGCATCAAGCGACAAATGCTTTCGACGCGACATTGTAATATTCTCGTAAAATAACTTTTTCGAAACGCACAGTAAAAACGATTAAAAAAGAAAAAAATATACCTGGCCCGCCCCTGCCTTCTCACCCTAGTAAGAATAAATTTCTTGTTAATGACAATGACAATAACAGTATGTAATAACATCGTTAAAGTTTTATTGGAAGGGTCCGTCGAAAGCCTCCACGATGAGACGCCTGATATGGCTTATCCTTACTGAAATACCCTAGTCATTTACCACACGCCATTTGTACTGCTAGTACCATGATTACCGATTACAGTCGACTATATTGGTCCGCGTTTGAAAAGTACCAAAAATATTTTTTATCCCTAAACGATCTTAATAGTTTCATACTTAGGTAATACAAATGGATATTCGCACGTGTATAAAGAAATATATTTGCAATTATGGACGATTTAACGACATTCCTGGAGTTTACTGACAAAGAACCATTTATAGCTAAAAAATATGATGGTCAGTGCTAAGATTTGTTATAGCACCGAGAAATGGAGTTAGGAAAATACTGTTCATTAAATAGGTAAATATAAGAAATAATTTCCAAATGCCCACCAAATTTTCGGCCAAATTATTTAATGGCTAAGTGAGTTTCACCTACTTAAGTTCGTGTATTGCAACAGGTTTTTTAAATATTGAAATATTTTTGAAATTTTAAAGAACGTTTCAGATTGTCCAATAGTTATTATAGTAAGTACCATGTTACGCCAATCAACCAAGGAAAAAATTAAGACCATTAAAATTTATATATACTTTATTCAACCCTTAACAGAAAATTCAAATTTCACACACTGATATTTAGCAAGCCAAACAGTTTAAATTTAAACTTTTGTACATTCTTGGTGATCGCGACACTCATATGGGAGAGCTGCTATGAAGTTCTTGGGTTTAGTATTGCTCTCTTGACCGTTACCTGCTGAGAATAATATCTTCTGTAATGCTGATGTGGGCAATTCGACAAGTAAACACATCAATGTCCCTGCTAAGTAAGCAAGAGTAACATCACCCAATACGGCTGTAAACTAAAGAGAAATTTATTTTATTTATATTTATTTATCACTACATTATTCTTAGAATTATACTAGTATATTTAAAAATAATTTAGAGCGCGCTACATGCAAATTTACTGTTTTACTAAATAATATATCACCCTAATAAAATTCTTCCTAAAATTTAATGTAGGTATGATGAGCAGCGCCATCATCGGAGAATCAATTTACGAATAGGTAGATATAAAAAAAATGCTTAACATAATGATGGCTATATATATGCAGGCAAGTCCGCGCGCAAGTGTGTCCAGATAAGTCCGCGAGGAAGTACGAAACGAATTGCGGCCACACACTATTCAGGTAAACGTCGAGGTTCACCAGTTGGTGGGGCCTGCTGCGGTGCGAAAAATGAAGTTGCCCTTCGCACTTGCTCTAAAAATCAGACACAATCTGATTTGCTTCGAGCCGCGCTTGGAACTGAACGCGCCGTGAGTTTTGACACATACACATTCGCACTTACTCGCGTGTCTCGACCCGTACAAGCAAGTCTTAACACTTGCCTGCATGTGTATAGGCCGCTTAAGAGTCTTAAATACGTTATGGCCCTGTAAAAGCAAATCTAATGTTATGATCATACCTACACAAAACCGCAAAAATTAAACGCAATAAAATACCTAAACGTTTTTAATCAAATGAAACTCACCAAAATATTAGTATTAAGAGAAACAGGATAACGACGGTAACCCAAATTCATTTTTGCAAAAGCAACGTGGACAATGTAGGTGCTGTAGGTTAAACGGCCCAATATTTGTATTGGCTGCCATTCGCAAAACCATCTGGCAAACCCTAGGAAATTATAACATAGTTTTCGATTAATAAGGTCAACAAAAAATTAAATAGCTACTTACAGCCGATTTTCTGTGTATGTCCAAGTATTCCGATCGCGATACCTAGAGCAAATAAATTTTTGCCCAGTGACCAATAGAAAGCACTGCCCGTCGGGGAAAATTTATATTCCGGATTGTAAAATACAGCTGCTATTAAAATAACGAATATGCACATTCCGAACGTAAGTATCCACCACAATACGACATGCACCTGAAAAACAAAATGTAATTCTAATCTACAATTAAAAAAAAAAGTGTTTCATTTGAGAAATTTGGTTTTATTAATTCTAACGTTTTCTCGTGCATTTAGCAAACCATTCTACAGTATTACGTACGTTATAAAGATAAGTATTCATGTCCTTTTATGTCCTAATAAAATTTATATTGTCAATACTAGAATGCATTCTGGCAATAAGAACCGTATAGAATAAATGATAAAGGCTCTATAACTCATTCAATAAAATATTAAAACTAAGATCATTCGTTCATAATTATATTTATCGTTTTTTATATCATTAATTAAGAGGTAACAAATTTTAAAAAAATATATAGAAGGAAAAAGAAAAGATGGGAAAAAATAGTCTCTTCATGTTGGTTACTGTGTCATAATAAGTATTTATACATGGCACTTTTCACTAAACAACATTCTTCTGTACAATTATAACTAACCTATCTCTCCTTGATTTAGATTTCGTTATATACTTATTTCCTCACTTCAAATAGATTCTTATTGGACGTAAGTAGATAGTGATACTACAGTGTTTAAATAGTTAAATATCTCACCTACCTTACGTATCGTAAAGTTTTTATTCCTGTGTCGGTAAAAGAAATAACCAAATGTCACTCCTAAACCGTAACCAAATATGTTAGAATAGGCAGAACTGTAGAGGACATGCCATTCCTCGGCGTGTAATGCCCTCAGTTTGTACATATTTCTAAAATTGAGTAAATGTAAATGAATATGCTACATATAACAATTGGAATATGACAATTGGAATAGCCTAAAAATTAAAATTCGGATTTTAAGCGCCATTTTGGCCTTATAAAAGGTGAACATGCGTATTGTGTAAAGAAAACTCAAATTCATAATAGAAACTGTAGAAGAGCTATTATTTCCTACAGTGTTCATGAGTTATTTAAGTAAATTCAACCGAACAGGTACGGCCTAACTTTTGTTTAACTTTTCCAACGATATTAAAGCGATAATTTTTGTTTCCTACTCACTCTGGATACTGCCGAACAATGATGTCATATTTTTTAATGTATGCCAAAATTCCAGGCAACATTAAACCAACGGTTAAAGTGAATCCTAACATATATTTGAATTTGCTAGGATATAGTCGACCAAGCGCTAATAGAATCAAGAAAACGATGAACAATTGCATATCCGACGCAATATACCAGGTTTGTTGCATGCACTGGAAACAAATATAAAGAAAGTCGGTATATACCTACCCAACTGTTTCAAATTCAAAGACAAAACATTTTTCTTCAATGAACTTGAATTAGAGCACAATTTATTAAATTTAAAAATTGGCAGTAATCTCTGGTACAGAATCAAACACTTTGAGGTTCAGTTTCTATTGGAATCGAAAATTGCTACCAACATTTAATTCTTTGCAATTTTACTTTTTTATGGGAGCCACAGCGGACCAATCTAGTAACTTACTCCAAACAAACCAACTTTAAAGAAAACTCATTATCCAAACTTTATTCTAAGTATGCTAAAAGGCGAGATTCATAGCTACATCAGAACAGATATTTTGAATGAGAACAGCGTCATCGATGTTAATAAATTTTGAAAACCAACAACAATAACGACTAAATCAAAAAATAAGTAATAGCTGAAGCATAATATGTTTTTGCATACATTTTATTAATTCCATTAATAGATTCTAATTTTCAACGTACACCATAGTAATATGGTGGTCGATCTTTTGTTACCAGGTAAATTACCATTCAAAAATCCAGAAAGGTACCCATGAAAAAAATTGGAGAAAACCGAAACATAGCAATATTTTTTTGACCTCAACAAACAAGTTCAAAAAGCTCCAGCTTTTGAAATACACTCCAAAACCAAAAATTTCAGGTGTCTTAATCTACAAATTTTGGAAGCCCACACACCATTTCGTCACTATATATATAGTTGTTAATATATAGTAAATTTGTCCACCAATTACGTCGACAGTTTCTATATTCTTCACCAACGAAAAAGTCCCAGAAAGGGCCGCGAGCTAAGTGAATCAGCCAAGTGCTATGAATAACGGCCATTACTGCAACCGCTGGAGATAATCTACAATAATTTTACCGTTAAGCTGGTTCTCACATTTCTAATTATCATTTTTTACCATACTCACCTAAAATACCGATTAATAATTGCGAAAAAAATGAACTTCATATTGACCCTTGAATGTCTCTCAAGCATCTTAAAAAAATTAAAGGAAAGTAACCATCCGGATATAACGAAGAATGTTTGAATCGCAAACCAACCGTTGACCAAAAACATGTTTAGAATGTCCTTTGTGCTCTGAAACGTCAATTTTTTAATAAGTCAAAACACATGTTAATTCAAATTTGATGTTCTAGTGGTATATTGATATCATTTGTAACCAATTTATTTTAAGATTTCCTTATTTGTATATAACTCCAATTTCTGGTAGAAAAAAAAACCCGGCCACCAGCATCTCTGTAATTCCTTTTTAATACACTACTTAGTAATAATAAAAAATATCTGCTAATGTAATTAACATTACTTTTGAAAAACAAGTTATTTAGTATGTCAAAAACCGAGAACTTATTTGGTTCTAAAACTATAACTCTTATTTAGCCTACATGGTACAATAATGTTGTTTAATTTGATAATTTGCTGGAAGCACCGAACTACCCAAATGAAAATCGCACAAGTTTTTTAAAATCTAAGTAAACCACAAAAAAATTTCGTTGAAGTTGTTTAATTAAAAAAAAAGACACTTAACAAAACAAAATAAAGCATTGTAGTTACATATCTGCTTTCAATTCAAATGGATGAAACTGCAGATTTAAAATTTATTTGTACTAATTATTTAAAGGCATTTTTTACATAAGCAAGTACTATTTGTTGATGTACCATATGTATTTGGATACATATGACGGATGGATGTTACATCTCGAATAATGGAAAAAAACAATTAGAAGTTAGAATTCTACAAACCAATAGACATTTAATTATAGACACGTGTCAAATATTCCGGTAAATGCTAAATGACTCACCTGTTCAGAATACTGCGGATTCGATACAGGTCCTCCGAAAAAAGTCATCAATGTATGTGTCATTATAACACAAATCATAGTATAAAAACGCATGCCTTGAATACTCCTTAGTTTCTTGACATGAGGATCGTTGTTAATGGTTCTAAGTCGATACCAGTTTTTGGGAATTGAGAAAGCGGATAAATATAAACCAACTAAAAAATGTACTTATTTTAATAACAATAATTAAAGTATAAAGGCTCTGTTAGTATTTGATGCCTTCGAGTAAAAACTACACTGGCAAATCAAAATTGTATTATTTTATTTCATTTGCATTTCATTTAAGTAATTAATTATATATTTATTATTATTTTTTATCTTAATTAAGCTAACAATTTTATCAGACTGTAGGCAGTGACTCCTTGGTCACTGCCTACAGTAGATTTTTTTTGTTTTGTGTAGTTTAAGCCAAATTTTATATAGAGATGGCAATATTGACAAATATATTTTTAACCGTTAACTGTGTTACTCTGTACAAAAGTGCAAAGAGAAAGTGATTTAAGGAAAGTGTCTTCAATGAAACTATTCAAAACCGGTAAAAAAACTAATATCTACACCAATTATTGTTTTTCTGTGGTTTGATAAATTTTTTGTTCAGTTTTGCTTAGTTTTTCCTCGACTTTTCCATTAGCGGACACGTTTCAAATCTACATTTTACGGCAATATTTTTCTCATGATTAACAATGCGACGTTTTTCACAAAAGATGGCGAACAAAACTTGCAACATTTTTTCGAGATGAGGCACATCCGACAAATTTACATTTTTTAGATAGTAGTTTTCATAAATATAAGGTAACTGCACCACTGGATTCTATAAAACGTTGTAATTTGTCAAACACTGGAGATATAAGTGGTATTGAAAAATGCTCTATTTTCTATATGGCCCTGTAGTCCGAAAACTAAAAAAAATTGTTCGCCTAATTTGCCACTGAACTAAAACATTTTCTGGAGATGAGACACATCCGGAAAAATTGTTATATAGATAGTAGCTTTCACAAATATATATGGTAAATACATATAAATACCGGCAATGACTTGAATTATACATACTACCGTGTACAACATTTATCCTTCGGATGAAACAAAAGCAAATCTTTACTTTTATTAGCATTAAACCTAAGTTGGCTAAAAAATGTCTGTCAAACCATAAAAAAAAATGCCCGCTAGGTATCAATTATTTCAGGTTATCCTGTTAACAAATTTTCGGTGGAGGACGTGTTTTATTCAAACAAGCACAATATTTCAAAACCAGTAATATTTTATCAAAACCTACGCCACTGGATTCTATGTAAAACGTTCTAAGTTGTCAAACGCTTGAGATATAAGTAGCCCGAAAACTAAGACGTAAAAAGCAATTTTGTTTTTCTACTAACTAAATCTAACCGTCGTAGACAGAGTATAGTATGCTATACGTTTGGTAAACTTTTTACGTCACTCGTTTATTAAACACCCGCTCCACTGCGCTCCGCTAGTTCCAAATAAACTCGTGACTCAAATGCCTTTTGCCGCACTTAATGCATAATGTAACTAGTGTGTTGCTGTTAGATATATAGCGGCCGTGTCTATGTTGATAATATAGGATTTAATCATCGCTATCAGTTCGTCACTCTGACAGGTTTCACTTTAAATGTGGCATTTTCTACGTCAATGTCTTCTCAAAATATACCCAGATGTCGTTCAATGTTCTGGGAAAACTAGTTAAGTGTATGGAGATCGCTGTTTACAAAGGATCTTTCCTATTTCTATGAAAATGGAAATTATTTATATATAAATACTATATGCTACCTAACTAGCTAACCAAAATAGCTCACAATTGCAACGAACATGGAAAACACTGTGTCTACAGTTTGCTTGAGAACCAGCAAAGTGACTTGACCCATGATAAGTATACGGATGTGGATTGCTTTGCGAGGTAAGAATCTTATTTACGCAATTATTATGCTAAATAAAACTGTGAATAATAATGCCTGCAACTTTTGGAAATAAAATATAGATGCACTTACCACCGATTTGGCAAGATTGATAATACGCTTTTTTATCCTTGTATCTAGCAACGCCTTCATAAATGGATGCAATTATTGTAAGTCCGATATATCCCAAGAGCATTGCCCTGAAAAATAACACTGCAGACGCACAAGTTTAACGCCATAAGAAAATGTTTTGATATACAATAATGGGAAGTTTAGTTTTTATACTTGGCTCTTGACAAAATGGTGAATGCGCAACATAATATTTTTCGAAGAAGTTATCCTAAGAATTATCGTTTTTCTTAAAAGTGGATTATAAGACTGATATATTTTATTATTTATTTTACAATTTATTACAAATTATATAAAATACTTACCCCAACGTTTTGTCGTAAATATCAACTTTGTATTTCGAAAAATTTGTCTCACAGTTCAAATCGGTTATTTGACCCTCGAACCCGAATTCGCTGAACTTGCTGTTATAACAATTCTGGATAAGATCTTTGGTACTATTTTGGGTTTTATTGTTTGGCGGACATAGGTTTGGAACGCATATTCCATGGCGTAAAATATCATGCCTATAATTTTGAGGATTATCACTTACATTCTGAAAAAGGTACCTGAATTAGTAATTTAACTGAAAATACAATTTAATTCGTTATTCTTATATAAAACAATGCAAATTGAAATATTAACGTTATAAAAATTTTTGTAGTGGGTACGTCTATATACTTTTGAGATGCCACAAATATTCTGCTGCCTCCCTTAATACGCAGTTAATTAGATACTGTGAACTGTAACATACCGGGTGTTTCAAATTAGACTTTCACCATTGGCATTGAGATTGACATTCCGTTCTCAAAATTGAAGTTACTGAAATTTGTTTAATGGTGTATCGCGTTACAGATATGGTTAGTTTAGCTTAGTGCAGTAAATTATAGTAGCACAGAGTAATCAAGGTTTTTTGTCTAGGAATTCTGAAAATCAATACCCTGTAATCATCAAATGATTTATTCTTTTAATTAATTTGATTGCCTTTAAACTCTCGGTTAAATAGCGTACCTATTTGAAAAGTATGGCTTATGTCTTATAAATGAACTACTTTTCTCATTTACTTACGGAATAGCTATTCAAGATACCTGAAAGTTTATTTGGCCGGCCATAGTACGGTAAAAATTATTGCGCCTCGGACGGCGATGATATTTTCGCATGCTTCTAAATTTCACCAACTATCCTGCATTTTTCTCCATTTTCTTTCTAAACAGCAATCTCCACACATTCAGTTCATGTCTCGAAACATTTAACGAGAACTATGCATAGTTTGAGAAAATACTACTACCGTAATAATCTAAACCTATCAAATTGACGAAATGTCAGCGGGATGTTTGTTGTTGAACGCCGAATGGGTCTCCATATTTTTGTATGGTTGCTTCATCGGCATAGGAGGGGTCGTCATTAATAATCTCGTTTCCAACCAATAAGACCTTTTGGTGTTGAACAACATGGCCGTTGACGTTTGTTAATTCGACAGGTTTAGATGTACGGCAGTTCTTTCTCAAATCATGCCCAGATCTCGTTAAATGTTCTGGGAAAACGAGTTAAGAATGTGAAGATCGCTACCGAATTGTCATAGTCGCCCGATGCGATTAAATTTGTACCGTACTAGAACCACTATATTATGTAATAACTATACGGTTTAGTAAAATCACTGAAAGGCAGCATGCGAAAATTTAGAAGAATAAACCTGAGACGAACTTCAAATGAATGTAGGAACTGATAAACGTTTAGTAGCCTCTAATATTGAATTTAATGCGAATTAAAGAATAATAATGCGAGTTAAAGAATAAGGGTTCCAGACAGTACTACTAATAATTTGATCATTTTTTGTCGAAGTCTTTCTTAATTAATTATAACTTTATTTTTTATGGAAGCGATTCATACAATGACATCATGCGTCATAACACCTAAATTTTACTCTTGATGTTTCAGGTTGAACTTATATTGGACATTCGGTACTTGCGAACAGCACTTTTTGTGATACCACTCTATATGATAGGCGTACTTAATTTCTCGAGGGCTGCAACTAAATATAAAATACTTACTTTTATTAAATTCCGTAGTGCAGTATTTTCGTCCAGGAATTTAATTCGATAGGCAAAAGTACAAAATAAAGCATCTCGACGTAACATGCATTGATCAAAATTGTCCATAAAAAAAAGGTCTGGCATTAACGCGTACTCGTGATCTAAAAGTAAAGTATTTGCCAAGAAAGGGTAGATAGTAGAAGCAAATTAACAGAATGAATGCTGGTGGAATGAACCAACTGGGCCAATTCTAGCCGATATACAAGGTATCTCACCGCAAAGTACTAAACTTTTTACAATGTTTCCTTCAATAGTAAATGACACAACCAATATTTATCTTGATTTGATTTCATTTTGTCGTTGAGAATAGAATCACGCAACATTAACCAGGCTAACATTTTATTGTAAATTCATAATTTTCCATGGCACCTACATTCCACTATATTAAAATATGACAGAAAAAGGTCATAATACACTGCCTCAAAGCATTTCCCACATTACGTAAAGATTAATCAAATACTAGGACGCATCTACTATTAAAACAATTTTACTAATTTAAACAAATATCAATTTTACTCACACACCTATTATTTTAAAATGTTTTCACAATTCATATATAAAGTCATGATATAATATAGGCTACTTACCGGCAACATAGAATTCAGCATTAACTAAAACGGTAAAAAAGAAACAAAAATATAAAAATATATTTAACATTTTGACTATCTTTCAACAAACGCTACATCGCAAATGCGCAATTTCATTCGTGTATTATATTGTGGAAAAAAATAAATTTTTTCGGAACATGACCTGAAAAAGAATTACTTCATTCGCAATAATCTTGAAATTCTAGTTTCATCTAAGATCTTGACCTCTCGCTTAATCTGTTATACCTACGTTTATACCTTTCTTGGTAAATGGTGCACGTTCGCTTACAAAGTGTCTCAAATAGAATTTTCAAATTTTTACTGATTGCGTATTTGTGAAAAAATATATATTATCACACGAAAGTTTTGTTCTAATTTTTTTTTAATCTCCAAATGTGATAAGAGGTTTATAGGTCTGAATTTCAGCAAAAAAAAACAGATATAACCCTGTTCAATACAAGTACGAAGAAATAATGAATCTATAACCATATCGCTGTTTCTGCCTTTTTGTTTTGTTGACTCTTAATTTTATTTGCCAAGTTAAAAGTTTATTTCAATTTAGAGAAACGCTATTCTCTTTCACTTGTAGCAGTAGCGTAGCTTATATACACATACAGGATGTCTGGAAATAACGTCAAAATATTTTGGATGATGAATTTAGAGATAAAAATAAGAAAAAAGAACATGATGCAATATTAACTAAACAAGCGACAATCATTTTGAACATGCATCATAAAGGTTTGAAATATAGTGTGTGTAAATAAACTCCGCTAAAAAAGCACAACATAATACATTTTTTTATACTCCCTTCGGTAAAATACTTAATTATACACCGACTTAGGGTGCAGAAAGTGTCATTTTACCAAGTCAGTTCCATTTCCCACAGATATCTGCCGCTTCGCGGTAATGCTGCACGGATTTGGGAGCACTCGGGTGTTTTTCGAGATATTACAGCACGGCTTAGATTTTGACGTTTCTCAATTGTGACGATCATGTCAGTGAATGTATTCGTGTTGTTTTGCGAAAATGTATTAAAAAACTAACGGTGGTAGAAAAAGTATAGTGTGCAACACGTTTGATAAACATTTTAAGTCACCCGTTTATTAATCACTCGCAAATGCCGTTTACTAAACTTGTTGCATAATATATTATTTTAAATGAAATAATAGGAAAACAATTTAATACCGTTGAAGATTAATGGTGTTGATTCGACTTCTTATTCTATATCAAAATCATCCAAATTTTCCCATTACTCAATAATAGCATATTCGACTTCTAAAAGATTCGTTGGAGCAACATTTCATATTTTTAACATCAGTAATACATGGTCCTAGACGTCGTCATGGGTTTCATATACGGACTTACAGCACGCGGAGTGAGTGTTTAATAAACGAGTGACTTAAAAAATTTACCGAACGTGTTGCATAATGTACTTTTTCTACGACCGTTAGTTTTTGGATGCATTGTCGCAAAACACGAATGCGTTCCCTGACATGACCATCAGAATTGACAAACGTCCAAAATTCAAAGCGTGGGAAGCGTGCTACATCGGGGGGAAAACCACAAATGCTATAATGTGCATTTATAAAAATCGCCCGAGGCACCGGGGACGAACACCCGAGAGAGAGGGGTTAAAATACAAGTTTCCACTATGTAGTGTACTTCCAAACAAAATGAAATTAACAGTTTACAAAATAAAGTAGAGGTTATTGGACATGATATAAAAAAACAACTTACGCTATTGTTTAAGCTAAAAAAATTGCAACTTCTATTAAGCGTATTACAATGAAGGTGTAGGTAGCACCTAAGGGATTTTTATTTGACAATTTAACCTTTGAAAGTAAGTAATGGGCGCTGTTCTTTTCCAAAATTTTAATGCAATTTCAATTTTTTCATACTTGTTATCCTGATAATTACTTAGGTAACTTTTACTTTTTGATTCTTGGGTATGCTAGATAACCAGCTACCTAGCATACCCAAGAAGAATTTTTTACATAACCCAAAGTGTTTTAATTGACAACCACATCCTCACAATAGTCGCAACTGAAGTATTTAAAAAAAATTTAAAAATCATCAATGACCGCAATGATTTATTTAAAATAAATGATGTAATGATGTAAACAAATCAATTATTCTCTATCGAGGAAAATTCTTTCTCCACGGAAACACTTTGTCGGTCTCCCTCCCGCGCCGACAGAGCTCCTAATGCCCCGGATATGATTTGGAGAAATGAACATTTGGACAAATACACATCGAGATCCCTCGCGAGACGCGACACACCGAGATTTTCCGAAAGGGGACCGAACGCCGTTCGATATTTTCGGCCATTTGAACATTCGACCATTTGTGGTACTCCCAAACCGAGCTGTTAGAGCGTTAGATCGGTGTGCATTAGGCATACAGACGGGAGTAGAAAAACTCGTTTATTAAACACTGGCTCCACTCGTGACATAAATGCCGTTTGGTGCATAATATACTGTTATTACAAAACTGTTGGCTGGTGAGTATTCTGCACTTACATCGCGCATTGGTTGATGTTGATCACTTGACGTTCAAACATGGCATTGTAAATTTTGTATAATAAACACGCTTTCGGCTTTTATGAAATGACGATTTGTTGACAGCTCCTCTACTGCACTTATACCTTATCTCAGAATATACAGGGTGTACGAAAAAATATTAAATACAAAAGTCATCTGGCTGAAACTAACCCTCATTTTATTATATTTTTGCATACTCAGTGATGCCTGGGTAAACACAACTTCCATTTTCTTTTTAATGGAACATCCTGTATATTATTATATTTTTTGATTTTACTCTAGTTTCCAAGAAAATTTCATATATAATGTTCCGCACCTATGCCTAATAGTTTTTGACATACTTAAGTTTTTATCTCAAATATGTCATTTGCAGGCCCTCAGAAAAATACCAATACCAATTTGGGTTTAATAGCTTGTCAGCATAGCATAGGTGAATAAGATAAAATTATGAAGTTTGGAGATTTACATAAAAAAAAATGATTTCTGGAATTTTTCTTAATTTAGTATTTAATCTTTGAACACGTTTTGAACACCCTGTATTATTAGTTATCAAAATATAAACATTCTATTAAAGTTCTTGTCGACGAGGTATTAAGCCCAAATTAAAAAAAAATCTTTTAGGAAAAATTGGTATTTTGGCAATTTTTCCTAGAAACTTGAGTAGAATTCAAAAATGTAATAATATACACGATGTTCCATTTAACAAAAATGAAGTTGTGTTTCCCATGCAACACTGAGTGCTCTGAATATGCACAAATATAATAAAATAAAACTTCGTGTCAAACCAGATTACTTTTGTATTTAAGAATTTTTGTACACTCTGTATATTATGAGTTATGCGTTATATTTGTCACCCCGTACGCCAATCATGAATAAATTAAAATTGTGTGTTTGAGCGTGGAAGTTTCACCACCTTTTTTTTTTCATTATCACTTCATAATCTTTATCCTGTACCTGTTAAATTTGTATAACTCTTTTTATGCGATTATGGGCTTCTACAATTATTACTGTAACATAAGATTAAGACGATCCTGCTGGACCGCCATACCATTTAATAAAGGGCTAATTTGCACTAATTTACCCTTAATTTGTTTTTTTCGCATTAAATGGTAATAATACTATCAGTAACAATAAATGTTTGTATTGCAGGTATTTAGATTGAGAAACAGGCAAAAACAAAAAAATATACAGCTAATACTACCACAATATTGTCGAATTGATTCTCTAAACCAGCAAAACTTCACTAAACACCAGTAACAACTACATATTTACAGAAATATCACTTTCCAAAAAGTAAAAAAAAAATAACACTTAAATAACATAATATCATCTCATATATTTGACACAAATTAGTATGTACAGGATACAGCTGAAAAAAATATTCTTGAAGAATCACATTTTTTAATTTTAATATATAAATACTGGAAAATAATCTCGATCACGAACGTAACAACTTTTTATATACAAAACATTTTTGCAAAATATTCAAATCAACAGAGAATACAAGAAAAGACCTCTTGAACTTGAAACTAAACTAAACTAGAAAATTCTGCTCTTTCATATCAGAATAAAGCGAAAATTAGGGATAGGACTGTTTAAAATAATTCACATAAAACATAACATAACAAATAAAACAATCATAATTTAACTAAAAAGTTAAACTCGGGCTTTGATTGTGGCAGAACTTGGCAATGATAAATTGTAAATAAAAAAATATTTTGTAGCAAAATATACAGATTAGTAACGTATTAACCAAAAAAAAAGTCAAGGCCATAAATAAATGTAACAAAAAATCATTTCAAGTGGTCATATAGTTTTTGGTAGAACAAGAACTTTAAACACTAAATTGGTCTGAGTTAAATTTCGATGATATTATAAATTATAATTCAAAAAGATTTAAGCTACAAAATTTGCTGACAATATGTTATATACGACATTGAAAATATTAACATGTTTAACTTCATCATTTTTTATGCGAAATATCTTACTTAACACAGGCCTGAGGTGAAATTTCGTTTTAACAAAGAAATGATTTCCATCAGTAACATTATTAACAATAGACGCATCGTTCTGGTAACATATTAAAATGATTTATTGATATGTTTCTAACTTCAAAGTCAGATAATTTACATAAAATTTAAAGAGACATTGTTTTAGAACAGTCAAATGTCGCGGCAGAATACACAAAAGCGATAGTTAGCGATTACGCAGATTTTAAGGGGTAATTTGGAAACAACGATGAACGATTTTTTAGTTAATTATATTAAAACGCAAAGGTGATGAAAATTGCTTCCTTCCAAACATACTGCATATTCCTATTGCCACTTTAAAAATCTACCGTTTCTTTACGTCAATCTTACTCAAACTAAGTGCCAATTCTAATTCAGCTTCTTCCTTTTGTCTTTGTTTCTGTCTTTCCTCTTCAGCCTTTAAACTTTCTTTTGCAGCCCAAGCGATTTGCTGATCTTCACTGAGAAGGTTCAAACCAAGAGGTGCTGATGCGCGACCACCTTCAGAGAAAAACACTTGCAAAGTACCTGGTGACTTAGGGAGTGGTACTGACTGTCTACCACCAAGGTGTACTGAATTAAACCTAACGTCTAACTTGGTTGCATCGTTCGTGAAACTATTAAATTCATTCAAAGAACTGGATTTCCCATTTTGTTTCTGATGTGCAGTTTCTTCATCATCAAAGGAAATATGGGATGGATCTTCGTACCTGTAGTCACGGAATGGATCATCTGTGAAATCCAGCCCCTTGCGTTGGACTTCCATAGAAGCAGCTTTACTGCTGGGCACTGAGTCATTTGAGGAAAACTGAAGAGGATATATTTAAGGTTATTAAGGCTGAAACATTAGTTTAAAAAAGTATTGTTAGTTTGATATCCTGGGCGCCAGCACCTGAAAATGGTGTTAATTTATAATAAATACTTGCTGCTAAAGGAACATCGTGCTGTGCCATGCCATGCGCTGGGAAAATAACCAATACAACGAACGCATTAAATTAAAAAAAAATCAATAGTTCTGTGGGCATTTCTTGAAATTTAAAAATCCAAGAATGCCAACAAATCTATCCAAAAAAAAATTAGTTAATAGTTATTTTGCAAGGAAATGATTATTAAATAAAAAAATCTTTAATATGATATAAAAACTAATTATCATAAGGTCAATGAAATCATCAAATGCTTAATTCTTAAAAGCAAAACAAAATTTTTTAAAAATGGTGTTCAAACAAGAGGATATCTGTGTCGGTTGTAAAAAAAAAACATTTTAATCGACCATAGAGCTACTAGATATATAGAGGCCTTGCATAAAGCAAGTCAAGCAAGAAACGTTCAATATATGTATGCTCGAGGCTTTTCAAAATGTCTTTCAACTTCAACAAGAAATAACGCCTTGCCTTAAAATGTGCCCAGACCCCAGTAAATTTTTGGTGAAAACACGAGTTAAGTGTGTTTAAAACGCAAATTGGCCAAAGTTTTAGTGAAATTTAGGGGCATCCGCGGAAGATCTTCTGTAGGAAAATGCCATGACGGCCTAAGGCGCAATTTACGTGATTTACCGCCTCTATATAACCCGCTAGCTATATGGAATCAATCGACATACCGTTAAGCTCGTCTTAGGGGAAGTAGGATACAAAACAGGATTTGGCAAAGTCAGGGATACAGGAATCTGCATGGGACATTGGAATTCTAATCGAAGGCTGCGATATAAACACTAAAAATAAAACACTAAGAAATTGAAAAACGCAGCGGAATATGAAGTTTTTTCAGCATGGAAATGCATAGATCTGCCCCAAATTTATATTATTTATATTTGTAAGTTTCATGTATAATTATAATTTATTTTATTTTTAATATTTTAAGAAAGCTAAAACTGATTAAATTGATTAAATCAAATTCAAAAAAGTTATTTTGCTAAGACTCTTCAACGTTTCCTTTGAGAAAATTTTCTTAAGTGCAAAGTTTTGGAGTGGTAAGTAGGAAAATGTTATTATCACTTAAATCTTTATTTAAATAGCGAAATAATTTGGAAATAAATAATAAACATGGTTTGTCCGGCAAAATCGAATGTTTGTAGGTCGTTGTCCGGCACCGAGAACTTATTGATTTATTATCGGCGGTTTGACAATGTTTTTAAATCACTTTTTTATTAGCAGTCCATAAATTCGATGAAAGTTTTCTACGTCCTGAATATGTAGTCGAACACACATCGAGGGCGTAGAACTGGAAAAAAGTTCTCTTCAATCCAAAAAAATATTCCCAAACAATGAACATTTGAAAGGGGCATCATGAACACAGTTTTTTTTTTATTGATATTATCGAAGCAATTTTACTACTAAAACTTGTTGGTAATATATTAACTTTCTATGCCAATTAAAATTGATTCTAAAGCGTCACATAATAAATTCGATTTGCAAAGCAAAAAATTTAGTACAGTACATACACAAACTGAAAACTTTAGATTTAATGTTTTAGCTGTTAAATTCTAATATCTTAGAAACTGCGAGCATATTTTGCACAGAGTATTTGGTTCTTGTAACTTAATTAACTGATTTTCCGCTAAAATGGTTTCATATTCCAACAACGACTTAAAAGAAAAACATGACTGTAATAAATAAACGCAATTCACTACTCTTTTGGACCCAAAAATAACTTCCTTCTTACCTTGGATTCAAAATTAGAGAAATCTGCAAATCCTCCGTTGCCACCTATATTGTCATTAAATGGATCGCCACCAAAAAGATCTGGTTGCTTTTTAACAGTTGGAGGCAGGGAAGGTCGGGGAGGTGCCGGTCTCGGTGGAGGTTGTTTACTTTTCTTTGGTGGCAAGGCGGGACTTGGACTAGACGGTCGTGGAGGCGGACCAGTGGAATGTGAGGACGCTGTCGATGTATCTCTTGTAGGTGCGTGAAGGACAGCAAATGGGTCACAACCAAATGCGTCCTTATTGTGCTGGAAATATAGACCAAGCATGTAATTCATACATGAATTACAGCAATACCAATTACCTCATTGACAACGGTAGACTTTTTATCCACACTGTCAAACGCAGTAAATGGATCGTTTTCGGATGGAGAAAAATTCGTTTCAAAATTACCTGATGCAAATTCGTCCTAAAAAGTAAAAACATTGTAGATAGTACCAGCATTTCCAGAAATTTGTTAAAATATATTTTCAAAAGTATTGCATGGTTTCACATTCCTTCGTTACATGACAGAAAAAATTAAAAACTATTAGGGCTAGTAGTACTTAATATCAAAATATTTTCTTTCAATGTATTATTTAAGCACATAAAATCTCTTCAACCTAAATAAACCAAACAAATTTTGTATGATCTTCAAACTTTTTTAAAAGGTATGAAATGCGCAGGGTTGTCAGGAAGTATGATTTAAGAAACTTACTGTGACTGCCGGTTGAAACGCGGTATTGAAAGCATCACTATGGGACGACTGTAGTTTAAACGGGTCTAAAAATAAACTGTTAAATAAAGTTGTGACACAAGAAAATGCCAACCATTTTTAGGTGTACCAAAACTATTGTTGGTAGGTCCATTCTGACAACTAAAAGGATCACTAGTAAAGCCATTCTGTAATAAAAGCTTGAAATTAACTCAGTTATTTAGATGTTTACCTATTTACTTGTCCAACCAAATGGTTAACCCATATAGCTACTAGAGATATAGAAGCCCTACCTATGCCGATAATATGGAACTAGAAAAAATTTTCATGTGTGAGATTTTAAATTTCGCTAGCGGCATTCAACAACCCACAGATCGTTAATAAGTATGGATGTGGCATTCTTAAGGCAATATTATTAAATCTTCATGCAAAAACGACTTAAGTGTGTGGAAATCGCTGTTTGAAAAGAAAATGGCGCATAGTGCACGTTACTGGATGAAATATAGAGGTAAGTGCGGAAAATCATTCCTTTCTCCATGAAAATATCAATGCCGCGCATCAATTTTTACCGTACTAGGGCCATTATATAATCCAATAGGTATATGGATTAACCAAAAAGAATAGCCAACAAATTTGTTGCGGGTCAAACTGAAGCGATTTATTTAGTTTCAATCACTATTATTTATATTACGCATTTAATCACTTTCTCTTACACCATTAAGAGCGTAATTAACAGACTAACATATATTAAACAACATTTGTAGACTACTGCTTTGTCAATTAATTTTTTTGAACTACTAACTAACCCAAATTAGAAAGGGATTTCCAATGCCTAACAGAAATTATTAAAACGTAATAACAAGGTAAAAGGTAAGAATTATCTAATAGATAATGAAATTTCATAAATTTCATAAAATGTAGCAAAGTCGATAAAAACAGAATTTTTTCGATACAGGGTGTTTCCTGTATAAAGTGTATATGTTGAATGATTGTTCTTATCAATCAGACAGAACCTGTATAATTTGTTGCTTCCATGGAAAAAATAACTTGACTAAAAATTTTGATTACCTGTTTCTCAGTTTTTATTCCAAAATTGCTGTGTTCAGCTTCTTTGAAATCTGGTTTAATTCGTAAAACAGTGTCTGGTACATGATCAGCATTATTGTTATTAACTGCAACATCACACAATGTAATTGCATCATTAATTTGTCTGGTCTGTTCTTGTAGTTGAGTTATCAGTGCCTTTGCCTAAAAATTAGCTCATTACACATTGAAATTAAATTAAAATTTCAGACGAACTTGGCTAATGTAAAGTTGAGTTTCTTGTAATTTTGTAGTCATTGATTCCAATTTTTGCAAACTATCATTTTTCTGTTGTTCCAAGTGTTGTTCTTCTAATTTGAGCCCTTCTAATTGTTCTTTTTTAGTCTTTAATTCAGTTTCCTGACTCTCAACTAATTTTGATTGCTCTAGAGCCTGAGTCCGTAGTTTATCAACCTAAAAAAAATTGTCTGCTCATCCCCATAATAATCACTAATTTAATAAAAAAAAAATAAAATAAAAAAATTAAAACTAAGGATTAACTGCACAGAGGTAATTGCAAAATGATTAGAACAAAAAGTGGTAAAAAGAAGTCTATGATTATATAAATAATATATTTATTTTTAACAATACACTTCAATTATTAAAAATGAAAGGAGATACTTTCATAATATCAATAATAAACTTTATAATGATGTTGGGCTTACCTGAGTCTTTAGGTCATTCAGTCTTTTTTGCGCTTCTCCTTTCTGGTTCTCTAACTGTTTTAACGTCGTTGCCAAAGTATTATACTCACTCTAAAAAATATATGTTTTTAAAATACTGAAAAAATCACTAATGATTATTAAACAATATGAAACTGTACTAAAGTTAAATATATTTCCAGAGACTAACCTGCAAATTGCTAATTTCAACAGACTTAATTTTAATCTCCGCTTCTTTCTGTGCAATATCTGTTTCGAGGGAGAGCTTCTCTTTATAGAGCTCTTTTATATCTTTGCTTATCATATCTAATTCTGGATTTGAGTATCTCGTGTTATTGTTTTCCTGGAATAAAATATTCAGTAAGTTTTGACATTGTCAGAAATATTGCAGTCTGTAGAACCAATTTTACTCATAATATAAAATAAATCGACATTTCCTTACAATATAAAAATGTCTGCATGACACTTCTCCACAACATTCGATTGTTACTATCAAATTTGACAAAACATTCATGTTTCCCTTGAAAATAATTGTTTTGGTAGTGGTAATTATATACTACATCCAAGGTTTAGACTGTATGGGTTCAATTGAAAAAGTGAAAGAAATCGCAAAAACTATGTACCAAAAGAAATTCGGAAAAGGTTGGAACAAAGATATAATAAAAATAAATAAGAAATAATTTTGAAAAAAAAAAGTTAATTTGTTCATTTAATTTGAAGATTTTTGGTTTCATTGTTTTATTTGAAGAAACACGGAACCCTTTAATAAGTACTCAACTTATTTTAACGAAAATTTAAACATAATAACATAAAAATTATTCAGCATTTAAAACCAAAATTTCTAAATTCAGAATCCATTAGAAAGAACCAATTTTAGGCACAACAATTAATTATTGGGGTTATCAACAAAGTGAATATCCAGGAACATCCACAAAATATAAAAACGAAAATCACAATAAATGGAATGACTATTATAAATGTCTTCACATTCAGGAATCTGAACTCCAAATGAGTGCAACCCCAAAAGCTCTTGTAGGCTTTACAGGAAAACTGGTAACGTAAGTCTTTTATGTGTATTAAGTCAAATATTTAACTGAGGATAACAATAAATATCAATATAACTAATTAATAACTGTAGTCTAGAGTGCAAAATATGTTTAAGTCCACTGCAAACTCGACAAATTGATTCAATAATTTGGGAATGGGCAGCAGTTAATGAACAAAATTTCCAACCTCTGGAATTTACTGAATATATTATATTAAATCCAGAGGACAAAAGCCTACACATTTATAACCTCAAGGAAGAAAATACTGGGCAATACATTTGCCGTTTGGGAAAATCATCCACGGCTCCATATTTTCTCACTGTAATAGAGACTTCAGATGAAAATATGTTTGAGGTAATTTTCATTGGAGAAGGGATAAAAAGTCAAAATATTTGCGTCGGTTTTGGTTAGTCAAAATCCATATAATTTGTTAAGTGATCAATCATTTTGTAAATTTATTTATCCACATTAAGCCCAAAGATATCAGGACTTTTAATTTATGAAATACACATTATAACAGGTTCATCTTCCGAGAGCTCCCTTAGGACCGTACCCAAGGGAACCACAAAACATTCCAAAATACAATTTAGTATTGGATACTGTGTGGGGAGAATGGTCAACATGCAGTAAGTGCGGAAAAATTGGTAAAATGTATAAGTTGGGTTATTGTACTATAATTTATACGAAGGTAAGTCAAACAATGTTGCTATAGTCATAGCCGTAGTTCCCCCAGAGGCCACAAGTATCACTATCGTTTTCTCGGCAGTACAGGAAATTTCATATTTGCTTTATAAAATGTTTCAAAAAAAAAAAAGAAAGAAAGTTTCAAATACAAATTATCATTTTCTTTTATTTCAGGATAACAACATGTTTTTTTGGAAGTAATCGCAATATTTATTAACTAAATAAAAATGAACACTATCCATATTTTGTTTGCAATTTTTAGCAGTTTTCCGATAATCGTTAGAAAACAACTTTGTCCAAAATATAAAATCATTCAAATTGAAAATCCAGACCTATTGAAACTGAAACCTAAATAACAAACAGTAAAAAAGTTCATATAAACATAGGAACGCAAAGGGTAAAAAAAATGTTCATAAAAAATACGTTTTGTCAATTTTCATGATTTTTATTTTTTGCTCGAAACCGAAGCGAGATACGAAAACAGATCATGTGTCAAAAAAGTTGTCGTTTTAGTGGTGTATTCAAACTAAATAAAAAAAATGCAAAAAAGTCACAGGACGGCACTGGAATTCCACCATTTTTATTTTGTTAGCCAAATCACCCCCTTATCATTATCAATGACGTTGCCAAATTTCAACAATATCGGGCAAAAAATATTTAGCATATTGAAAAAACGTGTATTTTTTTATTCTTAACACCCCGTGTATCATGAAAACTAAGCATTTCCGGACGTCCGTTTGTACGAACGCTGGCCCATATTTTTTGAAATATCCAGTATAAATATTTTGTAGGGTAGTAATGCATCCAACGAAGATATCAAAATATTTCAGACTTTTAAATTTGGTATACCATGCGACTCTCATATAGTGGGTTTGGGTTTGAAGAATATTATTAAAAGTGTAAATAGAAAAAACGAAATAATGATTGCCTTCTGCAAAGTATAAAAATATTTACAACAAATTATAGACTGTAGTATACAATTTAAATTCACAGACTAAATGTCCAGAAGCCAAAGTGTTTCAAGTTAAGAACAAACGTGGTGAAGTTATTGAAACAGCTAACAATTCCGAAGGAATATACTCACTGGCTCAAGGCCTTCCCCCCATAGAACCTCCTATAGAACGTCGTTTACAATACGGAATTAAAGGCAAAAATGTGATACTGGAATGCCCAGGGTAAATAAAGTATACATAGGTATACAGGGTGTTTCCTAATATCTAATTTTTGTTTTAAAGATGGTTTTAAGATCGAAAACAACCAGATGGTTTTGCAGGGCGCATACTATAGTTTTGGCATTAAAGCTAAAATGTTAATTTTAAACTTGTGGATTTAAATTAAAAGCAAACAGTCTTGCAACTCTTATGAATGAAATAACATTAGTTTTGTGTTATGTATGTTTTTTTATGTAATCAACATATGAAATCTGAGACTCGAATATTTAATGATAAATGGAATATTTAATATATAGTTTTTAACACGCGTTCAATTCTTATAACATACAAGGCTCTCCATTAAAGATTGAATAAGTTCATGTTTTTATCTACGACTGATTCCGACGAGAGCCTTTGGGGTCTAAAACTTGGTTTTTACAGCTTTTTTTCTATTTCTTATAATGAAAGAGTACACGTTGTCTAAATATACAATGGGACCCTGTATTTTAGAAATATACATGGTGAGGCTTCCATCCTATGGCAAATTGGGGATAAAAAGCTTATACCCGAAAAATTATCTGAAGAATCAGGTGGAAGGATCTATATAAGTGTAACAGATAAAGTTCATATCAGCAGGGCAAAAATTGCAGACTCTAATATATACAGGTAAAACAAAATTCTGGTTTAACAGTAACTTTACAATTGCATTTTTTTTAAATAAAATATAGTAAAAATGGTAGTGTTCTTTGACCCATTTCATATTTTTTATTTTTTTGTTCTAATTGGATGTACTTACAGCTGCTGGCAGCTAAATGAATTGAGAGGTGCAATAAGACTGGTTATTGAGAAAAAAATCCAATTAAACTTCAAACATACTGTCATGCTATTAGGAATTATACTTATCCTTGGAACCCTTCTTAAAGTGTTTATAAGGATGATTGCTACAATCCCACATACCAGAAACTTGTAAGATACTGAGTAAATATTGTCTCTATAAATAACATAAAAAATAAAATGTAGTTGAACTATTGACATTTGCATACATTATTATTTTTTGAATTAAAGTTCAAAATCAAAGAGCCTTTAGGGTTTAAATTAAAAATTACAATTTGGTCATTTTTTCGAGATACACAAGCTAAAGTTAGATAAAACTTTGAAAAAAGCCGTGAAACACCTTTCCAAGTGGTGAAGCACTTTCTCGCAACATGGTCGTTTGCTATCAATTATTACAAGGCGATGCAAATGCCATTTAAATTAAAGGGCAACTGTCGTTTTAGCGCCGTATTAATTTTATTCTTTTAAAAGCATTTAACAAATAATAGTTCGAATAGTTTAATAAAAAAACGTTTAGAAATGAAAGAATTAAAAAGAAATAATTTAATGATTATTACAAACTAATAAACTGGCACGACATAGGAATTTCATTGTACCACCACTATTTTATCGAATCATAGTGGGAAGTGGTATCAAAGAAATAATCAAATTACTTTACAACAAAATGAATTCACTGTTTAAAAAAAAAGAAATACTTTGTATACTGATTTCAATCAACTTATCTTTTGAAGGTAACAAACAACAAATATCTCTTACCAAAACACCATCAGTTGATTTTATTGATCTGAAACTAGGAGGTACCATTTCTGGTGTCAATGAAGGTGGAGGATCCATTCCTTTGAGAGATCGTGCTACAAACCACATTGCCAAAGCAAACTGCTCATTATTTAATTTTCCTGTTTCTTTTATATCACACAATGACCTATAAAAAAAGAATAATAAACCTTTTTTAGACTTTTAGACTATTTAATTCAACTTTTCAATAATTTTTAGTATTTTGGTGTTCTAATATTCAATATGTGGTGAGTAGATTGGTGGTTTGTATTTAGTATAAAAATATAGTGATCACTCTTGAAACTTATATTTTTAACCAAGACAAAAACTTACTGTGAGAGAAAGAAAAAAAAACCTTACTAAGAATGGATTGCAAAAGTGTAATTTTTGAAAACCTGTGACTGGTTACTGAATTCACCCAACTCAAAAAATCAGTCTTACCAAATATGGGCTAAAACTTGCTGTGGCACACCACTTCTTAAGAAAACATCTTTAATTTCACCACCAGAAACAAAACCATCTTTGTCAACATCACTTTTAAGAAAAAGTGCATCTGATTTTGTTTTCTCTTCTGGAGTTACCACCCAGCCAACTGTGGGCGCCACTGACTGAATGGGTTTTGTTACCTTCAAAATAAAAAATGTACCATATTAACCTAGTTTTCAAAGAAACTTCAACGGCTACCATAATACTATTTACAAATCTTCTGGATTGAAACTGAAACTGCTTCAGTTAAGTCAACAACCGAAGCAGAAACAATCCAGGAAATTTGTAAATAGTATATTAGCCAAATACAAAAGTTATGCAATCATCAATATTATAATATTTATAATTACAGTGATAAGACATTAGAATAAATCACTTATTTTAAAAACAGGTCAAGTAGTTTCCCATATGTTTCTGATTAATTAGTCATTTCATCTATAAAATTGTTTTTCATACAAAAGACACTGTGATTAAATTCAGAGGCTACTTTCCGGGCTGATTTTACACCCCAAAGGTCAAAGAATTGTCTGTTTGCTTTATGAATTTTTTCTTTGTGTGGTGATATTTTCGTGAGGTTCAGACTAAATCCGCAAAAACCTACTGCTTGGCTTGTTGGAGGTGGAGGAACTTCAGGTCTCAGATTAGCCATATCTTGCCTAGTAAGTGGAGTAACATCACTATCCTTCAAAGGCTGCATCAGCTCAGGTGGGAGGGTGTTCGGGATTGCATACTTTTCAAGAGCTTTATATACTAAATGCATAGCCTAAAAAACAACTTAAATAAAGGTGGGAGTCGGAATGAAAAAAATAGCCCATTCCACATAACTGCAGAAGGCCAAAACTTACAACTACAAATTCATGTCTATTTAACATCCCATCTTTGTCTTGGTCAGCTAAATCCCATATTTTACCCAGGGTATCAAATGGTAACTTGGAATCCATTAGAACATTTTTAACCTAAAAGGTAAATTCAGAAAATGTAAACTAACTTATTTTTTAATGGCATATAGGCAATCGATTACAGGCAATACATGTGCAATGTTTTGGTCAACTTGGTCAGATTTTCCAAGGAAAATAGATATTTTTATAAACATATAAAAAAATTTCATTCGTAAACAAGTTTGATTTTCAAAATAAAATAAATAAAAATTTGTTACCATTTTTTTAATCAAATACAGCCAATATAACACAGAATCCAATACAGATTATCGATCACCAAGTAGTTAATGTGTTTCCAATACAAACCTTATTGCCAGGAATCAAACCATCAAGTGGTTGAAGAGAATCAAAAAGTTTGTCATAATTTTCCCTTTCACTGGGCTTAATTGTCCAGTCCACAGCTGATGGGGGCAGTGAAGTTATTAATTGTGATGGCTGGGAAAGTTTTGTCTTTGGAATTGGAACGTCCCCCTAACAAAAACAAAACAATCAATCCATATTTCAGTTATAACAATGTGATTACCATTTTTGGTGGAGGCACATCTTCATTCAAACTGCTTAAATTCAAATCTTTCCCATTTTGAACTAGAGCAACTAGTTTCAGAGCAACAAACATACCAGACTTATCTAAAGAACCTCTTCCACCTGGGTCTGACAGGTCCCATATTCTTGAAAGAATCACATCACTGAGACCTGATCTTTTAAGGAATCTGGCAGCTTCCAACCCTCCTACTGTTCCATACCCATTAGGGTCAACCTGCATTATGTATACAGCATAGTTAAAGTTGCGAATATCATCAATCACTACAGACATTTGTATTTCTTAATTCCTTAAACTTGAAAGTTTATTTTGGTTTATATACATAAATATAAAAGAAAAAGGTGTTAATGGAGTGTTTCTCGTTTACAGATCTTTATCAGTGACCCTTAATCAAGTAAAGGAGTTTGGACAGATCAAAAAGGAAAGAATAAATATAAATGTACATTAATTCTAAGAAATAGTTAATATATAGATTAGGAAGATATAGCAGAACCTAATGAACTTAATGACAGATTTCTTACAATATTCAATGGGTTGTCTTAGTAATCTGCAGAATTTAACCGCCTATATTCTTTGTAAGCATTCAAAAAAGAAAACAAGAACACAAACCCAAATTGTGATATATTGGAAACTTTAATTGAATCTTTATGCTATATCTAAAATCACAGAAAACAAAACCTCGAAATTGATAGAATAATAAGTTTTTCAATAACAGTATTTAAAAATTTCCTATGTAATTATTTTTCCAAAATTTTTTTTTAGATCTGGTCCAGTCCATTAGATATTGTGGTTACGAATAAATCACATGCGAAGTATTCTAAAATAGTCCACTTATATTTTACGATAACAATTATTGATGAATGAAATTCTTTTTGCTTGAAATAAAAATTGTTCTCTAGATATTAAGTTAAATGAAAATTAGCTAGTTTACACTACATAAATGATTTTCAACTTACCACACTATAATAAGCTTCATAAATGTTAATGTTAGTCCCCGCAACCTGAAATTTGAAATACAAAGTCAGCATGCACAAAAAAAAATTAATTTCTCTATTTTATTCCTTCTTTTCCTTTAAAAAAAAAAGATTAAGTTGCTACTTTAATATGAATTTTATTTATTATTTTATTATTTGAAAATCATCATCTATCATCATCATTATCTGGGATTTGTCAATGTTAAAAAATGTTATTCCAAATACGAAGTTTCTAAAAATTGTAATAAATAATTAATAATTAGCAATTTTCACTTGTGTAATAGCACACCCAGATTAATCATATATTTATTATAAAACTCCAAATTTATAATTGTGTTGTATGATTATTATATGCTAAACAAATTACAGAGAGATGGTTGAATGTTCAGATTATACTTATTGGAGTAATAAAGAATCTTAACTAAAGTCTCTCAAGGTTTCATTAATAAAACTGTTTTAATACTATAAACCGCTATAGCAATATCAAAAAATTATTTAACGAGGGACCATATTTCTTCCACAACACAAATTCGGGCAAAAGATTAAAAGCTGAAAATTAATTTAGTAAATTTATTGCGGATCGATTAACGGTATTGCATGAAAATCGAATTAGAAATTCAATGTAGGCATTAAAATACTATATATGAAAAGTGTAATTCCAAGAAGACAATTATAGAGAATTAGTTTTTAACATAAATACCATAAAAATGATAATACCCGGCTAAATATTATCGAATTAATTTCGTTAGAATTGTTTATATTTACAATATCTATTGGAATTTTTAAACGCCCACTGTGTAGGGACCATAAACCAAACATAAACTTGTCAATACTACTCTGTAATGATCACATCGAACATTCAAGATTTAACCTAACTAATTAACTGATATTAATTAGAAACTTGCCTGAGTTGGAGAAGGCAAAGAAGCCATTTTCACTGAAACTTTTCTTTTAAATAACGAAGATCTGCTCTACCTTTTCCATTACTTCTGTCGTTGCGTACTAGACAAGAAAATTAGGCAAACACCCAAACACTAAAGCAATCGATACTAAGGCGCAGATTACAGAACATACCGAAATAAGGCATTAGAAAATAAAACGTAAGCAGTAACTAAGCTCTCATGGTTTACCGTTCTTGGGTAAAAATTGGAACCTCACTTAAAATAAATGATAATGGAAATTCAGTCAAATTCAGCTATTCATTTTCTGCTAACCATTCAAATTTGGTTTTTGGAAACCTGCATCAGGGACGTTAAGATTGTTTTCGTTCGAAGTACGTCATTATTGTGTGTTAAACAGACGGGTAAACAAACGATTTTTGTTATTTGTCAGAAAATGTTGTCTTATCCCTATAAGGGGTATCCAATTCCACAGTGAAACGTCGTATAATCCAAGAAAAACAAGAAGTTAGACCACTTTGGCAATGGGTTATCAAAATCAAGATTATATCTGTGCCAAAGTCAAACTGTGGTTCCGTCCTGTGTTATTCAATATTTAGTCTATGGTTTGGTCCTTATAAAAAAAAGTTAAATTTAATGTTGACCTGTAATGTTGACATGTGTAGTCCATGCTGTGATATGTGATTATGTGATAAATCTCTGTTATCTTTGATAATATGTGATTTTAAATTTGAATGATACAAGATAAGCCGGTTCCCAGGCTAGTTCGGCATGAAATTTGATGCACTTGTAAAAGAACACAAAAAAGAGGCAAACAGCATGAGCAAAAATGAATGCAAATAGTTTTAAATATGCAATATTTTTGATGTGGTTATGTTATTTAATATCTACTTCAATTTATTTATTTAACCATGGATTTCTTTTAACAAGAGATGTGCTACACAATGTATCATCATATTGTTTGCCTTACGAACATCCCACATGCCAGTATCCAGATTCAAGCAATGCCTGTTTAAGTAACACAAGATATCCAACTTCTCTTTTAAAAGCCGGCGATCGTGAAAATCTATGTGCAAAACCACAAGCCCGTGTGATTTTAGTTATTATTGACGCCCTTCGACACGACTTTATTGTCTATGATGATAAAAATCAAAATATTCTACCATATGAAAATAAATTTTCAGTGGTACACAATTTGCAAAATGCTTTTCCGAATTTGACACGTGTTTATAAGTTTATTGCTGATCCCCCTACAACAACAATGCAAAGGCTAAAAGCCCTGACTACTGGCAGTCTTCCAACCTTTATCGATGCTGGTTCCAATTTTGCAACCTACGAAATCAATGAAGATAACATTATTGACCAGGTAAAAATTATATATATATATATATATATATATATATATATATATATATATATATATATATATATATATATATATATATATATATATATATATTTAATCCATATGCAATTCATTTTCATTATTTCAGTACATAATAATATGTAGCAAAAATTATGCATGGTTTAGCCCTTAAAATTATAGATTAATTCAAAAAAGTGTTCTTACAATTTTTAATTTTAATTTTGTGTTTTATTTTTGGTTTCTCATAATCATTTATTGATTTGCAGCTCATTTTAAATAATTACAATGCAGTTTTCATGGGTGATGACACTTGGATGTCCTTGTTTCCCAACAGATTTTTAAGAGCATATCCTTACCCATCCTTTGATGTATGGGATTTGGATACAGTAGATAATGGTGTTAAAAACCATCTCCTTCCAGAATTAAACAATGACGACTGGAACTTGTTAATTGCACATTTCCTAGGTGTTGATCATTGTGGGCATCGATATGGCCCAAATCATCAGGAAATGGAGAGAAAATTGAATGAGATGAATGACATCATTGAGTATGTTCTTATCTTAGCATTACCATTTTTGGTACCATTAGAATTTAGAATGCTATATAGTAAAAATAATTTATAGTTACTGACTATACTTGACTGAAGGACATTTGTTGAAGCGATCTCCACAATATATCAGACTTGACCTTTTTTAAATTTAAAATTTAATCTTTTCATTAATTTTAAAATTAAATTCTGGTACAGCACTGGAAACTAGTATTATAGTATATTATGCAACAAGTTTGATAAACACAATTTTGGAAAATGTCAGTGGCTTGCGACCATGAGTAACGAAACTGATGTCTTCTAATGACACTTTCTGCCCTCTTGATTGGTGTATGATTGGGTAGTAAACATAGTAGGGATTAACAAATAACGAAATGGTCCCAGTTAATATTCTAGAAATTCCCTATATTAATTTTTGGTATTGTGAACAAAAGTTTTAGATTTTAAGATATAAAGGGGCGAAGAGAAGAAGGAAAGTTTAGCATTAGATTAACAAAAAATGCGCCACTAGCTTTTCTTATTTTGTTGTAGTTAAGCAACTGAAATTACAGGATTTTTGTCATTTTTTTAGTTTTCGCTTAATTTAAAAAAAAAAAACTTTTCTTTTGCTTCTCTAAACCTGCAGGTAATCAATTTTCATACAAAAAAAAATACATTAAATAACACAAACTTTAGAACTAGATACAAGTTTTTTTAGTTCTGTTTTTTATTTACCAAAAATTGCAAACACTAATTAAAAGATATTGGAGGGTATTTTTATTAATAATTATTAATTAATTTATTTATTAATCATTTTCAAAACTTTCATTTTTATAAAGGTTATTTTCATTCAACATTTCGTTCGGAATGAGATAATTCCAAAACACTTTAGCAGCCGGAAAGGGAAATAAATAATTTATATTAAGTCATAGTATAAAATTTTGCTAATTTTTTTTTCTATTCCTATGTTACTTATTTATATATACTTTTTTTATTTAAATATATTATTGCTTAATCCTGTTTTAGAAAAGTAACAACAAAAATGACTCAGGATGATATACTCATAGTAATAGGTGACCATGGAATGACTCTCACAGGTAATTTTTACGTTTTTATGTCTTGGTTGTGAAACTTTAAGATTTCATTCATAGGTGATCATGGGAGTGACAGTATTGAAGAGGTTACTGCAGGGCTTTTTATATACTCAAAACGCCCTTTAAATTTGTATAATGAAGATCATGATATTGTTAAACAAATTGACCTTGTGCCGACATTGTCAGCTATATTGGGAATTCCAATCCCGTTCCAAAATTTAGGAATTTTGATTCCCAATTGCCTGCCAATTTTGAAAGGTGATACCTATGGTTATTCAAAAAACTGGCAAATGATATTACAGCTAATGTGGGACAATCTTAAACAAATTGAAAGATATGTTAGGGAATATTCGAAAAATACTGGAACTTTTGACAAACAAACTTTAAACACTCACTTTGAGAAAATATCAGATTTGCTGCAAACATTGACCAGTATTGATTCAGAAAAAAAAAACGAAGAATTTATCGTCGAAATCCACCAATTTCTTAAAGGTGTAAGACGTTTATGTGAAGAAGTTTGGATTCGGTTTGATACAACTTCAATGCACAGGGGTCTAATGTTTATATTTCTAACAGTCTTTTTGGTTTTTCTTATCAGTGATGGTATACCCCTCAAAAACCTTGATTTGATTTTTAAATCATCTTTTTTAAACTGTTCAATTCTAAGTTTGTTTTCCTCGTCCGCGTTGATTGCTTTATTTTATTACTACGATTTTTTTAATAACTTGATTCATTTCTTATTAATTGCCACCTGCATCGTTTCATTTTGCACGTTTTCTATCCTGATTATACAAAACTGGGATATTATCAGTATTAGTTGGTATATAAGAAGGTGCACCGATAAAATTGATAATAGCCTTTTTAAAATTGTATTAATTTTTCTTCTAGTCATTTCATTCTCCAATAGCTTTATTAATGAAGAAGCCAGTATTAATCTTTTTTTGCTTATATCAATAATACTTTTGGAAATGCTGAAAATCATCTCCACGGCCTTAAGCCAAAAAGTCAAACAAAAATATGAAAAATCAATCAATCACATTTCTTGGCCACAGTTAAAATTTTTTCTTCTTGGTTTGATTGTTGTGGCTTCAATTAGATCGTCTATGTATTTTTGGAATTGCAGGGCAGAGCAACATTGGTGCTTTAATACTACGCCTGATATAAATAGATTGCAGCCTAAATTTGGAACTTCTAAATTTCAATGGTTTATTAGCATGGGCGCATTAGGTTTTTTGACCATAGCCGCTAAAATGTGGTTGAGAAGTTGTGGAAATCTAAGTGGCTACGCAAGTAATGTTATATTCATAAAAATTGTACCCACTATCGTTGTAGTCTGCATTGCTGGTTATTGGGTACTAAACCGTCTGCCTATAAAAAATTCCTCAACTCTGAAAACCGTAAATTACTTGGCCCTTGCAGTTTATGGCTTTCTGAGTTTGTTTGTAGTAACATTAGTAATGCGTCCTCTGTACGTTTGCGTTTTGCCAATAAGAGAAGGCATAACCGTAGAATCAGATGAGAAAATAATACCCCAATTATATCAAAAGCTCAAAGGAAATTTGCTAATGGATAAGATTGAAGACGAAAAAATCCCCATTGTGTATGGTTTGAGTACTGCATATAGTGCAGTATTTATTTTATTAGGAATCTGTCTAACTCTTCTATTTAGCTTGTTGTTGGGAGATTCTTTAACAGTATCAACAGTTATTATGTTTATGACTGCCCTGTTGGTGTTAATCACGACATCTTTAGTGAAACTTAGCAAAGCAAACTCTATTGGTAAGTATAATATTCTACAAAATATTTAAAATTTCTACAAATTTAAAATTATATTGCCACTGTCTAAGTAACAATGTTTTGGACTGAAAATAGCCGTTTTCCTGAACAGTTACATAAACTTCTATTTTTTTAATCCTTATCCTTAAGTTCCTTAAGCTTTGTCTAAATGTTAACTTGTATAGATCGTATTGTAATTGACATATTTTTGTTATAGAAGAGCTGTTTTCAATCCCGAATACTTCAATTTTGAGTTGGATAGTATTAGTCCAATATTTCTTTTATGGGACTGGTCATCAACCTTCCTTTCCAAATATAATGTGGGATGCAGCATTTGTTGGAACTGCGGGCCTAACCCAACGAGTATTTATTCAGGGAATGTTAATTGTAATTAATACATTCTGTTCGTACATTTTGATGGGGATTTTGTTACCTTTGTTCATCGTGTTCCCATTTACACTGTTGGTTATGTTGCCATCTTTAACTCCTCGAAAAAAAGAATTTGATGTCGTTTTCAAGAAAGGAGAGTTATTAATTTTCGAATACGAAGATGTAGCGAGTACAAGTTTATTTGTGCTTTCTTGTAAATACGTAATTGGACATGCAATTCGGGTAAGTTATTATATAAAATACGTTGTTTCCAAAATGAGGTTGGTAACCAATTTGATACCAAAATTCTAAAGTTTCCTAAATTTATTATCCAAAATTGCAATACTACTTTACTTAATATATATTGTGAGAATGATTACGCAGGTAAACTCGATGTTTTACACGTTAAGGTTTTTTTGTATTTCTTCCTATTATTTAATAGAATGCTTTGGAATCAAATTGTTTTTTGCAAATTAGATCTATGTTTATTCCATTATTTTCGAAAAAAAAAAACTAAAATTTCTTATTGTTTCTTTTAAAGGTATTTGCTAGTATGTTAGCTGCTACAATCCATTGCCGGCACTTGATGGTGTGGGGTATATTCGCTCCGAAATTAATTTTTGAGTCGATAGCTATGATAATAACATCCATCTGCGTAATATTAGGATATTGTTTATTTATAAGAATTAATAGTCAAATTTTCTATTTGGTCAACAAATTGAACAAAACCAGATAAATTTTATTACTTTAATCATTTATATAGTCTTATATAAGTCGCGTTTATTAAGTCTGAATATTTATTTGTTCTTATGTTGGTTGTATATTAAATGTTTATTTATAATTGTTTTTTTATTGCAAATTACAAACGTGAACTTTCCCCAGTACCGCACAAATTTTTAAGTAGTTTGGAGTGACTAGTCATAGCAGATCGTTGGGCAAGATCCTTTAAATGGATATATTAAATTTTACCGGCAGCCAGTTTCCTATTAAAAATGGGTAGGGTCTTCGATAAATCTTATCATGTGGCAATTTAACTTGATCGTAACAATTATTTGATTTAAACACCTTTTGATAAAATTACTATGTCTGTAGTAACGAAAATAAGTAAAACCATTTTCGACGTGGAAGAAAAATGCTCACATAAAAAATAATAAAAATACTATTAAATAACTATAACTATAATTTGTAATTAATAGTCTCTTACCTTCTCAGAATTCGTTACCGTAATAAGCAAATTACCGAGAACCTGGTCGTCATAAGTGCTAATAAGCGATTATGTTAATGTTAATGTTAAGGGTGAGGAAGAGCACCAAGAGGAAGACGAAAATGAAGAAGTTGATCTGAGACCACCACCAACCATTCAACAAGCCCTATATTCAGTTAAGCTGCTAGAGAATTTTATGTATCATGGGGAAGTCCCTTTCGAAGAAATGGTGAAAATACAAGCCAAAGTACGAGATGCGTATTGGCATACTAAAAAAATTCAAAAGAAAATGACCGATTATTTGAAGCATTAAATATTTATATAAAATGTTCCTAAGTAGATGTTAAAATATGTATATAAAATAATTAAATATTTTTCAAGTGCCTATAATTCTTTATAACGAAAAAAAAGCAGTCCCCTCAATTTCGTTGTATAAAATTTCGATTGTATTTACTACGAAATATGGGTGTTTCCCAAAGTAAGTATGCACAACAAGTGGAGTCCAGTCATGGAGTCTGGTAAGTTTGAAAAAAATTAAAATAACACACATTTACATTGCCGCTTTTGTCGGTCTATACTATTAATTTATATATGACGCTCTTTAGTTTTTTTATTCCAAACAACTTGACAGGAATTGTACTTATATAGTTTTATACTTTTCGCTATATTTTCAGTTTTAATTTATGCTTATTTTTAATGTTTGTTACAGGTAGATTTTTTATTAAATAAATAAATAAACATATCTAAAATTAGAGAAAACATATCTATAGTGGATTTTGTTCACTCGTCTACCAATAATTCATTAAACGTCGCTTGTTAATGGCTAATGATACCGAGCCAAATATGATTCTAAGCAGCTTATGAAATATCAACGTAAAAACTTAACATGTAATTACGTAGGTTGTGCTAATTACACCCCATAATCTCGCTATTTCATGCCATTTGTCTGTTTTGCAAAGTTTCGTTACTTTTTTTAAAAATTATGATACAGCTATAATATCTAAGTAAAAAACTCATTTAAATTATGTGATAGAATATGCTGATGACTACAAGAAATTCTAGCTTGAGCATTCCCAGTATCTGCTACGCGACGTTCACATAAGCACATTATAAATAGGTGTGCAATGTACTTTGTAAGGAATTCTTGTAACGGTTTAATGTATAGCTCGAAGCCCTGTTTGTAAAACTAAAAAAAGTGTGTTTATAAGACCCGTCGTTTGAAAACCTTAACTTTTATTATGATTTCGAGATAATTGCAATTTAGTGCAGTCACCTCCAAAAAAAATCGGCCATTCAAAATTGGTCCCAATTTAAAAATTCATTTCCTCGCCAATCGTTTGTTTGATTTTGATGATATTTTTGCGATCGATTCTTCGGCACAAACTTTTATTCCGTTATTTATTATGTGATTGTGGTTGCAACAATGAGTAATCCTATGTCTCAATGGCCGTCATTTTACTAACTTACTTACTTTTTAAATATAGATTAATGAATATCAACGCCAATGTTTATTTCTTATCTGCATGTAGCCTACCCAATCTAATAAAAAAATTGAGTCAGCGATATTGCAATGCAAATATATCAAAAACTGAGTGTTTTACCGAAATAAATGTTTTTTTACTTAGAAATCGTTACTCGTAATCGTAATCTCCATCTCCAAAAACCCTCCAATCTAAGAGTCATGTGGATATCATAATAATTTAGAGAAAATAAATGTAGTATACTGTTTTTTACATAGAAATCATCACATTATCAAAACCTTTAAAAAAACTACTAATAAGAAAGTTATTTCATGAAATAGCGAGAAATGTTGCCGAGATTTTTGGGTGTAACTAACGTCCTACATATCATGCGAAAAAATAGAATGTCTCTCGAAAAACCTTCGAATGTAAGTTTTCATATGGATATTTCAAAAACTGCTTGAGCCAGATAGAAATGAAAATTTCGAGAACTAAACTTTAGCACACCCAGTTTCTCACTAATGAGCGTTGATGAATTCGTTAAGAACCACTCTGTAACCACCTACCTATCTACATTAATTGTTTAATGTACCTACCTTTTTCTTACCAAAGAAGAGCTAGAGATATAAACAAGAAAACTTCCTTCAGTTGTAGTTATTTTGAATATTGACCAAATTTTCTGAGATTTCACTTATTTATTTATTCACTCATTTAGTGAGTAGTTTTTTTTGGAAAGCTCTAGAGTCAATAATTTCGAACAAACATCAGTCACGCTCATCTTGGTCAGCTAGTCAGTTTCTAATTTGCTGAGTGTACACAAAGCGGAAAAATTTTTCGAAAATCAAAAACGAAGCGAAAAATCAATAAATATGGAGCTACAGTCCAATTCATGTCCCAATTACAATTTTGACTAATAAACGATTTAATTTAGGTTAAAAATGGAGTGTAAAAAAGGAAAGTCGTGATAATTCCCAACGCAAATACAAATAGCACCTCTTTCGAATCAACATTATAAAAAATGGTTTGTTATTTTCACTAACAGTAGTATTTCCGTAACACGATGAAAAGATTGATGGTACTGTTTTCAATGTTAGCAGTGTGTTGTTGCCAACATGCTGTAGACCACAAGGATCACGGACACCACCATGGGCATCACCATTATTACGACTTATTTTTTTGTAAGTAACTTATTCAGCTGCACCATTCTGTAGTGCTAAAATAAAACACAACACGGCTCGAACATAAGAAAGTGATAAAAAAACAAAAATCTAACCGACACTATGACCAATGTAGAAAAACGCACGAAATGAATTGTCAAAAGCTTTATTTCTATTATATTATTACGCCAAAGCGTAGATTTTTATTTTTAATACGCTTACGTTTGATAACTTTTTTAATACAAAATTAAATAACGAAATTTTTTCATATCTTGATGCGATCGTCTTCTAATGGAAAATGGTATTGGCAAACTTATTTTTAGAGATTATTCTACTTATATATTTACCCTTGTTTTTTTTATTTATTATACCTGTAATAAATTTTGTGAAATATGTGAAGCCACTGTTGGATAAGTGGATACCTTCCTTATTCGGGCATAGTTTTTGAAACCACACTTTTGCCTATTTCTTTACAAGTAAAACCAACTCATATAACTAGACACTAAGTATGATAAGAAGGCAATTTTTTTTTGGTCCGAAACCTTCTGGAACATTCCTATAACCGTACTCTAACAACACTGCTGTGGCATAGCGATGCTACACTGAAAGGAAGGCTTTATAAAAAAATACAGTGTTTTCTGACAGGTTCGCTTGTTCTAGCAAGTCAATCTATTGAAAACTACGTCTATCTTCCTTTATTTATGGTAGTTATAGGTGTGCCAAAAAAGAAAACTTTAAAATTATATTTGAATGGCTAATATATCTACCACGGAAGAGATAAGTTTACGCATCGACGCAGTTTTTTGAACACTTAATCAAACGGGCACCTCCAATGAGCGCACAAGCGCTCGATTCTCTTATATGTCATACTGTGTGTTGGTTTCTTCAGCGAATTCAATTCCGTTTTCTATGTTTAAAATTTCTTCGATGATGAATCAAATATATCAAACTTTCTCTTTCGAATTGACTACCATTTGCAGTCATAAGAAAAAAACAGATTGTGGTTATTTTTGTGAATCCCACAAATGATTTTTAACTATAAACAGTACAACATTTTTTTACAAAATATTTGGCTTATTTTTTTAAATAAATATTAAAAACGGTCTATTTAGAACAAAATTATTTTTGTAAAGTTCTGGGTTGGTGTAAAAATAATAAACTATCAGAATATATTAACAGTGAAAGGGAATTGTTCTTACCATAAATATTGAACTTCTTCTAGATAAAGAGAAGATATTCTGGTACTTTATTTTTCTGGCATTCAAAATAAAAGCAGTCTTCGTTCTTGGTACGATTTTCACAGTCAGTATGGTAGCGGGCAAGGTGTTTGCGTTGGTCAAATACATTGATTATATGAAAAGTAAGTACATATTTCGGTAAAAAATATTCAAAGTCACAAAATAAAGCATAATATAAACAGTACTATATATAAACTTAAACTTACCGGCTGTTTCGAGTTATTTATTTTTTATTCATTATTATAACTTTACTTCTGGCTTTTGTATTATTAAAGATATAACTTTAGTTAAATTAAACAACTAATTGTTAGATTTAAAGAAAAGACAACTTTGTCTCTGATTCAAAATACGGGAAATATTTTGAAATAAATTTGCATATTCGAAAACCGTAAACACTCTAATATGCCAATTAATATGATTGATTGATTTTTTCTTGTTTGAAGGGTTGATACAACATAGACGGTTTTACTTAAAATCCTTTTGAAAGGTCTTGATTAATTCGGCGTTGTCACATTTGAAATGAACAAATCATTTATACGTTTTAAATCATTAATATATCTTAAAAAATTGCTTTAAGGATCACTAAAACCAGTTTTCGGTGCCGTTTAAAACAAAACAAAAATTGAATATTAGCAATCGATCCCTTTATAGAATGATCAAAAGTTGCTAGTTAAGAAAGTTAATTTTTAGCTTAAAAAATCAAATATGCAATCTCATTAAAGTAGTAACTGTAATAATTAAAAATGTAGTAATGGTTGAATTAAAACAGTCGGTATAGGTAATTTTATATTTAATGTCAATACAGTTTTTAAAAATTTTAAACTTAATATTTGAACTCAAGAAAATAATAATAATTACAGATTTCTTTATCGGATAACTTGGGTTAAGCATCTGCTAACTTTTTATTTACAACTTCGGTTAACCTGACTAGAATAGAAGAATTGTCCCAACATTTTGTGTCATTCTTTAAGAACAAGAATACCATCATCATGGAGAAAAAGTAGTTTATATTAATGCCCATGATCATCATAGCCACCATGATTTTGGGGATCAGTATGGTGCGTTTTCAGCGCCTGCGGCCGTTTACCAAGGACGACTCAACGAATATCATGGACAAACAGGTAAATTATAATAATAAATAAAAAAATAAAAATTAATAAATTCGTATACATTAAAATACCCAATTTGTAAAAATTTACTTTGTTGTAACTATATATTATGTAATTGACAAAATAAACTATAATTTTTTTTTGTCTTTGCAACGATGGTGCATCCAACTTTAAATGTTTAAATATTTTCCTTTAATGTTAAAGATTTGAAATTTGAAGTTTGACATGCCCCCATGTTATTTAATTTCAAATTCTTCTAAGTTTACTTAAATTATAGAACATGACTTTGCAAAAAGGAGATTATAAAAATCTTAACAAACTCCACTATAGGTATAAATAAACTCCAAAACATTTTTTTATTTATATCAATGTTATCAAACCAAATGAAATACCGTTCCTAGACATTTAGATTAGGAGTGTAATGTTTACAACACGAACGTATTATATTCGTATGCGCCCTGCAAAAAAATATATAATTCTGGATATCAATTTAAATAAATAAGACGCCTATTTCAAGAAGGGTTTGTTTGTTGGACTTCTGTCGTTATGACATAAAGACATTGTGGGCATAAATGACAATAATTATTTCAAGACAAACCCTTTATTTTTTAGAAACAGGGGCGTATATATTGTTTTTTTTTTCTTGGTTTGGAGTATATTTCATTTCAAATTTATTTATTGATTTATTGCCCAGCACAGTGTGGCTGGTATAGTTTATAATGTATATATTCCTTAAATATGTGTAACACAAGATTCCTTTTTCCTAACAGTTGTTCTACGCCGATTCATCCATCCATTTATCGTTATACATTTAATAACCGTCAGCCAACGGAATTAATTTTTTTTCGCGTTTCGAGTATCGAACTATTCCAAAGGCTGATTCGCTCCCACATAAATATGTTTTAGATGGTTTAACAAATGAACCACCGGTGCCCTCTGAAAATATCGACAAAAAACTCGTAATCGCATTGTCGCCTGGAGGCGGCTACTCGAATAATTACCGTCCGTTCCAAATGGCTACCCACGGAAGAAGTTGGGATAATGAAAACGGCATTGACTGGTACAGTCTGTTATACGCATTCAAGAAGATGATTCGAAGGTGAGTAAAAAGTTTTAACATAAAACGTTAATAATAATTTATTTATTATTATTTTTAATTGTTAATTCAAAATTTGTTATTGTTATAAGCAGTATTTAACTTATTAAATAACATAATTTAGACTCTAATTATCAAACCGAAACGGTATAGTGTCTTGTTCTTGCTCAGCTGATATTTTATTTGGGTTTAGATCAGACATATCCGAGACGGCATTTCGAGAAATGGGAATAAAGACAGACAATTGCAAGAAAAAATTTGTTTGTGACGCAGATATTGTAACTAAACAGAGCATTTTGTTAAAAGCGATATTTGAAGCTCTAAGGTGAGTGTGGATATGTTATTTTATTTTCCCGAATGTTTATATTATACATTATTAACATAAACCTCTAAAACCAGAGCAGGTACAAATAATCTAGCTGTTAATAAATAGTAAAATTTGTTGTATAAACGAAGATAAGTTTAGTCTGTTTGACTGAGTAAAAGAGGTTGTTGTTTTCCCCATTGTTTAGAATAGAAATCAATTGTTAATTATAAAATTAGACCAAATCAAAGCATTCACATTTTCAAAGTCGTTAAACTTTTTTATCAGGACTTATTTCTCTACCGAACTGCATTCCGAACCATATTCGAAATAATTAGGTTTTTGAAAGTAGTGTATTTGTTCGGATCAACATTTTCCCTTCACGTACTTGACTATGGAAAAACAATTATGTTCTGCTTTAAACATGATAACTAATAATTAGTATAGTAATAATTGGTTTTCCATAGTCAAGTACACGAAGGGAAAATGTTCGGCTGAACAAATACGATACGAATATGGGTCGGAATGGCTAATGGGTAGCCCCAATATAGTTGATAGAAAAATAAATCCTGAATGATAACACTTAAAGTTGAAAATATCGAGTGTAGCGGCTTTGGAAATGTCAATGTTTACTGCCGAATTTTGGACACCAAGGTTTAAAGTAGACAATATAAATAACAAAAAAGTGAAGTTAGCATCTTTTTAAATATTTTTCCAAATATGAAATGTAATTATTAAACAACTTAAAATTTGAAAGATTTGTGCATTTTTTTAACCTTATGCAAAGAAATAATTCACTTACGGTTTGAGCGGAAGCGACTCTAGATTATGATAGCAGACGCAGTTCCATCGTGTATAGAACAATTTCCTGAATCCAACACAATTAAAAAGTCATTTAAAATTCAAAACTTACCGCAGTTTCCACTCAAACCAGAATTAAGTTTTTCAATATTTTTGACTTTTTGAATACCGGAAATGTCCGTGTAATGTATTATTGTTATTTGTTTGTAGTCTTGATGACATATTTAATTAAATTCGAAGCGTCGACCATTAATTGATTAACATTGACAACATTGTCGGTTTTCGGTACAGATTGTATTTAGTGAAATTGTGCAAGTTGTGTAACTTTTCTTTCAGCGACGAAAGCTACGAAAAATATAGATCCGAAGAAAACGAGGGTGACTGCACAGTTCGATATTCTGAATGTATGGGTGGTATAACAATATAAATAAATTAATACCTACGATCCACTTTGTCTGGTATTGAATGATCATACATTGTGATATGAATATGTTGTATATTGTATTTATTTCATTATTTATTTATAAATAGATATTTGTTCAGTATTCGTCTAATCTTTTTATAAAATAAATTGGGTATCGGGTAGATTGTTATATGTATACGAAATTACACTTGAACTTATTAAAAATACATTGACTGAAATCATTTTCCCCTTTCAAGTTGTACAGCAAATTTTATCCTATATATGTTTCGGCAAAATATAATTATGCACTGCCCAATTGCGTGTGCACCTAAATATGATATATACTACCGAGTACAAAAAGGTTAACGTTAGGATAAAACCTGAAGATAAACGTCTATCGTAAGTAGTCACATATATCTAATTGTTTACGCAAGCATTTCGAACATATCAAAAAATTTAATTCAATAATCAGTGAGTTTAAAATCGGCGTGGACATTGGATAAAAATATGTTTTAAGTTATAAAGATGTTTTATAGCATTTAAGGGTGAGTGAATGGTGCTTCCGAAGTTTGTTTTTGCATCCGACGGTTAGTTAGTTATTTTTTTTTAAACAATGACAAATCGGGAGGGCTCCAATTGCTTGCTGAATTTGAATATACCAATAGCAAATGTTCGGCCAGCATTAAGTGTCTTTATAAATACATATTAGAATTTAAATACTTATTTACTTTAGACTACAGCTCACATAAGTGTTTATTAAGAAATACTTGCACAGTTTAGCACAGTTCCCTACACACACGAAGATGAACGCAGTTTAGATATATTTGTAGAGTAAAAATGGCTTCTCGCAATACTGCTTTGTCTTGGATTCTGCTTGCTTGTGCAATTAAGAAGATGCAAAACCAAAGGTTGGCTACATAAAAAGATATAATTACACCCATGGCAATTTGCTTGCCGATTTGAAACTTTGGAAACAATTGGTTTAACTACCTAATAATGGATGATGATGAGAAAATAATTTTATTTGAAATTATTGAAATTATTTGCTCGTTTAATATAAAAGCAAATCTGTTTCACTACATGAGAGATTAATTGCAACCGTAAGATTTTTTAAGCTTTCTACAATACTCACCTCATTCTTCAACAATTAAAAAAAAAACGTAGAGAAAGCAAGTAAAGCCATCTTTTGTTTAGTTCTATAAATTCGCTTAAAAATTGTTTACTTGGGTTCGACATTTTGTTTATTTACTTTCTGCTGTTAATAGATTGATCCAATAAACATAACTGAACAGACACATACACGCTCAGGCCTGTTGATTTGTGCAAGTCAAATTTCAAGCAGGATTTGATTTTACTCAGACTAGGCCAAGTAGCTATATGTGTGTTTTACACAGTAGTCAGTAACGAGAGTATTGCAAACCGTAATTCAATTTTCTATAACATTGAAGCTCCGGAACTACTCCCAATTGAACTTTCGAAATAGCATACATACTAGTTTAGTTCAGAAGAAACCGGCAATTGGCGTATGATCTTGCCGAATTATATTTTGTTTTAATGTACTGGTATATATTATTATGGATAGTAGTAGTCTTTTAGTGTTCTTGGCGGTGTCAAAAAGCTGGATATTCAATGAAATATTCAAGACATCACGCAACAAAACAAACTAACCAAACTTTTGGTAATTGTCTTCCACATGTGAATATACTAAACTAAGCCGGAATTAGCCAAATTCGTATTCTTGATTCATAATCGTATTCGCAATTTTATTGCGTATCATGGATGTCGGGCAGTAGTAAACAAATGTCATGGATTATACAATTCCTTAATTCAACGTAGTTATTTCTTAAAATATTCGTTATCGGTTTGAATGTACAATTTAATCAAAAAGTAAACACAAAATTTCCAAAGAAATTACCTTGTGTTATATGTGTTAATATGGCGAATACGTTTATGATTAAGAATTGCGAATTAAAAATACGTAGAGAAAGAGTTTGTCAGTATGATCTGTACTTTTTCCGCAAATAAATAGATATATGTTAGTGTGTATATTTGCTGGGCGGATGCCGTAAAGAAATTAACTAAATCCGTATCATTATAATGCTTTAATAAAGAAAATCTAATTATCTCATGTATTTATATTTAATAAACGAGTATATGTAATTGATAACACAAAGAAAACAAATATTTTTAGCTTAAGCAATATTAATAATTGTTAACATTCATTTAAATTGACAGATAAAAAAAAATAAAATAAAATAACTAATTCTATTTTACCCATCGCCGCCTCAATTATTTTCCAACTGCAACTCACATTCATTTTAATCAAATATCTAATCTGTTTTACTTATTTTTATAAAGTAGATAACTCATATTGATTTTCATTACAGATAAACATGGCAGGCTCATGGAAAGACAAATTAATAGAATTTTTGGAGAACAACCGGGGACTCGTGGTTTTAATATTTTGTTTACCTGCTAGTTTCGTTTTCGATGTGTTTTTGAATTTGTATGTAAAATTGCTGCGGCTTTTGGCAGGCAGTTCAAATAAACATAGTGAAAAGGTGAAACAAATTCAAAAGAAAATCCAGATCTACAATAAAACTCCTAGTACAAACCGGAAGTTATTGGTAACTGCCAGACCGAACTGGCTCAGTTTATCAACAAAATTTTTTCAAAAAGATAAGTGCCATCAAATTCCTATAAATCTATATGATATACTAAACTTAGATGAAGAAAACCTAACGGTACATGTGGAACCGATGGTAACCGTTGGTGAAATAACAAAATATCTCATCCCAAAAGGATACACTTTGGCTGTCACATTGGAAATTGCAGACGCGACATTAGGTGGTTTAGCTATGGGAACTGGAATGACTACTCATTCACATAAAGTTGGTCTCTATCATGAAAATGTTGTTTCCTATGAAGTAGTACTGGGCGATGGTTCCCTTGTAACAGCATCTAAGGATGAGAACAGTGATTTATATAAGGTTTTACCTTGGTCACATGGTAGCCTTGGGTTCTTAGTTGCTTTGACATTAAAAATAGTTAAGGTCAAGCCCTATATTAAAATGTCATATATTCCAGTTAAAGGGCAGGGAAACTATTGTGATATGATACGATTATTTTCTGGCGATACCAGCGCAGATTATCCCACCCCTGATTACGTTGAAGCAACCATTTTTAATAAGGATGAAGCTGTAATTATGACTGGGGAGTTTTCAGATTACGATAGTACTTTGTCAATAAATCACTTGACTAGATGGTACAAACCTTGGTTTTATAAATACGTAGAATCCTTCATATCAAAAGGTAAATACACCGAATTGATACCACTGAGAGAATACTTGTTACGCCATAATCGAGCCATCTTTTGGGTTGTTGAGTCTATGATACCCTTTGGAAACAACATGCTATTTAGGTTGTTTTTTGGTTGGTTACTTCCGCCAAAACCTGCATTTTTAAAATTCACCACAACTCCGGGGGTCCGAGCGTTTACATTTACGAGACAAGTTTTTCAAGACATTGTCTTACCAATTCGTAAATTAGAGGATCAAATCAATGAATCTACCAAACTTTTCGATTTATATCCTTTGTTGGTATATCCCTGCAGAATTTATGATCATGGACCCCATTCTGGGCAATTAAAGCCCCCCCCAAAGGAATATTTGGTTGAGGGAACAAATTATTCATTGTATAACGATTTAGGAATTTACGGAGTACCCGGATTTGTCCGAAAAAAGGAAAAATACAATCCGGTTGCCAATATGCGAGCCATGGAAAAATTTACGAGAGATGTTGGAGGATTTTCATTTCTGTATGCCGATATCTTTATGAACCGCTCGGAATTTGAAGAAATGTTCGATTTGGCATTATACGAATCTGTGCGAAGTAAATATGCTGCCAATGGAGCTTTTCCAGATTTATACGATAAAGTAAAACCTGAAATTGATGTTTTCGATATTGGCAGGGAATACGAAATTAAATAAAGTTTGGTAAAATCTTTAGAACATATTTTAATATATGACCTAACCAAATTAAAGGCCCCATTTAGTACTAGATTGTTGTTTTGGGGCGTTTGATACTCTACAAGATCTTCAACCGTCTTTCCTAGTCAACACCAGGAGGCTGTTGAAGTTGGGGCGATTAAAACACGTTATTGGTCCCTTTTGAAGTGTTTTCCTAAATTTCATATAACACCTGAAAATCGGGATACAAATTTTCGTTAGCGCATTTAAAGATACCGTTCAAAAGAAAGAAAGAAACGTGTGTTTTAAAAATTGAAAACTGAATAATATTTACAGACACTCTTTATTCCACCTACAAAATTTATGTACTTCAACATAGTTGTTATTTTACATTTTCGTAAATTTCTAAACTAGTTTATCCTTTAATTTTTTGAGTAATTTATTTTAATGTTGATAAATTTATTCTCGCACAAATCGTCTCAAATCTACCTAGCTAATCTAACGCACACTTTCCCAAGACTTACACCATCTGTGAATAACAACTTTCATACTTGCAAGAATGTGGGTAATTATAATTAAATACCATTGCCTTAAAAGTTAACTGATTATAGGTTTCGCAATTGCAAGAATGTGGTTGGTCATAACTAAATATGATTAACCAGATTATTGGATTCCTATACTTACATATGTAGATAACAATTACCTCTTTTGCACTTCTAATTCAAGAACATATAATTTATTTTAAAATAAATAGTATATATGAATTAAAAATACATGTATATTAACAAAAAAAAACAATTGTATTAGTCATTTATAAAATTTTATAATTACAGATAATCGCAATTGATGACTGCAATCAAACAACAGAATAATTTTACAGGGTGTGAGGGGTCCTGACAAAATTAAAACAAGTCCAAATCTAAAGTATTACCTTTGAGTTCAACTTTTGAGAAAAACTCGACCTTCCCAACGTATCTGATTTTTCAAATTCAATACACTGTATTTATTAGAGTTTTTACTTAGGTAAACTATTAATTTCAAGGTAAAAATTTAATTAAACTTAAACACTGTTGCATATTATTTTTATGAAAATGGTTATGTTAACTCAGATTTGTTGCATTTACTTCAATTTTGTCAATACCCGAAAAACATGTACATTGAAAATGCGTGACCTGTACATTTGGTACTGCTGTTTAATATAACATATTATTCATATTTCCATTAGAAAACTTTTAACAAAATGAGATTCAACACATTAGACAATTGAAATAAATCATAACACAATTTGACAAAAGTTTCAGTCAAAAAATCAGTCCAAAAAAATTAAAAAGGTAGTTGATTAATTTGATAAAAATGTCGCGGTTAAATGGCAGTGAAGAGCATTATTTGATTTAAAGCTCATGATGTCATAGAATCATATAAGGCAAATACAAAAGAAGTAAAAAAACAAATAAAGATTTAAATATTCCTTTAAGAAGCAGCAAAACATTTTTTTTTTAATGTCAAATAGGCCTGCAACATTTCGTAACATCGCCAGAAATTTAACAAACAATTTATTTTTGCAGGCTAGAGGGAAAACTATTGAATCATTACATACTTTTCAAACTTTAGTGACTGTGGAATGATATAGTTTCTGCTCATTAGAGGTAGCAGAGAGGAACAAGTGCTAATTGCAGGAATTTTTGGACGAAGGGCGGATTTTGATTTATTATGGCTGCTTATATGAAATTTATTTATGAGGAGCCTTACTCTCCTAAAGCAGTTCTCAAGGTTCAAGTTATATATTCGGTTTAATAACAACAAACAAAGTTGTACAATACAGAAGACAGATAAGAACTGAGGAAAAAAATTATCCTTATACAATTTAAAGATTGCCAAGTAATCAAAATTATGATGTCTTTTATTATGTTATTATGAGTTTAACGAAAAAGGTGTCGCGAAAACTGGTATAAATAAAATATATTACTAATATAAATAAGAAAATATAATACAAAATTTGTCTCCGTTGCACACTTAAAAACTAATTTTAAAGCTTTATAACTTGTGTTCAGAAATATTTTTGTGTGGTCTAATCAGCCAATACTACATTAAATATTACAAACTTACACCCACTTATAAAAAATTATAAAATTGTATGAAACTAAAAAAACCTCTGTGAAATAAATAAAATGAATATTCTATAAAATTGTGCAAACATATAATATCTTGACTATCATACTTCGCCAAGTAGCATTAAAATGGCACAGGTTCAATAACCTTCAGAAACGGTTCAATTTCAGAAACTTTTCCGACTTACTATAGTTTTTAACTAAACTGTAATACAAGTGTCCAACGAAAAACTGCGACATTAAAAATTTGTTGTTGATTTAAAGAAAAATACCAAAATACGTCATCTTTCCGAGAGAGAACTTGATATACAAATAGTCATTTTATAAAAAAGCGATTGACCTTTACTTTTTTTTGCTTTTGTAAATTGCTACGGCTGTAACTCCAAATATAGTACAGTAACTTCCGGAATTTCAACGCGATAGCGTTGCGCAATTATAACATGTTTTTAAGCAGATTACCATATACAAAGCACTATATTGATTTTTAATTAATTATATCCCCAATATTCCAGTGCGTGTGATTGGTCGTACAAAATCGAGAATCTGTTATATCTATATGTAACAAAAAGTTAAAAATTAGTAATTTCAATAAATTTTCCACATGTCACCCTTAGAAGCATTAATGCAATTGTTGGGTATATCGGAAAATGATCCATCCATCTTGACTGCGGCAATTTTATTCCTGAACAATAAAAACTGAATGTTCAACTTTTAAAGAATAACCGAGTTACCTAAAATTTAATTTAATTTATCTGTAAAAAGTGTACAAAAATATGTTATACACAACGAATCACAGCGTATTTTTTGGATATAAAGGTCCAAAACTTGATTTTGGGAATAATTTTGACCTGACTCAAACAAACTCGGTGCAAAAATTAAGAATTATTCCATTCAAATATATATGTTCTAGATTTTGTTTATTAGTTTTAATTTGTGTAAATTGTAATATTAGAGATTCTATCTTTGTTGATTACCAAAAAAAGGATCAGTGATTAATATGGTTCTTTCAATCAATGTAAGCTAATAAAATAAATCTAAAAATTTTCCATCCGTTAATTAAAAAGAGTATTTAAAAACCCTGGGAAAAAAGTACACGCAAATACCTGAATAAATATCACTTCTTCATAATTTGATATCAAATTTGTAGACTATCATCTGAAATTCTGGATTAATTATATTCGGTAAATTTTAAGAATCTGGGTAGCAAGAATCGCCCTACACTTACTTGGATTAAATAAGAATTCGAATGTTAATATATAATAAAAAAACTAGAGGAGCACTTGAAGCAAAATTGATATTGGTCATTAAAAAATAATAAATATAGTAAAAATATGTCGGAAAAGTTTCACACATAACTCCATCTTTTTGTAGTACCTTGAACTAAATTTAAACATTATTTAAAAAAGCTGAAAAGCTGAAGTCAAAGTAAGCCCCTATTTTTTTAAAATCAATTAGGTAACCCACGGCAAAAGGAAAAATTTTACAGAAAAACTCGCACCGAACGGGAATAACTTCTCAGTACATTTAAACCCTTTGGAAATGACATGCGGGGCTTACTCAAAATAAAACAGATTGACCTATATGTAGGCTAGATATAGAATACTCGTGCCATTTTTTGCTACCTTCTTGTAAAACGTTTTCATGTTTGTAGAGCAGTAGTCATTTCATCGTGGATAGTTGCTAATTCATGGATTCTTGAAGCAAGTTGTTGGTTTAAAGTGAATAAAACCTGTTTCTGAGAATCGTGGGCACTTAACGCAATTTCCAATTCCGATTGTGCAAGTTTCAAAGTCGACTGGAGTTCCTGATTCTCTTTCTGAAAAGATCCAGGAATCACAATTAGAACAGATATATACAACAATAGTTGTGGAAATACAATACAATTTCTTGAGCTTAAAAGCCAGATGTATACATCATAAGTGGAGGTGGTAACAATTGCGGAGGGGGATAAAAAGAACTATGGAAATATGGATAAAATGCATCACACATTCGTCTTGTAAATTAGGTACCTGAAAGGGACATATTTGCTTTGCTTTATATGTAATAACATATTTTTCTGAAATAGATTTAAAATGACCTTTAAGCGTAACGTGTTGTTTTGGTTATACACCTAGGAACAAAACAACTCACTTTTTCGATTGCAGTTGCAGTGTTAATTGTTTGATTTTTAATAAAAAATAACAGACTAATAATAATAATAAATACTGCCAACAACAAATATTGTGGTGAACATTAAGGAATACTTCAGTTCACCTTAAGTATGATTAAAAAGAAATATTACAACAGATCTTACACGGCATAGCTTCTAAATTCATTCGTTGTCTTTGGGACGTGTTACAATATTTGGTGAAAATGACAGCCAGAGACATTAATTCCGTGAAAAAAGGATGAAAGCGTCATTAACTTTTGTAAAGCTAATCGTCGAAGTATAAGTTTCTCTGACAATTGACAATTTGAGCAAGCTCAGCAAAAAAATAATTTCTGGCACTAAATTTGACACAAAACCACAATTTTAAAGCATTTTCAAATGTCTTGGCAACATATTTCGCTATTATTGTTGAAAAATTACCAGTTCAGAAATAAAGTATAAAATATCTGAAATCCTTGAGTTTTGATACCAAAACGTAAAATTATAGTGTTTAAACCGCAGTTTCTAGGTTTTCCAACTTGTTAACAATCCTAATTTTTGGTTAGTGTTCACAGAGAGGGGTTGATGACAAATATTTGGTTTTAGGCAAGTGAAAACAAACAATATGTAGGGTGGTGCATCAAGAAAATAATACCTGCTTTATGACATTACGCGCGAGCGTATTTTGAAAGTTCAGTTTTATTTGCTAAGAAGATGCATACAAGAGGTTATAACCGTAAGCTATTGAATACATAGTTCTTGCCTATGCTACTTTTGAAACCCACAGCAATAAATGCGCAAAAAGCGCGAATCATTTGAAAACTCGTTTCACAACCAATAGGACATTGTGGCCTTCAACAATCAACATGGCCGCTGATAGTTAGTCAATTCAACAGTTTTTAGTTTCAATGAGACATGTAGAGATAGCGGTTTAGAAAGAACATGGCATGAAGTGCAGATTAGTGTGTGAAATTTAGGTGCATGTGTGGAAGATGTTGTAGTTGCCTGAAATACATCAATTTCAAAGTTTTTATGGTTATAAGTAATAAATTTGAAATATGATAGTGGGGTTCCTGGGGGGTGGGGTTATTAAAAAATTATTTATTCTGTGTGGTTAAAAATTTGTAGTCACTAAATTATTTGATAAAAACTTTTGACTTTCTCATAAAAAAAAAACACCTAACCCAAAAGTTATTTTGTAGAATGTTGCTTGTAACCGTTATAACCTGTAAATAAAAAATTGAACTAGAGTTATACAAGGGTGAATGAGGAAACTGGTACTGGTTACAAAAAACTATACTACATACGGTATACTCAGTATGATGGGGGACAAAATGGTCCATTTAATAAAAACTTACAAGTTTCTGGAGCAGCCTTCTAGAATGCCCAATTGTAAAGCCACAAGGCTGACCCAGTTTGAAAATTTTATTATAGTCCTATAATGAAAAAGTGTCTCTTCACTTCAGTTAAGAAAAGTTCCAATGAGCTTTATTAAAATAAATAAAAACAAAAATCATCTCAATGTACAAGCTCAACCTCAACTCAAATTTAATTTCCTACAGAGGCAGCAAAAATTAAGTTATTTTTTTCATAAAAAATTAATATAAACTGTAACCAATATTACCTGTACATCCGATATTCTAGTGTTCCCAGTCAATTGCTTTATTTCTTCATTTTTGCTATCTATTGTTAGTTCAAGTTCTTCCACTCGTATCCTTAGAGATTGAATTTCTTTTCTTAATTCGTTTCCTAATTCACCACCACCTACACATTCCCAATAACACAATTAGTATTTTACTAACAAAGTCGTCCTTAGGAACTTGCTACATATATTAATAAAAATAAATGGATTGGTTACTTTTAAACAAAAGAATAAAATTCCTGTCTGCTGTAAACATTTTAAAAAATATAGAAATTTAGATGATAAATAAAATAAGAGAAAAAGTTAATCAAAATATGAAAGTTTTGATAACAGTCACTAATTCATGGATGGTAACCTTTGCTGTTTTCTAAATCTGCCTGGTATTTTGCTTTCATGCGCATATTCTCCTCTTTTAGGCTAGCTAGTTGCCTCTTCCACTCATCAACGTTAGCAGTACTTTCTTGAAGGGCACTTGTGAGGCGCGCATTGTTGCTCTTCAAGGTAGCCAATTCAATCTCCCACTTTTTGGCATTGGCAGAACTGCAAGAAACAGTATACTGCAATATTTCTGTTAAACACTGAAATATCACTAATGTAACCATCAATGTAAACTACTTTTAATGTAGTTTGACATGAATATATGTACATGTACCTTTGCGCTAGAGCCAGCTTCAGTCTATCATTTTCGTATTTAAGCTGCATATCAACCGGATTTGCTGTAGCTGCAGGACTGGGTCCAAATCCAGTCTTTTCTAATTTAATTTGATGACTTGGACTTTCGGTGCTTTGTCCACCAGACACGGAGTGACTTCGTCCATGAGGTAAATCATCAACTTCCTGCTTGATGTTTGATGGAGGAATTGCTGCACTACCTACAAAAACCACAGCAAAAAAAGATCAAGTCAAATACCATAAAAATTCAGACATTTTTGTATATTTTTAAATTAATAAAAAATAACAATTAATGTGTCCAATGATGAGTTTATAACCAGAACTATACCACAACTTAGGCAACACAACAAGTTAGCATCAGCAGATATTAAAAAAAAAGTACATATCACATTATAAGGGATTTCGGTACTGTATCCATCTCTCCCCAGGGTTCTAGTTCTTCAATTCAATCAATCGATCAATGTTTTTGCAAATGTTTTTATATTTTAGATATTGAAACTAATTTTTCAATGTCAATTGTGTACGAAATCTGGTTCTATTGATATCTGTTAATAACACAAGACCTTAAAAAGAACTCACAAGTCATTCATAAAATTGCTACTGTTGTGATGCAAACATAAGCATTTAAGGAAGAGACAAGTGAAGTAAGGAGTGTTGCCTCAATATGAATATAAATACGAAGTAAAAGTTCAGATTTTCACGAAATTTCACGAATTTCGTCAAAATATGAACTTTTAGTTCATATTTATTTTGATAAATGGATGTTCATAAAGTAAAAGCCACCTCAGCTCAATCTATATGAATAGTTGCTTTGTAACCACACAAGGGGTCAGATTATAATGTAGCAATATTAAAATTTTCATGATTATATTATAAATTCTTAAATTAAACAAACTTAATATAATTTTAGAGACAATGCAAACCACATACAATGCTTTTGAACATCTACAATACCAACAAAGAAAGACATTTCTTACAAACCATATGGCTATTGCTAAAGGAACTATATTATTTTATGGGTAAAGTTCAACCAAATATTAGCAAGACGTATTGTTAATGTATATGAAGTGAAATTTTTAATTTACCTATGCTTTTCAATACATAAAAATATTATTCTGTGTCTTGTGTTACAATAAAAAACTGAGGCGATGTAAAGCACTGGCAAAATTATCTGTCTGTCAATATATTTTCATCACTTTAAAATGAAAACAATGCTGTCTCTCTTGATTATATATCTAGGGTTTCTAACAAAAACTCATACAATAATTCACATAACATGTCTGTTAACAATAAAGCATTCAAAACCTATCTAGAGCCCCAAATTCGATCATGGGTAGTTCAAAAAGAGAATGAACGAAAATTAGAAAATATGTTACATGTTTTCTAACTTACCTGGTGGTTCTAACATGTCTGAATTCTCTAATGTCGCTGTAGCCGCTCTAGCATTAATAGGACTGGCATTAGCACTTGTTACTGGAGTAACAACTGCTCCGCCATTGGCAGTAACTTTGCTAATAGCAGATCTTGTTGCATCTTTCACCTCATTAAACTTATCAATAAACTAAAATAAAGTTAAGGGTTAATAATTTGTTAATTGTAACTACAATTAAAACCTTTTGTACCTTCTGTAATTCACTTTCAGAAGAAAATCCCAGGCCATATACAGTGTTTGCTCTTACATCAGACCATTGTCCAAATTTTTGAGACGTTTTGGTAAAGGTCATATTGGGTGTAACAGTGCTATTAATTACAGCTTTCTGCCCTTCTACACTGATTATTCTATATAAACTACGGGAAGAGTCGTAAAAAAATGAAACACTGACAGCTGTAGTTGAAGCCGGCATCCAGGAACGTTTCGTTTTAGGATCAATATGAAATACATGAGCTTTACAAGTGAAAATTGGCTGCTCGCTAAAATAAAAAAGTAAACAAAACACCTACAACTGCAGGCCAATTGTCGGGTTAAACGTTTTCACAAAAATGCTTAAAACAGCATCTGGCAACAAATTATTATGAAAATATAAGAAATGCTCACCCCATCGTATCCTTTCCAGACGTCATCGAGACGGAAAAAGTTTTTAAATATCCAAAATTCAACCACCCCCAACAAACTGTAACTGTCACCCATACGTCAATTAAACGCACAGAATACTAACAAAGAATGAAAGCACTGTCATCAATCTACTAAGAAATAGGAACTTTGCTAAGCGACATTTTTGTAAGTTAAGGAAATTTATTTTTGGTACCAATTGTAGTATTATTTTTCGAATGTGTCTTTGGTGTGTTCAAAAGAGTGTCATTTAAAGCACAGTGGATTTAAAAAATATATAATATATAAATTATGTATTTTAATTGCAAGATTTTTTTAGCAGATGCTAATACATAATGCCTAATGCAGTTGCTTTATGTCTACAACTTTAGAAAGTCATTTTACCCAGTATATTATAATTAATTAGATCTCTCAAATCATACATTAAAATTTTTATCCCCAATTTCTAATACTGAATTTAACGTTTTTTGCTTTACTAGTTCTAACAGTTATACCTCCAGCTTTGAATAGAAAAGAATGATATTAATCAAGACAATAATTTAGTGAGCCAACATAAAGCGCCCCCTACAATACGACCGCAGAATGTGAATTAATGTGAAAACTAGAAATTAATCTAGGTACAAATACATAGAAAAGGAGAAGAGGGTAAAAGATATGAATATTCATAAAATTACTCCCATTAATCGGACAGTTGTCATCAATAAATAGCTTATTTTGGTTGGTGTTTGCTCCCTAATAGAATTTGTGCTTTCTTAACGCTAAAGGTTACTAAAATGTTTGGTGCAAGTGGACATTAGAACTACTGTTATTACAGCCACTGCCAAAATAGTCAATCTAACAAGTATTGGATTACAAGTGTTTAATTGTAACCGTTAGATCAAAATTCTATTTTTTTTAACAATTACCAATTATATGTTATTTAATGGTAATTTCAGGTAATTTCATTATTAATTAATGAATTTTAATTATTATATTCCGATAAAACTCTCCTTTATATTAAAGATTTCTATGTTATTCAGTGCAAAGTCGGTAGTAATTTCAACAGACATACCATTTTCCTATCTCTAGTGATCAATGGTCTTTTCATATCGGCTTGTGTCTTGCGGACCACGTTTTTAATTACAATAAAACAAATTTTCCAAACAAAGGTAAGTAGTTATAAAAGTTAGTTGTTTAATGCTGTTGTCCTTAACTTACTTTGGGTTTTAGGTAATATGGGTCGCGTGCGTACCAAAACTGTTAAGAAAGCTTCGAAGGTTATAATCGAAAAGTATTACACGCGTTTGACTTTGGATTTTCATACTAATAAGCGTATTTGTGAAGAAATCGCAATCATTCCGACCAAACCTCTCAGGAATAAGATTGCAGGGTTCGTTACACACCTTATGAAGCGTCTAAGACACTCTCAAGTCAGAGGTATATCCATCAAGCTGCAGGAGGAAGAACGTGAAAGGAGGGATAACTATGTTCCTGAAGTATCTGCTTTGGAACATGATATCATCGAGGTTGATCCAGAGACCAAGGAAATGTTAAAAATGCTCGAGTTTAATAATATCACTGGATTGCAACTTACCCAACCTACAACAAACACTTTCAATAGACGTGCTTAATTGGCTAAAATAAATGTTTCTCAACTTTTTGAATTGATTTTTATTTTATTTTACATGTTCACTAACCAAGCATTTGGTATTGGCGACCAGTGGTAATGTACACATTGATGAATCTGATGTGCCTATAAGTGGTAAGTAAAGGTAATTTAGTCCAAGTTGTATTTCGAACTTACTGGTAACATAAACAATTTGCATGTTCCTTTGATCAAATAGGTAATTGTGAAAATTATGGTTCTTCCAAAAAGTTTCACATATTTCTTAAATTCAAAATCTGTCTGTGGTGAAATAAACAGCTCTGGTATGATGCTGTTTTTTAGTATTATCCATATTGATGAAACTAGGCATATTCCACAAACTGTACCAGCAACAAATAATATGAAATTCTGAATCTGAAATACTTACAGAGAACTTATATTGATTGAAATTATTAGGAATCAAAACACATTGCTTATGAAACAAAATTGTACCAACAGGATAAGAATCTGTATAGGAACTTGAATATGGGAACGATCTGTTGAAGATAAAACAAGACAGTAGCTTAATATTCCATTCAGGTTTAATTTTATTACAAATTTTATTTCTTTTTTTATTATAAAAATTTGAAGAAACGGTAAAATTACCTTCCCTATAAGAAATTAACCTTACTCAAATTAATGTATAAAACGTATTTTTAAAAGTATTTCTTAAAATCACCTGCTACCATTGTTTTAATATTATGCACAGTTTAGATATTTTGTTTTGTTGATTACATCTAAAACTATGGTTGTGGTTTTTTTACAGATTTTGGGAAGGTTAATTTGTAAAATTAAATTTCATTTCAAGTAACCAGCACAAAACGACGTGTTCTAAAGTGCTGGATACCGAAATTTGTGGAATGTTGTTAAAACTGCAAAACTAAAAAGATATTTGGACAGTAAATTCATGGGGTCTTAGTATTTTTTCATATCTAAATTTTAACCAGATGGCATTTTTATTTGATTGATATTTGATTTGGATGTTACAACTTTTTCGGATATTGGCAAACCATATTGCGACATATTACTATAGCTACCCAACCTTATACTTACATAAACATTCTATTATTAAGGCTAATATAACATATAACCCTATGTTACCGACTTTAAACTAATAGTTGAAGTAACAATGGAATATCTATAAAGTTTTAAATCAACTAATTATATAATTCAAGAACGAAACGAACTGCATGGTAATTATTTTAAAATTCTACCGTTCTGTTTGCTATCGGAATCCTCCGAGTCATCGCTATCATATATATATTGTATGATTTCTGGATAATCTTTTTGTCTTTGCATTTCGGTTTTCTTGTTATAAAGTTTTCTGGCAATTTCGGAGTCATTATTATCGACGATTTTGTTTCTATACGTAGGTCGGATACTCTTGGTTACTTCCGAGCATATCGGCGACGTATTGGTTTTCCAAGGCAGCTTTAAGAGCGAATATTTTTCTACCAAACTTTGGTCACCACTATAAGGTCTGAAACTGTTTAAAAAGTTTTAAAAAATCGTGTTTAGCGGGTGTATACTAGAGGATATTTTTTAACACCAGCAGTGTAATAAAGAACAAATATTTTTTAATATATACATTGGGTGATTTCAAACGCAAATACAGATAATATATACATTTTTGTGATAATTTTACAATAAAAAGACCTCTTCAATAAATAGATAAAATTGAACAGAAAAAGTATTAAATTCTAGTATTAAAAAAATTAAGAAAATTAATTAAAAGAAAAAACAAAAATGAACTTGCTAGAACTAATGAATATCGCTAGCTAGCGTCACAGAAAAAAAATCAAAAACAGATATTTATAATTTTCTCGCAATATCCCAGAAATGTCCGAAGGGGCTCGGATTCGTGGGACAACAAACTCAGGTGGTAAAGTGACACTTTCTGCACTATAGATCGGTGTATAAGTGTGTATTTTGTTTTATTTTTATGAAACGATTTGTATCTAGATGTGTTGTGGAATGGGGACGGTGACATTAATATGATAAAAAAAAAAGAAATCATAAAGTCATCGGTAAAATCCCCAAAACCCGGCAATCAATAAACAAAGGCACCCAAAAAATGTTAATTGAATCGCGCGTCTCTTCTGCCTTTCGGCGACAGAACGTTTTAACTATTTAAATTTATAATGGTGTCTGTATTCAGAAATATGACCTCATTGCGTCTATTGCATGCGTATCTCAGTCCATGCCAACATTACCTTACACGACTGCGGCGGAACCCCAAATCATACTTGCTTTTTAAGTTACTTTCATTTTGATACGCTTTTGGGGGAACTGTACTCTCCTTGGTTGAGCATAGATATTTCCTTAACACGTGGTTCACAGCGCTACAAAGAATCGGTCAATATCTGTTCGATATTTTCTGATTTAGCTTTCTATACATGGACTTACTAACTGTGAAACTTACCGATTACGGGTTTTTCTGAGTGCTTTTTTAACTGAATCATCTCTGAGGTCAATATAGTCTTCGTCAACTAAAATTTCATACGAAGATCGGATTCGTTTTCAAATAGTAGACAATAATGTTTACCAATAATTTTCGGTGCGGTGTCGATTTCCATTTAGCAAACACTTACAGAAATGTAAACTAATTAAACGTCCAGATTTTTAATCCATAGAGTTTTTTGACACGTCAAAGTCAAAAAGTATGAACATTTTTGTAACTAGTACTAATAAAGAAAGAGCCTGATATAGTTTATCGTCTATTATTTAAGAGTGTTAAGGAGTAGAAAAATATTCTTCTCGATGTTAGTATTTTTTATCCTTACGGAGTAGTTCTGGTTAAATAATTTTTTGTAATCGCTAGATTTTTTACAAGCCGCACAATATATCACCTAAGCATATAATAATATTTACTACAATAATAATGAAAGTACTGGATTGAAGCTTACACTCTGTGTTTAAAAACTCTTTATCGCTGTAAAACGTTTAATTTTTCTCTGCAAACTATCGACTATCTCTATTTTACGAGGAGAGAAAAATATTCGCATTACATAGTCATTTGCGGACGTCCATGTTAACATTCCGGCACTATCGTTTCATGTCGTTTGTAAATAACAATTTTTATGGGTTTATTTTATTTAGTTGTTTGGGTTAAAGGAAATGCAATTAAGATGTAGTAGTGAAGTGAAAAGTTGATAATAATATAAGCAATCAAGCAAATGTTATATACGATTCGAATGTGAGTGGCAGTTGCGCTTATTAGAAAACTTGAAAAATCATCAAAACAAAAAATTCTCTGGGATTTAGCCAATTCTGCTACCATGATGTCATAATTTGGTAACGGCAGAAATACCTTTGCGGAGGTGACTAATTTTGGGAAAGTGATAAACCCTTCCCTAAGAGGTACAGACTTGCTGTTCCTTCTTAAGCTCGTGATCTACTAAATCCGCAAATATATCTTGGAAAATTTTAATAAGATCAGGAAATAAGCTATTGAGCCTATTTCTCCGATCCATTTTTCACCAAATTTGCCCTGACTGTCCATTCCCTCAGATAATAAGGATTTAGAAACTTTGTCAATACGCACCAATTCTCCGGGCATATTATAATGTTCTCACCGTGCCAGTCACAATAAAGACCTTTGGAAAATGTTGCATGACATCCTTGTTCTATCCCACTTAAATTACAGTGATTTTATTGACAAATACAACCTCTATCAATTAATAACACTTCCCACCCAAGCTTTAATCGATATATTCGTAACTTCTTCTAAAGACCTTACTATTAACGTTCGTGTAATTGATAGGAGTGACATCTCTGAGCATTCGGTGGTTGGCTGTGATTTGGAGCTGGTTAGAAGCAAGCCTCAAACCTCATATCGACCTTATCGCGACTATACTAATTTTAATTGTGAGCAGTTTCTCTGATTTGTTTGTTGTTCCTTGGAATATTGTTTCCAGTATAACTGATGTTGATGATATGCTTTCTTTCTTTAACGAAAATCTAGATAATGTACTACCCTGCTACCCTGAAAACATCAAAGATAACCACAGCTCCAGCACTTTGGTTTAATAATAATTTGAGACTTATGAAACGACTAATAATTAAGGCCTTGTTTAAGTACGAAAGATTAAATACTGAGGCAGCAAAAAATGAATTTAAATGGCTCTTATAAATGAAAGAAAAGCTTATCAAAATTATAAATTTAGTTCAGATCCCAAAGGTTTCTGGAAGACACTGAACTATTTGAACATTAATGCGAAAGCTTTACTGCAATTCAGCCTATGTTTCTGATCCGTCCACATTTCTACTGCATTGTTTCGGTGGAGTAGCGCTGCTAGACCTTGCCACCTGTGCAATTATATTGCAGTGTGTTCTTTCTTTTGTATTTTAATAAAGGTTATTTATTATTATTAATATTATTATTATTATTATTATGTAATATTATATTAAAAGGGGTATATTACGAATGAATGAAGTGTTTATTGTTTAGTGTTTATTTATAACAAAATAATTTGCTATAAATTATTTACATAATTTATTACACTTTCTAATCATGCTAGTGCAATATATAAACAATTCTTTGGCTATCAAATACCGAAACTGTGTAACAAAGTGCCTTTAGCAATAGAAACATTATCCAGTTGTAATTTTAAATTATCTATTAGCAGAACTATTCCCAGCTTTATTTAGTTTAATTCTTAAACTGCCTCATCACCATTAGTACAGTTTTAATTTTAAGTTTTTTAAGGACGATTGTATGCATATTATGCATATTATTTGCATTGTAGAAATGTCAAATGTTATGTAGTGTTAATAAGTAATTAGTTATTCATTTATAAACAACCTTATAAATATAGGGAATGAAAATAGCTGACGTTCTGACCTGGATAAGTATATAATAGTAATCCTAGTAATTTTGTAATACTGTTATTTCGGTTTTCCTAATTATGATCGTCAAAGCCGTATTGCTGCTATAACATCTGTTTTCCTTGCTTATAAGTAATTTTTAAATTTTGGGTTGTGCATTGAGTGTATCATACTGATACTCTTTGCAATTTACCTAACAAAAATTAATTTAATAAATAAATAAAATATATATTTTTTTTAACTAAAATCCCAAAATTAATAATGTTATTTCCATATTGAGGGCACTGTAGCGTTGTGTTTTTTTTTTTGTTTCAATTGACCGGTCAATGGACCGAAATAATTTTAAAAATACATGAAAATTTGATTTATTTATTTATATTGTGTGTTATGTCGTCGTCGGGTCATTCTGAGAGCTAAATGGAGTCGATATTTTATTAGGATTCTCTGAATCGCTAAGAATTGTATTCGGTGTTTCTTGAAGAGGGTTTAAGTAAATTGGACATCGCAAACGCATAATAATTTATTATAAAATAAATATAATTATTAAATAATGATAGATAACACTCTACGGTTGCAAGATGTTATTTAAAGCATTTTGATTGTATTTGACTAGTCAATTAAGAAGTGGTCAATTTACGGTCAAGTAATTCGAAAATTGATCAGTTCCAACCCTAGAGCACTGTATGACATATTGCATATTTTATCTAGGAATACAAAATTGATTGTATTTTTTTGCAATTTTTAAGATGTGTTTTTTTCATTTATCATAACTCTTAGGCACTGTGAATATTCGTTTACGAAGCGTTGGATATTTTTGACGACTTGATTCGTTTTTTCAACTATTTGCTTCTCATTAATAAAGACATTTCGTAGAATGAAGTCTCATTATGATATCCTGCATAATTTTCAATGCCGCAGTCAGTTGCACTGAAATAGTGTGGAATTGCGTTTTCAGATAAAGTTATCAAGGGAAAATGCAAAATGATAAATGGTCAGGATGCCCGTTCCGCCAAACTAATATTGCTAATGTCGAATCACGTAATAGAAAACTGAAATCGTGATGGATCAATCTCGTCACAATACGGTCCCGAAAACATAAATTTATAGCCGGCAATGTTTGTACCAACGTTGTTTCCAAGCGACAATAGTTTGGGACGTGCGATAACTATTCAGTGTTTCTGGAAATTAAATTGTAGGGTGAGCGGTAAACTTGTCGCGCTGTTAAGAATGATGGTCAACGGCAAGGAACACGTCTTTTCAGCTAAAAGTAATCCACAGAACGGAACCGTTTGAAAATATGCAAAAACAAATTATTGTAGGTAGAATAGCGATGAAAGAGGCGATTCGCTGTACAGAACCGGCGCCATTAGAAAAGTTCAACTGGTTAATTCATTTACTGCACGTTAGGGGAGACACGGATACGTGCAAAAAGTTAATTAATTCGGAAATTTTGAGATCCGATGGAAAAAACGAATACGTCTGCTACAAACAGGAAAGTATTTTGAAACGGCACGTTTAGATCAAATTTTTTATTTCTTGCTTCCAACAAAAATAATCATAGATTTTATCACAGTCCTCGTATAGTAACACTAATTTTTTTTACAAAACTTGTACGGTTTTATGCAAAATTGTATCCAGACAACAAAAAGCATATTTTATTAGTATTTAGTAGGAACTTATTTATTCGAAGACTTCTTTATATATATATATATATATATATATATATATATATATATATATATATATATATATATATATATATATATATATATATATATATATATATATATATATATATATATATATATATATATATATATATATATATATATATATATATATATATATATATATATATATATATATATATATATATATATATATATATATATATATATATATATATATATATATATATATATATATATATATATATATATAGTTAATAATTTGCGACCATAATAATTTACATCAGGTGATTTACACCATCACTGCTAAAGTTTAATCTTAGCATGTATTTCTCGATGCATAGGAATGACAATTTTGATTTTTTTTGATAAATGTTAGAGGGAAGATAATATCCCAAAGCTCACAAAGCCAAACTTTTGCCATTATTTTCTTTTTCGACTGCAAAAACTATAACGGAATATCATGAGTATCCGCAGCTAAGCAGAACATATGCCATACTGACTCCAAAGTCGCCTTCTATGTTGTTTTTGTAAGCTATTCGGTATAAAATCTCGGAGTTTCAAAAAATATATACTTATTACCATTTTAAGTGGTTTTCTGGGCCGTGATGCCTAGAACTTGTCATGTAAGAATTTTTACCCTTAGAAGGGACAAGGTAGTTGTTTTAATTTTGACCTGCAAGCATTTGTTTGTTTAGCTTTCCGTAACGTATATTTTATTCTGTTGTACTCGCCGACTGTAATTATTGATTTTATCCTAGTTTTGCAATTTCCATATTCTCTCTCTCTCTCTTTTTCTAGATCTATATCAACTCTAATTATATTCATCCTAACGAATACTATGTTTCATTGATCGAAGTAAGAAATTCCCAAGATTTTAACACTTTAAAATAGGATGCTAGACTTGCTTTTCAACCAAATACTGATAAAATATAATTATTAGCAAACTAATCACTAATGTGTAAGTTTCTAGTTTTGTTTAGTTTTATCATTTCCAGTCGGTACCAGGGTCGTGTCAACAGCAAAAGGCTGCGGTTCTTTAGTCACGGGTTTGAGAGCAGTAGGATGTTTTCGGTACATTTTATCTGGGATCAATTATAACGGTTACGTCACACGTCACTCAGTGCTGTTCCTCGTTTATTGAGCACTCGCTCCGCTGTGCTCCGTTTGTGACTCAATTAGCGTGTATAAAACTTAATAATAACATGTTTAAGGTATATTATGCAACAACTGCTGTAAACCAGAGTTGAGTCACGAGTTTATTTGGCACCAGCGGAGTGTAGCGTAGCCAGTGTTTAATAAACGAGTGACTCAAAAAGTTTACTAAACGTGTTCCATACTATGCTTTTGCTACGACCGTTAGTTTTTGGGTACATTTTTGCAAAACAATACGTGGTCAATCCTCAAAACTGCCCAGCAACGGCAACATCGCGAGCACCGTAAAAAAAGGTTGCCTGCAAAAAAGGGATCGGCGCTGCCGACCCTTAAGAGAGACCACGGGACGCTGGGTCTCGACATTACAACCCGTGCTAGCAAACGTTAAGCTTCGTTATTCATTTTCATATGTTTTTTCCTTTGTTTGTTAGTTGTAAAAGTTTGTTAAGTTGTAAAAGTTAAAAAATAAAGTTATCGAAAAATACAGTCCACTCAATCGAACAAGAATCAGCGCAGCAAATAACGTGGACCTACGTTAAAACCCACCATTTTGGTCCTTCGAGCCGGATTGAAATATCGTTTAGAAGTCTTCTAGTCCCAGCGAGTGGAGAAGACAACCATTAGAGGTTCCTGCGAAATTACGTCGAATAGAATTGAAGCGAGTACAGCGGTTGGCAACCAGCAGACGGCAGGTGTCGACAAAGAGCAAGTAGGTCCATTCCATTTTCCAAAAATTCCATTTCACTCTCGAATATTTTCAATTTATTAGTTAGTTTTTTCCTAGTTTGTCATTCGGATTTGTACGTGCGCAGCATTAAATTTCGAGAAAAATGACGGAAGCTAACGAATCATTAAACGCGAAATCTCTCATAAATAAAAGGGGTATTCTCAAAGCTAGGCTAACAAAATTCGAGTCGCGAATTTCCCAATTTGAGCAACAAGAAATATCTTTATCCGAATTAAAATTACGCCTAAAAAAGATAGAAGAAACATGGGAAGAGTTCGATAAAATTCAATCAGAATTAGAAATACTAAATGCTTCGCAAGTCAGCGAACGCGATGTATTTGAAGATAACTATTTCAGGGTAGTTTCTAAAGCTTCTACAATGACAGAGTCACTAGAAAAGCTTGCGATGGCAAGCAGACAAACCGAAAGTCCAATTCAACAAGTAAGCAATTCTAATAATGTACTTCCAAATTTACCAACAATGAATGTTCCATTTTTTTCGGGTTCTTACGAGGGTTGGATACCATTTTTCAAAATATATGAGTCAGTCATACATAACAGAATCGACCTGTCAAATGTTCAAAAATTTTACTATTTGCAGTCATATTTGAAAGGTGAGGCAGCGCAACTCTTACACTCATTAGAGCTAAGCGAAACTAATTATGACGTCGCGATTGAACTTTTAAAAGAGCGTTTTGAAAACAAAAAAATGTTAATTCACAATCATATCAAAAATCTTTTTGATTTAGCTCCGGTGCCTAGGGAGTCGCACGTAGCAACACGTAAGCTAATCGATACGATTCAGCGAAATACTCGCGCGCTACAAAATTTAAATGAACCTGTAAATCATTGGGACACTCCAATAATATTCGTAACAATAAGCAAATTAGATAATCAAACTCGCAAAGAATGGGAAGCTTCCACTACCAAGATAACAAGCCCGAAACTAGAAGATTTATTGAATTTTCTTAAAAATAAATGTCAATTATTAGAAACAATAGACAATAAATCTGCTAGCAAGGACAAAACGCATTCTCACGTTGTAACTAATAACGAAAAGCATTCAAACCAATCCAAATTTAAATTCAGATGCTCTTTTTGTAAACAGGACACGCATGTCACATATAGGTGTCGCAAATTGCTTGCCATGTCAATTAAAAAGAGATTAAGCGAATTAAAAAGGGCTCAAATATGCACAAACTGCTTGCAAATCGGCCACAAAGCGGATGATTGCAAGGAAAAAACATGTCAAATTTGCAATAAACGCCATAACACCATGTTGCATGATCCTGACTTTAAACTCGAAATCAAAATAAATGAAAATGTCAAAAACAACGAACCACAAATCGATAATATAAGCGAAGACAAAACGGTCGCCTTAACATCCAATTTTTATTTGCCAAATAAAAATCAGGTATTATTAGCCACCGCGGTTATTAAAGTTCTTGACAGCGACAATAAATTTATTTCCTGTCGGGCGCTATTAGATTCAGGGAGTCAATCTAACTTTTGCACTAAAGAATTTTTTGAGCGACTTAAGTTACCAGGGAAACGTTTGGACTTGTCAATTTCAGGTATAAACGGATCACCCTCCAACATCTGTTTTCAAGTGGATACGCAGTTAATTTCTACTGACAATAAATACCAGGCATCGTTGCCACTTCTAGTTGTCGACCAGATAACATCTGAATTGCCACAATATTCTTTCGATGTTACTAGACAAAGTATTCCAAGCCATTTACATTTAGCTGATGATTGCTTTAACATTTCTCAAGGCATTGATGTTTTACTCGGCGCAACTATATTTTTTGACATTTTAAATTATGGTCAAATGAAACTGGGAAAGAAAAATCCCATATTGCAAAATACAAAACTTGGATGGGTATTAGCTGGTCCAATGCAATGTAACCATTTTGACAATAAATCGGATAGTAAATGTTTTCTTAATGTTGACAAGTTAAGTCGACAAATTGAAAAGTTTTGGCAACTCGAAAACGTCGATAATCCACATTCAAAATTGTCTAACGAGGAACTCGATTGTGAAATCCATTTCCGTGAAAATACGCGAGTCAATTCGAATGGACAATACGAGGTAAAATTACCACTGAAAGATTCTTATGTCGAATTAGGTCAATCACTGCCGACGGCGATTAAACGTTTACATTTTCTTGAAAAGCGGCTAGCCAGGGCACCCGACACAAAGGCTCAGTATATTTCCTTTTTACGGGAGTATGAAAAAATGGGTCGCATGACTCGCTTAACTGAAAGGGAAATAAATGAACCCGCCTTATCGTATTATATTCCACATCATGTAGTTTTTAAGGATCAAAGTTGCACCACCCGCGCTCGCGTAGTTTTCGATGCCTCGTGCGTTACCTCAACAGGCTTAAGTTTAAACGAAGTAATGAAATTAGGGCCGAAGGTGCAGAGTGATTTATTTGATATTATTGTCCGAATGCGTACTCACAAGATAGTTCTTACGGCGGACACCGAGAAAATGTATCGGATTGCAAAGAATTATTTGGCGCGAGGATCCCTCGCACGAAATAGCTCATTTTAATTTAAATACGGTTACATATGGACTAAAAAGTTCAAGTTTTTTAGCAACGCGTACACTTAATGAAATCGGGAGAAATTCAACAGATCCAAAAATCCGAAAAATCATAATGGAAGATTTTTATATTGACGATCTTATTTCGGGCGCAGAAAATGTTTCTGACGCGATAAAACTTAAGCAAAATGTTTCGGCTACCTTGTTAAAATCAGGTTTTAATTTACGTAAGTGGAGATCGAATGATCTAAGTGTTCTAGAAAATGATAATTTTAACACAAATTCAGAATTTTGCATAAGGAGCAGCGAGGAGACCAAAACTCTAGGGGTTATTTGGGATCCGATTAGTGATACGCTTTGTTATGCTTTTAATTTATCTATTAAAGCCGATCTAATTACAAAGCGAAGTATACTTTCCGGTGTTGCACAATTATTCGATCCTTTAGGCCTCATTAACCCGTGTGTGGTGAAGGCAAAATTAATTCTACAACAACTTTGGCAAATCCAAGCAGATTGGGATTCCGAAGTACCGCAAGGCATAAAAGAAAATTGGTCAAATTTTTTGGAAAACTTGCACTCATTGAATGACATAAAGATTGATCGCAAAATTTTTAGCCCGGACTACACTAAAATTGCTTTACACGGTTTCTGCGATTTATCCATGCACGCGTACGGCGCATGCATCTATGCATTGTCCGAAAATACCTATGGGGAAAGAAAATCAAATTTAATTTGTGCAAAATCGAAACTTGCACCTTTAAAAACACAAACACTACCTAGACTAGAATTATCAAGCGCATTACTTTTATCCCAGTTAATGTCGAAAGTAGTACGAATTTTACGAGTCCCAATTTCCTCAGTTACCTGTTGGACAGATTCTATGATAACACTTTCATGGATTAATTCGGAACCGAACAAGTGGAAAACATTTGTTTCGAATCGGGTTTCGGAAATACAAATATTAAGTGAAAATTCATCGTGGAAACACATTGAATCGGAAAATAACCCAGCTGATATTATTTCACGTGGTTTAAACCCATCGGAGTTAAAGAATTGCCAAAAATGGTTTCAAGGTCCTACCTTTCTTATCGAGGAAGAAAGCTCCTGGCCTAAAACGCATATTGTTAATATGCCCGACTTACCTGAGGCGCGAAAAGAAAACATCATTTTATCTTTTACTTTATTAAATAATCTTGGCTTAATAGAACGTTTTTCAACTTATCGAAAATTGATTCGTATCACCGCATATGTATTGCGATTTGGCTACAATTTAAGGCACAAAAAGGCAAGGCGATTTGATACACTGTTTCAATGTGAGCTTGACAATGCAATTACCAAATTATGTATCAATATTCAACATCAAGTTTTTCAGACGGAAATTAAATGTTTAAATTCAAATCAAAACATTCCAAAAGGCAGCAAGTTGCTTGCTTTAAGTCCATTTATCGACGAAATTGGTTTACTGCGCGTAGGAGGACGTTTGAAAAATTCTCATCTTGCTTTTAATCATAAGCATCCAATTGTTTTGCCCAGCAAACATCATTTCACTAGGCTTTTAATTGAACATTATCACAGAAAATATTTACACGCTGGTACCCAATTTATTCTCGCGCAAATAAGAGAGGATTTCTGGCCGCTGAACGCAAAAAACCAGATCCGCAGCGTTTTGAGAAAATGCATGGTATGCTTTCGTGTAAAACCTTTTAACATAAGTCAACAAATGGGTTCATTGCCTCAACCTCGCGTTACTCCCTCTAGACCATTTACATTCACCGGAATTGATCTAGCTGGACCTTATTTTACTAAGGCATCCAAAACTCGAACAAAAATTTTGATCAAAACTTACTTGACGGTGTTTGTTTGTTTGTCATCAAAAGCGGTTCACATAGAGATAATTACAGATCTTACTTCTGAAGCCTTTATGGACGCGTTTAAGCGTGTCGTATCCCGTCGAGGACTTCCAAAGCATCTTTACAGCGATAACGCTAAAAACTTTGTGGGTACGAATAACATTTTTCACAAATTCTACGAAAGCGTTGCTCAAACTGCTAACAATGAAACTCAAAGTAATTATTTCTTGGAAAATCGCATTACTTGGCATTTTATACCCGCGAGATCTCCGCATCACGGTGGAATTTGGGAATCCGCTATAAAGTCATTTAAGAATCATTTACAAAAGGTAATTGGTGAAACAAAGTTAAATTACGAACAACTATATACAGTCGTTGTACAAATTGAAGCTATCTTAAATTCGAGACCTCTCCTTCCCTTATCAAGTGATCCCACGGACCTACAATCTCTGACGCCAGGGCACCTATTAATAGGTGGAAATTTATTAGCCACACCTCAACATGACGTAACCGAAATTCCCAGCAATCGTTTGAAAAATTTCCATCAGTTGCAGCAATTGGTTCAAAAGTTTTGGAAGCTTTGGAGTCATTCCTACCTCCATACTTTGCAGCAGCGTGGAAAATGGCACGTAAAATGCGAAAACATCAAAGTGGATGCGTTAGTTCTACTCAAGGACGAAAATTTGCCGCCGTTACAATGGTCAATGGGTCGCGTTGTAGCAGTCCACCCTGGAACCGACAACTTGGTGCGAGTGGTTTCCATACGCACAAGGAACGGGATAGTCAAGCGGTCAATCAACAAGATATGCCCGTTACCCGTGGACGAGATCAATACTTCTGCGCTTTGAAGTCCGCTGGACATTTCAAGGCCGGCGGGATGGTCAATCCTCAAAACTGCCCAGCAACGGCAACATCGCGAGCACCGTAAAAAAAGGTTGCCTGCAAAAAAGGGATCGGCGCTGCCGACCCTTAAGAGAGACCACGGGACGCTGGGTCTCGACATTACAACCCGTGCTAGCAAACGTTAAGCTTCGTTATTCATTTTCATATGTTTTTTCCTTTGTTTGTTAGTTGTAAAAGTTTGTTAAGTTGTAAAAGTTAAAAAATAAAGTTATCGAAAAATACAGTCCACTCAATCGAACAAGAATCAGCGCAGCAAATAACGTGGACCTACGTTAAAACCCACCAATACGAATACATTCACTGACACGACCGTCAGAATTAACAAACGTCAGCGTTCAAACCGTGCAGTGAAATCTCCAAAAACATCCGATTGCTCCCAAACGCGTTCGGTAATATTCCGGACAATAAACTCACGTGGTAAAGCGACGCGGTGCATAATTAGGTATTTTACAGAAGGGAGTATAATCGAATAAGTTTTGTGTTGCGCTTATGATATATTTCTGAATCTGTGTAACACTTTCAGGCCAAACTATTGAAAGAATCAGGAAATATTCAATACGCCCTAGAAAGTTTCCAAAAATGCGTTAAAATGAATCCCAATAACGCCGACAATTTGAAAGAGGTCGCAAAATGTTTGTAAGTGTATCTATTTCTATGTATGTAAGTATTTAGGTACAAAAAATGTTGTGCCGTCTTATTATTCTGCATACTTAACGCTCATTTGCATATCAATGTCGAAAATATGCGATAGCTGATTGGTTTTAGGTACAAATTGAGGAGATTCAAGCTCGCCCTTAAAGCTTATCTTGAGGCGGAATTGCATTCTAAGTATGGGGACTGGCACCTCTATTATTACATTGGTAAGTTCCAAAAATGACTTGACAATTTAAATCTAAACTATACAATTAGCAACTTTTAAATTATGAACAATCTTTATGTAGTTTAGTAGGTTTAATTTGAGTATTATAAAGATGCATTGGATACCATACTGTTTGGTAGTCTTTCCTTTGCCATTGCTCCGTAACGAACACTATTAACAGTGACTGCATCGGACCGATGTACTAACAAAAACTAACCAAACCATAATGCTTTGAGGACAATCTTTTTGTGCAGCTTTTAACTGTTATCTTAGCTTACTTTGTTTTACGCCGCTATATCGCGTTTAAAATTTCAGCCCAGTGCTATTGGAAATTACGTGACCTAAATCAGGCAAAAGATTACGCTCACAAATCCGTAAAAGTTGCAAAACAAGAAGAATCATATGCTATCTTGGTGAAGATTCTTTTGGATGAAGGAGATATCAAGTCTGCGGTATCTGTTGCCAATGCCGCGGTTGAGTAAGTTATTTTTCTTTTTCTCTTGTTTTCATGACTTTGTTACTATTGGTAGATAAAATATTATATCTTTTAGTACAGTTTTCGTCAGCACAGTATTTCTTTGTTTGTTATTTCTGCGTGCAATTATAGAAAGCTATGTTTACGTTATTTGTTTTAACGGACGTGAGTCGATATGAAAAGGAAGCCGGTTGCGGTGGTTCCTGGAGTTCGGGACTAGTTTTTGAAGCGTATCGACGAAAGGTTAAAAGTAGGTCACGACGCTTGGCACGGGCATTAGGCATTAAGGTTTGGCCACACATATTCAGGACGCGTACGAGACGTTTGCGTGTTGATAGTGAGAACGAGACTCGTACGGGACTCGTTTCAGAGCAATAAAGGTCTGGCCTCACATGAACGAGACGAGCACGTGACGACTGTCGCACGAAACTCGCATGATGTTCATTTTTTAGTAATTCCACAGGTCTAAGCGCGTTTGGCCACACATAAACGTTGCGAGTGCGAGAGAGGACCCGTCCGTAGCTCGCCAACGATGACGAGACGACGAGTTCAGTTTATTTTTTCGTGCCGATTTTGTGAGCGGTTCTGCGTGTATAGTAGATATCTAGCAGATTTTCACAAAAAAATGAATGTAGAGAAGTTGTTAGAAGAAGTGAGGAAGTACCCTACACTGGACGATCTAAAAGACGAAAAATATAAAAACACGGATCTCCGGGAGAGAATTTGGCGCAAAATAGCAGAAGATATGTAAATAGCAGGCAAGGTGAAATAAATTATAGAGTACATTATCGGTTAAAATAATGCGTAAACACTTTTTTTATTAATCGTGTAATCCCACAAACAACAAAATTTAAAAACCAATGCAAAAAAGTTATATGAAACATGAAAAAACAACAACAAGAAAATGTATAAGATACAAAGAAAAAAATACCAGGTACTAAGCTTTTTTTTTGTTTGTTTTTCTTTTGTTACTCTTAAGTTTAGCTGTTGCCGAATTCAATAATTGTGTTACTGCCTGGTATTTTGCTTCGAACTTTCCTATTTTCGAAGAAGAAGAATCCCAAGAAATTGAAAATATTGTGGAAGATGAGAGAACTATCCCAAACACTTCAAATCAAGAAGTAAACGTGTCCCATAGTAACGTCAATTGCTCTAAAGGACCATTCGTTCATCCAACGCAACCAAAAACGAAAAAGATGGAAAAGAAACGTACTGTTGCGGAGAGTCCATCATCACAGCTGATGCAATACATTTTACAAGAAAAAATCTGAGAATGCTAATCAACGTCTACCTCCCCATTATGTTGATGATTTCGTACAGGCTATATCGCATACTCTCAAAAGGTTAATGAAGGTAAAAAAAATATTTAGTATTGTTCAAGATCTAGAAATTACGCAGTTAATGGCAAGCCAAACAGAAATTGTACTATCTGGATCAGCTTCATCTTCACGATAACTTGGACTCACCTCGAGAGTATTCTTTCAAACCTCTCCATTCTCCTCAATTCCATTCAACGCCGTCTTCGCAATCACCCCAGCCCTGTGATCGAGATAACTTAGCGGCGCCTTCAGAATTATATTCTCACACCTCTTCAGCCTCAATGCCTTTCACTACCATATTCGCAGCAATAATTATAGTAACCAGTATAAGTCACAACCCAACTGAGCACAGGATAACACGTGTGTTAGTTTGACTGTTTTTTTAGAACAAACCTTTCCAGTTCTATCTCAACATAAGTAGTTAAGTAAGCTGAATTTGTATTTTTGTATTTTTGTATTTTTTTAGGTTAAGTAAATAAATTTTAATTTGTATCTTTTGTGGAAAATAATTGCTTTTTTTAAGTATTATATAGATTGTTGAATAAGTAAAATTTCTATTATCTTTGAATTGAAGATATCCAAAACGTGTCTTCTTTTTTACTTATATGGCTTTGTAGTGTTTCAAAAAGTTCATGAAATGTGGCTTGGTTCATTCGGAAATATTCAAAAAATTTTCTCTCATCGTCCATGAAATGTGGGTACAATGTGATAAATTCGCCTTCTCTGCATCTACTTTTCCAGGTGCTGTGTACTCATATTTTTCTTTTTCTTCTGCTCGTGTTTTCGTATTCTTCCTCTTCCAATGCTAAACCCAAATCCCAATTTGGAGAGAACTTTTTTTGAAACAAAGATAATAGAAATTTTACTTATTCAACAATCTATATAATATGTAAAAAATGCATTTATTTTCCACAAAAGATACAAATTAAAATTTATTTACTTAACCTAAAAAAGTACAAAAATAAAAATTCAGCTAGCTTAACTACTTATGTTGAGATAGAACTGGAAATGTTTGTTCTAAAAAAACAGTCAAACCAACACACGCGATAAACTGTGCTCAGTTGGGTTGTGACTTATACTGGTTACTATAATTATTGCTGCGAATATGGTAGTGAAGGGCATTGAGGCTGAAGAGGTGTGAGAATATAATTCTGAAGGCGCCGCTAAGTTATCTCGATCACATTGCTGGGGTGATTGCGAAGACGGCGTTGAATGGAATTGAGGAGAATGGAGAGGTTTGAAAGAATACTCTCGAGGTGAGTCCAAGTTATCGTGAAGATGAAGCTGATCCAGATAGTACAATTTCTGTTTGGCTTGCCATTAACTGCGTAATTTCTAGATCTTGAACAATACTAAATATTTTTTTTTACCTTCATTAACCTTTTGAGAGTATGCGATATAGCCTGTACGAAATCATCAACATAATGGGGAGGTAGACGTTGGTTAGCATTCTCAGATTTTTTTTCTTGTAACATTTATTGCATCAGCTGTGATGATGGACTCTCTGCAACAGTACGTTTCTTTTCCATCTTTTTCCTTTTTGGTTGCGTTGGATGAACGAATAGTTCTTTAGAGCAATTGACTTTACTATGGGACACGTTTACTTCTTGATTTGAAGTATTTGGGATAGTTCTCTCATCTTCCACAATATTTTCAATTTCTTGGGATTCTTCTTTTTTAAAAATAGGAAAGTTCGAGGAAAAGATATCAGGCATTAAGAAATAAAAAATTATGCTGGAAGTAACACAATTATTGAATTCGGCAACAGGTAAACTTAAAGGTAACAAAAAAAAACAAACAAAAAAAAAGAATGTTTAGTACCTGTTATTTTTTTCTTTGTATCTTTCTTGTACATTTTCCTGTTGTTTTTCTGGCATGTTTCATATACCTTTTTTGCAGTGGTTTTTTAATTTTGTTGTTTGTGGAATTACACGATTACTGAAAAAAGTGTTTACTCATTATTTTAACCGATAATGTACTCTATAATTTATTTCCCCTTGCCTGCTATTTTGCGCCAAATTCTCTCTCGGAGATCCGTGTTTTTATATTTTTCGTCTTTTTTGTCTCTACATTCATTTTTTTTTTGTGAAAATCTGCTAGATATCTACTTTACACGCAGAAACGCTCACGAAATCGGCACGAAAAAAATAAACTGAACTCGTCGTCTCGTCTTCGTTGGCGAGCTACGGACGGGTCTAGCGTTCCTCTCGGACTCGCGTCGTTTATGTGTGGCCAAAGGCGCTTAGGCCTGTGGAATTACTAAAAAATGAACATCATGCGAGTTTCGTGCGACAGTCGTCACGTGCTCGTCTCGTTCATGTGAGGCCAGATCTTTAGATGGTTAACCGAAAAATGGTTACTCTTTTTCTTTAAAAAGACGAAAGACGGGTCGTAAACTAATTATTATTGTCCATTTACCAAATGTCGACGAAATTGGTGTACGAGGTGCGTTGTAAATAAGAGAAAATATATTTTTGTTTAATTTACCACAATATCGGACTGCATTTATTTCCTCATAACCTAACCTAACCTAACCTCATAAAATTATTATAGGTTATAATTAAGATTCAATCGTTTGTTAATTCGAAACAAACCAACTATTTGTAACTTTAAAATAAAGAATAATCTGGCTATAATATAGCTCAATAGATAGAAAAGAAGGAGAATTTTTTACTGTTTAGTTAGATATGCGAATAATATTGTATGTTAAAGGAATCCCAAACAGTTAAAAATGTGAAGTAAATGTTGAATTTAAATGTAAATCGTAAATGTTTTTGACGGGATTCTGCATATATCTTCAGGCGCTTAACTTAAAGGGGTTATTTTCCCTGTAACTAAATTAAATTTCATCTAAGTTTTCTTCAAATAAGATTTAATTTTAAATGTGGTTTACACAGTTCTTCTATGGAGCGAGTCCCTTTGATATCTTTATTTATAAGGGCACCCTGCGTGTAGCACAGTAAAGAAATAAAAAAAATATTTTGCCGCTAGCTGTATTAACTGTAACGAATTTTCAATAATTAATTTTGGGTGACATTGTTGTATTATGTACCTAACACAGAGGATATGTTCATGGTTTGAAGGGCACAAATTAATTAATTAATTAATTAGACCCAAATCCAAATTTAATTAAAAAACTCAATGAATAGTTTTATCCGTGGGAATTTTCCACATCAGATTTGGTTGCAAATAACGGTATTAAATAAAACTTAGTGATTTTCTACGCTACAAGAATATAAAGTTAAATCGTACATTTCCTGCAGTTTAACGATGCGGCAAAATCGATAGAGTTCTTTTTAAGGTGGAGCGAATTGAACATTTTAGATAGAATGTTTGCAGCCTATAACGGAAAACTTTCCGTATCATAAAAAAATATTTAAAATATTATTAAATGTAATAAAATCAAACCAATAAGTGTCACTGTAACTAGCACTACTAGACAAGAACGAAAGGAAGAAGGAAACCTTTCCAAATTCAAAAAACATTTAGTTTCTGGTTTCGTCTTATACAGGGTATTCCTTAATGGTGTGAACAGGATAATTCTTGAGATAATTTTAAGAAAAAATTAACGATGGTGTCTATCCGCGATTTTTATCGATATAGCGATATCAAAAAAGATCGGAGAAGATCAATATATTTTTTTGAGTAGCCTAATCATTTCTGCGTAAAGGTCACTTCTTGTGTTTTTCTTGTTAGACATACCGTTCTAAAATAATGAAGTTTAATATGTAATGAATGATAAATGATGCACAATGTTTAAAAAACTTCATAGAAATGAAAATTGGAAATGATTTTTTTCACTTAACACTTATCTAATATCGTTTCTTAGATAATATAATAAAAGTTTGTATCTTTAAATCTTAAAATAAGTTTAAGGATTGTCTCCTTCAGTATTAACATATCATGAATATCATGTATAATAATAAGATAATTTTTCAATAAGGACTGTACAATAAATACTTCAACAGTTTTGGAACTCTTATACTTTATTTTTGAAAAGGAGGTTGTTTTGATTTAAGTCCGGTTTTGTTTTATTTTTTGATATTTGGTTAGTTATTTAGTTAGTAACTAACCGAAACTAACAAAAAAAAACAAGAACAAGCCTTTACAACAATAGCTATGAGTGCTAGGATCCATGGTACAACGGAAAACGTGCAATGTTGCTTGTGCAATAGCACACAGAGAATTCAAATTGAGACATGACAACGTCGCAAAAATGATACATCGGAGCCTAAACGTCAATAGACAAGAAATTGGTATAAATACAGCCCAATAAAAGTACTAGGCAATGAAAAGGGAATAGTTCTGTGGGACTTTCAGATACAGACGGATAAAAAGATTGAATGTAACAATCCGGACATTGTATTAATAGAGAGAAATCACATCTACGTAATAGATATCACGATTCCGGGTGACGCTAGAATAGCACAGAGAAAGAGAAGGAAAAAAATCAAAAGTACCAGGAGTTGGGACGTGAGATGAGTAGATTGTGGCACAAAAGATCCTTCAATGTCATACCAATTGTGGTGGGAGTAATTGGAACTATAACACCTAACTTAGAGAGATATCTAAGGGAACTACATATTTCGGAGTTTAGCACAGGACAGCCCCAGAATTGTTTTTTGGCACTAATCAAATAATCAAGGAATACCTTCGAAATTCTTAGGCTCTGGGATAGAGCCCGCATTTTGCAGAGAATCACCAGCTTCAACATTTACCAACAGAATTTCTCATTGATTTTCCCTTGACACTTGTTTTAAATATGAGAGGAAGCAAATCCTTATTCCTTATTTCTGAAGCTACAGTAATTTGAATTTTTATCATGTCCTCTCTTATGCAAAACATTTCGAGCAAATCATACTAAAGTCCAGCGGGACTGAATTTCCATCCAACTTTCCTTGCAGTTTATTGATATATCAATATCATACAGGAACATGAAACTTTACATAAATGTAAATTGTAAGATCGATTTTAATTTAAAAAGATCAAATTGATGTCTTCTGCCAGATTCTATATGCATTTGTTATTAATTATTTGAAATGCAAATATACGAATGGATCAAACTGGAGGGGATGATTGGCAGCAGCGCATGTAATTTTAGTTCTCTATATAAATGTAGTTTGCAGTATTGAAGTTAATGTCAAGCCAAGCGAGATGTTAGCGAAACGCCTACGCCTGCGACAATACGGAATTCAATAAACGAACGGATGATAACCCGGAATAACTATTATATTTAAACTATTTGAAAGTTGTTTTTTTTGTAATTCAGTTTTTTTGAATGTTATCTCAAATAAAAAAGTGGTGGATTTATTGGCAATGTTAGCAAAGTATACCCTATTAACAACTTATTAACAAATGAGACAGAAAAAAATGAGGCTATTCGTTTAACAGTTAACGTCTGTTTTACAGATCGTGTCCCGATAGTGCCAAAATGTTTACGGAGTCTGGACTACTATACTTAAAGATAGGGCAGAATCAGCATGCTTTTGAAAGGTTGAGTCAAGCACTGGCTTTAGATCCAACTTGTTCCCGAGCCTTATTTGGCATAGGATGTATAACCCAGGTAAAACTTAATTAATTAGCAATTTAAATTTCTGCTTTATTTTTATTTGTTTAATTACATAAGGCATTTATTTTAATCTACAAGTCCTCCTTTTGTTCTTCAGTTATTTCGAAACACATTTCCCAATACTTGTTAATCAATAATTTTGCTTGATAATATTTCGATATGTGTTTAATTTTTAAACACCTTACAAGCAATCAATCACAGATCTTGCAAAATTTATAATTTTCTTAAATTTAAATGTTTCAAGAGATAAGAATATAAAACTTAGTGTTAGGATAATTTAATGTTTCAAAATCAAAATCGCAAATATCGCTTTTCGCTTTTCAAAAAATCGCAAGTGTAACAGTCACAATTTAACATAATTTAACTTTTTTGTTTGCGATTGTTTAGCTGACGAGGTTCTTAAACTGCACGGTTTGATTTAATATTAATCCTATGGACCGTCTAGCTATATCACGCCTTACTTAATTAATCACTAGCAAAATAATTGAAGGTATTTTGGGTTTGTTTATTTGCTCTCTGTTCTCCCATCCAGTTGACTTTATTTACCTTCGGAGAAATATTAACGTAACTTAACAGAGCTCCTAATATTTTTTGACATGTTTTTATTCTCTATTTCACATACCTAAAGTTACAAATTTATTGTCTCCTTTAATTTAATATTTTATCGAAGTCTTCGCAGTTTTTTTTTACATTTTCTTTCGTAATATCTCAAAAATTTTACGACGTTAAATAAACATTTCAGATGCATCAGGAATACGATGTAGCACTAACGAAATATAAAATCGCAGTTCCATACGAACCCGATTCAATTTCCTTATGGAATAATATTGGAATATGCTTTTATTCTAAACAGAAGTATGTTGCTGTAAGTAGAGAAACATATTTGATTTTTTCAGACTTTAAATTATATTGTTGTGTTTATATTACGATATAAAATCACATCAGCATCAAATTCAAATACGTTTGCGTATTAAATTAAACCCCATAAAGTTGCGACGTCTATCAAGATAATCCCCAATTTGATACGCCTTGCTCGGAATAAAAACTGCTTTTTGACATAATTGTAATTGGTATTCATTTGTTTTTGTTTATACGTCATTTCGTTTGTACTTTGCGTAAATAGTTTTTTACGAGTGAGTTTGAGTTGAAGTTTATAGCCATTTTTTTTAAACCAGATTATAATTCCTATATTAAATAAATGGAATTGGAATATAAAATATTGAACAAATTCATTGAAAAATCACAGAGCATACTCTTACTTATTTCTTACTTTTTATGCGCAAAAGAAGCAGAAATTTAATTTTGAAATAAACAGTAAAGTAGCTAGTACCAGTAAAGTTCATAAATTGGCACAATTACATTTCTATCATTAAGGAAAGTGAATATGGCGCATCTAAAAGAAACCCAGAGAATTAAAATTTAACTTTTTATCAGATATGGAGATAAAACGAGAATTCAAATAAAAGTTTGTAATTTGTTTAAATAAAATATCTACACCTATTATAACAAATTATTTCAGTCGGTTTAAAAACCCTTCCCAAACGTTACTCAGGATATTTTCATCATTTTGCCTTATTTCGTATATAATTTTAATAATCTAAATTTTAAATCATCTAAGTTTTGTGCTTTTTGTTTATAGACTCTTGATTTTAAATATCCCCAAAGAAAAAAAGCCAGTGGAGTAATAACTGGCGATCTTGCAGGTCATTCTAGTGATCCACTTTTACCGGGAGATACCGTACACGCCCACGTCGAGTAAAAAGGGGCGGAGCATCATACTGTTGAAACTAAATCTGTCTGTCTCATATATCAGACTGATTTGGATTTGAGAAAGACATTGCGGGAGTAGGGATTAAGTCATTTTGAGGATATTGTAAATATCGAGATTTCAAAAATTCAAAATTCAAAGTTCTTGCCTAAACGTTTATTTTTTGTTGATGTTATGTATGATTTTCTCTCTATCGTCGGGGATCATTTGTACTCCAATACCGACAATTTTGTTTAATTACCATATCATTTAAAGAAAATGTGGCTTCATCACTAAACAGAATCTAAAAATGAAAAAATTGATTTAACTCGCACATTCCTATCATAGTTTTACAAAAATGTAGTCTGCTGACTGAGTCATCTTGGTTGAGCACCTGTAGTAATTTTATACGCATGATTCTTTTATTACTCGAAGCTGTGTTCGTTGGCCAACATCATTATCTGAAGCTACTCCAGAAGATGGATGATGGGGATTGTCTTCTAATAACTTCTAATAAAATATTTAATCTTGGGATCTGATTAGTGTTTGAACGACCTGGCCGTAGGCCTGTAAACTTTCTATTAATTTTACTCACTGTGGATCTTGTAATGGGTCTTTCTCGATATTTTGCGTTAAACAAATTGCAAACTTCTCCTTGATTTCTCCTTTTGTCTCCATATCCGATTAAAATGAAACTTTCACTTCTCTGGGTTTCATTTAGATGCCCCATATTCACTTTCTTTACTGAAAGAAATGTAATTGTAACAATTTACGAATTTTACTAGGACTAGTTACTTTTCTGTTTATGTAAAAATTAAATGTCTGTTTTTCTTTCTTTTGCTGGTGGAAATTAAGGTATAGGTCGGTATAGGAAATAGGGTATGCTACATAATTTTTGCAATATGCATCATGAAATTTGACACAGAATTCGAAAATGAATTGAAAGGAACTTCAACTTGAAATTTAATAGACATATAGAAGTTCTGGCTGTTAAATCGTAACAATATTTGTGCTCCTGATTGGATCTCTAAAGGCGTCATATTTTATAAAAAAATCCTGTTGAATAAATAATTAAGCAGTTTCTAAAAAGGAAAGATGTTTAATCCTAATTCTCCAAAAAAGGCATTAGCTCTACTAGACCTTAAAATTTCTAAATGAAGCTCATGATACTGGCGGCATCAATAAAAATAAAATACAAATCATATAGCTAGTGGACATATAGAGGCATTGCCTATATTAAAAATTTATAGAGTTTTTGAAGCTACAATAAAAAGAAATTGAGATGGCCCATTTTTGAAATTTCATTGGCAACCAATGGCAGCTAACTTGGCTGCTGGCAGTTCATCAATTCAACAGGTTTCATATTAGATGGAACATTTTTACATATTTTTCTCAAAATGTGCCCAGATTTCGTTCAATGTTTTGGGAAAGCGAGTTAAGTGTGTGGATATCGATGTTTATAAAGAAAATGGTGCAAAGTGCGTGAAATTGACAGGCATGCGCCGAAAATCATTCCCAAAATATCATAGCAGCCTGAGGAGCATCAATTTTTGTTTTCTATGATACAGATTATTACGCATTCTATGATTCTACGTTCAGCCTAGAATTATAGAACCTATCCTGCAGTATCAGAACACAAATGTAGTCAAGTTTAATATCACGGCTAGCAATATTTTTTTGAATTCCGATTAAAATTTTTCCTGTATTCCAGTGTATAGAAGCAACCGTTTTCATTGAATATACTCAAAGAACTACGACCCTAATTTGATATTCAATAATGTTCCTTTTTAATACCATCTGCTGTTGTGAGATTCACACAAAAATAGGCCATCTAGTATAATTTTCATTTGAACAGGCTACTCTTGTGATAAAAAACCTAAGAACATATGTTTGGTACTGACAATTAATTTGTGTAATTCACTGTTGCTTTGTAGGCCATCAGTTGTTTGAAGAAAGGACTCTGGATCTCACCATGCAACTGGACGCTCCTCTTTAATTTGGGTTTGGTGTACTTAGCGACGAGTCAAACTGCCTCTGCATTTAACTTTGCATGTGCTGCTGTCAATTTTCGACCAGATGTTGCCGAATGTTTTGAATTATTGGCATGTAAGTGTCTAATACTCCCATAAATTGTATATCAAAACAGCATATTGAAAATGCGGGAACATAAATCTTTATAAAAAATTACCATTCATTAAATAATTTTAAGTAAATTTCTTGCATGTTTTCATTATTATTTTGCAGAAAAATTTATATAAAATAAGAAAAAATATTTATAATTAATATTTGAAAATGTATATTGATTGTAGCTTATTCGTATATATTCTTTTAGAACGAACTTATTAATAAAGTTTGGATGATTCAGCTCTTATTTTACAGGGTAAAAACATGTTTATGTTTCATAATAAAACACTAACTCCTAATTCATTTTAAACAAAGCAATTTATACTTGTGCATAATTTAAAATGTAGCGATTATATTAGTTTGGAACTTGCCCTATTGTCTTGACATTGTAAATATTAAATATGGCTTTGAATGGAACATCCTGTGTAGTTGAGTCTTACCGACTTAAGCTTGAAGAAATTTGTTATCGACATGAAATAGAAGGATAGCTAGGAATCAGCAGACTGCGAACAGCAGAATAAGCAAAGAATCCAAAAAACACCTACTATAAAGACGACAACATTGGAAAATCAAATGTAACACGATGTATATTAACTTTGGTCCACATTTCCTTATTTCTGTCTCTTTTCTTTATTAAAATAATTTTGATTTATTTTTGCCTAAAAGTACCGCTTTATTTGTTAACACTTAATATATTTCTTCAAAAATTTACAGGGCTTTGCTAATACATATGATTGAATCACCAATACGTAACTTTGATTATAAGTCATGAAGGGGGGCCCAAGAATTTACATTTCTGAAAAAGAATTAGTAAAAACAGAAACAGAACAGAAGAAAAACAGTAAAACTTAATTTTTAAATGCAAATCGCAGTATTTGACTTTACCCTTGTTTCAAAATTCCAGAAGATATTTGTTCTTATTTTTCTGTGTTTTATTTAAAACTATTTACGGATAGTTTTCAACATGATTTAAAACATAAGCGAACTATGAGCAATGAAATCTCAGAAACGAAACCCATAGGAGATACGAAAAAAAGTTTCGTACAAAAGTTTCTTGGACTCTCCTAAAGATTTAAAATACTATAATTTTGTTGATGCAGGGTTTTCCTCCCCTCCCCGAAATCAACTTTGTTGTTTTAAATGGAACACCCTATATATTTTGACATTTTTGGAATCCTTGGTTAAAATAAAGGTGACTTTCTTAAGAAATTCCTATTCAAATTTTGCATAATTCAGACAGAAATTGAAATTATGTGTTTTTTTTAATATTTTGATTGCCCCATATAAAATTATGTTATGACGCTACTGATCCAGGTATTGCAATGAAAATTTAACCACACACTAAGGAGCTGATGCACTACTCAATCAAATTGATAGATGCGCCTCAGCTTATACAGGGTGTCCCAAATAGGTAGTGCTGTTTTGGCGAACTCAATTAACAAAATCCCAAGATTTTCAAATGGAACACACTATATTTTTATTCAGATATCAATTCTAGGAAAAAAAATGTAAGTTTGTAATTTATCTTATATTTAAATTTTACTTACTTTTTGAGATATTCGAGGTTTAAGATAACACCCGTACAAATTCTTGTTGAATTTAAAGCTGCCCACATTAGGTCACTTGGTGGCAAGATTAGGTATTTTTTAAATAGCAAAGACATGATACTACTTCTTTTAAAGATGCAATACTCCAGATATACGAATAAAGCCTATTGCTAACAATACAGAGTGTCCATTAATACGTGGAAATTTTGAAAAAATTCGACTCTATACTACACACTTTAACGGATTTAATAAAACTTCAGAATTCATATTTAAAGAAACATTTATTAGTTAATTATCTAGCTTGATTGAAAATACCTAATAACAAAAATAAATAATTAAAGTTTATATGCTAATTAAACAAGGTAACAAATATGAATAAATAAATCTTTAAAACAAAAAGTTAACTAAAAAGAGCTCGTTAATTCGATCTATAAAGTTTAGTTAAAAATGTTCCTCTTAAAATGCTCGTTTCATCTGGCTTAAAAATAACAAACATATCAAAATATTTAAAAATGTAGTTGGCTATGACAAGAGAATCTTTTTTTTGACGCATTAAGGTATAAACAAACATTGTCATTTCTGTTTGTTTTTGTAATTTTTCACATTTCTATGTAAAAAGTTCATGGTGGTTAGTTTTTATGGTTTTTTGGTTATAATGCCGCAATATTCTGCTCAGGAACGACTGAAATTGTATGAATGCTACCTGACCAATGGTAAGAGTGCAGCTTTAGCATTAAGGTAGTATCAAAGAAGGTTTCCGGGAGCTAGAAATCCCAACAAAAACAATATTTAATAGAATTATCCAGGACCTGTCAAATCACGGTGTTCTAAAATATAGAAAAGGAGAAACCTAGCACCCTTTTATCAGAAGAAACTGAATTGAACGTAATATTATACTTCACTGAATTTCCCGAAAATTCTTTGCGAGATGCAAGCATGGACCTTGACTTAACTATTTCATAAATTTCTACCAATTCAATTTTTGTTTCACCATGATGGACGAACATTTTGAGAGGCACATTTTTAACAAAACATTATGGACCGATAAGGTGATTTTTACGACGTCTGGTATGCACAATAAATAAATGCCACTATTATTCAACAGACAACTGCCGACAACTTGGGGGAGAACATTATATTTCAGCAAGATAGCGCACCCTATCATTGTGGTCATCAAGTGATAAATTTTTTAAGAGTAAATTTCCAAAATATAATTGGTTAAAATGGTGACATTGCGTGGCCATCAAGTCCCGATTTTACACTCATGGCCTTTTTTTTGTGGGGCGCTTTAAAGATCGTGTGTATAAATCGCGAAATAACTATACAGGAAAAAATTAGGCAAGAGATTCTTGCATTAAATAGTAGTGATGCGGTTAGAAATGTGCTCTCCAGCATTATGACGCGCTATACAGTGTGTATTGCAGAGGATGGACAATACATTAATTACAGTATCACCATATTTTTTTTAGTTATTTGTTTCTGTTTTTTTTTTGTTTTATAGATTTATTTATTCAAATGTGTTACCTTGTTTAGTTAGCCTAAAAACTTTAATTATTTATTTTTGTTATTAGGTATTCTCAATCAAGCTAGATAATTAACTATTAAATGTTTCTTTAAATATGAATTCTTAAGTTGTATTCAATCTGTTAAAGTGTGTAGTATCGAGTCGATTTTTTTTTTTTGAAAATTTCCACGTATTGCTAGCAATAGGTTTTATTCGTATATCTGGAGTATTATATCTTTAAAAGAAGTAGGATCATGTCTTTGCTATTTAAAATATACCTAATATTGCCAACAAGTGACCTAATGTGGGCAACTTTAAATTCAACAAGAATTTATACGGGTGATATCTTAAACCTCCAATATCTCCAAAAGTAAGTAAAATTTAAATATTAGATAAATTACAAACTCACCTTATTTTTTGTGCTAGAATTGATATCTGAATAAAAATATAGTGTCTTCCATTTGAAAATCTTGACTTATTGTTAATTGAATTCGCCAAAACGGCACCAGCTATTTGAGTAACTCTGTATAAGCTGATGCGTATCTGTCAAACTAATTGAGTAGTCTTCTTAGTCTGTGGTTAAATTTTCATTGCAATACCTGGATCACAACACAATTTTATATAGGGCAATCAACATATTAAAAACAAAACATACACATAACCTCAATTTCTGCCTAAACTATGCAAAATTTGAATAGGAATTTCTTAAGAAAGTGACCTTTATTTTAACCATAATATATAGGGTGTTCCATTTAAAATAACAAAGGTGATGCCGGGACGGTGGGGGGGATACTTTAGGGACACCCTGTATCAACAAAATTATAATACTTTAAATCTTCAGGAGAGTTGAAGAAACTTTTGTACAAAACTTTTTTTCGTATCTCCTATGGGTTTCCAGATCGTATAGTGGATCGTTTTGTTTGGCACACGGTGTACATGAATTATTCAACTTCTTTAATGTAATGACAAATATATAGGGTTGGATTTAAGAACAAGTATTTTAACAGTCATATAATTTTTGGGGCATCCTGTATGACTTATCATTCATGTCACATATTATTCATTCAAGTAAATGTATTAATTTTTAGAAAAAATATAAAAGTTTTAATAAAGCTGTGTTTTTTTGCAAAAATAAATTAAAATTACTAAGGAAAAGTTAACAACAGTTACTCCGAATTTTGCGCATTCTATTTGAATTTGCAATAATTGAAAATACAATATTTCAAAATACAATATAGCGGCGAACATTTGGAAAAGTATTTGCAGAACAATATCCCAATTTTGCCCAATGCGATTATCAGACTTTAAGTAACTATTCATTATTTATTTGTTTATTTATTTCAAGGAATCTACCTATCAGGTATGAAGCCCAACTAATAGGTAGGATGTCGTACAAATTATTAAATAGTTACATTGTAAGTAATGATGATATCACGAAATTTAAGCTAAAGTTTAGCCTAACATGAGCATCAAATCTATTAAAAAAACAAGATAATAAAAAAAAACTGAAAATAATTATAAAATGATTCAGGTGGTTTTTGAACGGCTGTGCAAACTTCTAAACGATTTTCTGTTTTGCAAAAAATCGTTTATTAAACGCTTGCTTCACTGCGCTTCTCTCCCTCGTATGTTTTAACCGATCTCTCAGCGCGAGCATTAAAAATTGCAAGTGAGATCTTGGAATATATTGTCATCACATTCTTTCATCCATGAATTAATACGTGGTCAGGCATGGGAAAGGTGTCACTGTAAAAGGATTCTGCCTCGTATATATTTTTATGTTTTTGTCATTAAATAAATTATGATGGCAAACAACTGAAACATGCATTTTACTGCAAATTCTTTTAGATCTTTGAGGATCTCCTGTCATCCGATTTAATTTATTGTTAGTTTTTACAAAATGCACTGAGGTATGTTATTCCGTAAATTTTGCGAAATGCAGAGATTATATTTGCTACTTGCGGCTTTTGTCGTAACGGTTAAGCAAAAGTTTGAATGGTTGTTCATTTATTTATAATGTTTCTAACATACTTTATACGTAAACATCATAAAAAAAAGAAATTTATGGACATAGATACAAAAAGTTAAAAGTTGCGTTTGTAATGTTTTTTTCGTCGTTAACAAAATGTTTTTATTTATTCCGCGCTTCGATACTCGATGCGCGATATTTACTGATCGATAATCATATTTTCATAAAAAGCAATTTAAGTGGGCATTACACGAGTTCATTAGTGCGCGAAATTTGAATATGAGAATGCGAAATATAATCTATCCTCAAAGCATAATTAAGCAAACAAAATGTAATGTATCGGGAGTTTTATTCGCGATGATGGATAGCTGACAGTGATTATAAAATCGATGTCCTGCGATCGAATTTAACTAACGCTAAATCCTAGTCTGCATTCACGACCGAAACAGAACCAAAAAGATTAAGTGTCACATTTGTGTATTTAAACCGTAATCAACATTTAATCTAGCGAAAGGCTATTAAAAAGGACTCAAGGGCTCATCAAACCCAGGATAAGCCTAGATAAGCTTTGTAGGGCCGCGAGTCTGTTAGGAAAGTGAAACAAATAGTGCAGTTAAATTAATGAGATTTCTCGACACGAAAATCTCCCATTTTACGGGAGGGACAATTATCACAAAAATCATTCGGTGAATTTATAGGAATTAGATATTCGACACTTAATTTCGATATTTGATAATTAATTGGTTTAACCGCTCTGAACGATAATTATACGCAAAATTATAATCAAATGTTTGAAGGTTTATAATTGCTTTCAGCAGGGTTCTATCAAAAAATTTTAAATACGTAAGTTGTTTGTTTAGTATAGAGAAAATCTCATTAGTCTCTCACAGTACATAAAATAGATATTTTAAATGTAACACCCTGTATGCTTCTTGAGATAATAAATGTATGAAATACACTTTTTCACATGCTTACGAAAACACAGGATGCGAATGAATACTTTTCCATTTTTACACTTAAGTTGGCAGATTCATATTTAAGTTTCATTGTATATACCTGTTTCATACGTGTGCAAATGTAACAAAAATTCGCATATAAGGATTTTTTGTGATACCAAATTTTGTGTAGGTGCTTTATCATTTCATATTAAAGAAATACAAACTAAATATAAAAATGAGATTTTCTCAATGTATAGTCTAACGACATTAAATTTTAGCGTTCAATGTTTAAAATCACGGCTGTAAATCGAATACAATTCAAGTTTATTATAATATTATATTGAATCTATTTTTGAATTATTATGAACTCTTAGTTTGACGGGGTTAAATTTTTCTCACTTTATAAGCAAATCTTTCAGATGTACTATTGGAACTGAAGGATCTCGAGAACGCTCAAAAAGCCATAAGACAGGCTTGCATTTTAGCTCCAAGCAACACGACAACCGTAATAAATGCAGCTGTGGTGCTCCATGTTGCTGGCTCAAGCGAAAATGCTTCAATATTTTTGAAGAAATTCGAAGAACTGGTTTCCGAAGGGCAAACTTTATCAAATGAGGTAAATTAAGTTTTTTTTACAGATTAAACTTATCGGTCATATAGGTACTAACGATATAGAGGCCCTGCCTATGCCGATAATAAAGTAATTTATTTACAAATGTTGTGGATTCCTCCTAAGTTGGTTGTTTATAAATTAAACTTGCTGACGGTTCGCCAAGCTTAACTCCAGTTAAGCTCTCAAGAAGCCAACAAGATGATTGGCGAAACGTTAGCAAGTTTGGTTTATAAAAAGCCGACGCAGGAGGAATCCAGAAGATTCGTAAATAGTATTACAGTAGCCTGTGGAAAAGATTAATGAAGCCACCATGATTTTTTTTTTAAGAAGGTTCATTCAACATGCCCATGCGCGATATTTAAAATTTCGTTCTTAACCAATGACCTTGCTGCATTCAACAACCAACATGGCCGCTGATAGATCATCAATAAGCTTGAGTTCGGCATTTTTACGGCAGTTTTTTTAAAATATACCTTGATATCGTTAAATGTTCTGAGAAAATGAGTTGAGCGTGTGGAAATCGTTGTTTAGGAATAAAATGGTGCAAAGTGCAGATGAGTGGGTAAAATGTAGAGGCTATGAGCAAAAGATTCATACCTTCTCTACGAAAATATCAATGCCGCCTGCGTAGTAGGGCCGCTATATTATCTAATGCTAATATTAACAACATAAATGTTGCTTTATATAGTTTGTGGTTTAATTATTAATTGTTCGATAATTTGTAAACGTGCCTTTTATCATTTTCTTGATATCACACATCACACTACCCTCCGCGTAAAAATCGTAATGTTTAAAAACAAGCTTGAAATTTTGTCCTTGCTATCCATATTTACTCCGTCCATCGCGATAACAGGAGCTGACAAGTTAATTTAACCCATTTTCAGTTCGTCACGGTGGCAGGCTCGTCTAGATTTCGTATTCGAGTTGGCGATTTAACTCTATAAATAAACGATATTAAATTTGAGTTTTATGCCCAAAAATGATTATCCAGTATAAATTATTGAATTGCCTTATAAAGGCTAGGAGACTAAACAAAATTAAACTTTTATGCAAATATGAATGGAAACCGTTCGTCTTACAGGTCTTTTGGAATCTAATTTATAATTTGTATTCGTATTTCATAAGGAAAACAACCCAAAAACTTTCTTTAGTTTTACTGAAGTCTATTTAGAGTTTAAAAGCAAATGATTGTGAAATCACAGTGCTTTAACTGCAGAAAATCAGTAAGATCGACCAAACTTAATCAAAACTAACCGAAACTGACCAAAATTGAATACAATGATCGATATATCGTCTTTGACGGTAATAGATGCATGTAGAGGTGTTACAGAATGCTGGAAAGAATAATATATCGAATAATATGAAATTGGTTTATCTAAATAAATAAAATTTAGTCAAAGTGTTTTGAAATATGGTTTTGGCAAAACTTTAGTTTCACATTTTGACCTTCAGTTTAATTCTGGTTAAAAAGAGTTTTGCGCACCGTTTTTCTAATAAAAGTTACTTTACTATTTAGAAATCGTTCAAATTCCGTCTGCATGGGTTGTTGATAAATAGAACTTGTCGACGTTTCATCAATCATCTTGTTGGCTTCTTCAGAGCTTAATTGAAACTGTCTAGCAGTTTAGCTCTGAAGAAGCCAACAGGCGAAACGTCAGCAAGTTCGATTTGCCAACAACCGAAGCAAGAGGAATCCAGAAGTTTCGTAAACAGTAAAAGACCCTTTAAATTATTTTCTTATTTGGAATGAGAATCATACGTTATTTTTAAAAAACCCTCTCCAAATTTATTTCTTTTTCGTATTAAACAGTGAAACAAAAGCTAAAAACTTCGTTTTAGAGTAATTAGCAAATTTTTGCGGTTTGTGTTTTCTAAATATTTCTATTTTTTTAAATAAATATAATTTCAAGTAAAATAAGACGGTGCAAATCTATAGTGGAACTTTATAAGCCATTTTTGTGAGTTTTGATTAGTTTTGGACATAACCGATGGTATTTGCGGGGTTCCGTAACTCTAATTTTCATTAATTCATTGGCTATAATAAACTTATTTGCAATAAAACAACCCGTTACTATAAGTCAAAAGAAGATTGGGTCGATTCAACAATTCATAATTATTTATAAGTTGCAGAAATTTTTCCTAACACGATGCTAGAAATTTTACATCAAACCAAGTAATTGTAGATTTTGGAACTTGCTGAAAAACTAAGGCTAAGTCTAAGGGACGCGCCTGGTGAACATTTAGACCCAGCAAATAAAGCGGATCAATCGAAGAATGACACCGCTGTGCAATCATCCGACGAGCGATTGGTGCTTAACGGCGATGAGGTTTAAATAATTGTAACACATAACAAAATAAAAGTAGTGGACGTATTTTTTTGTTTTTTTTTACACCAACCATTTATTACATATATAGCCTATGCTGATAATACAAGAGCTTCAACTTCAAAAAATGTCTAGAAGAACATTGAATGTACACATGAGCGAGTTGTTTAAAAACTCGCTTGCAATCAACAAGACTTATCATTTAAAAGCTTGCTTTTAGCTAATAAGACATTCCATCGTTCAACAATCAACGTGAACGCTGACGCAATTGCACAGTTTTCAATCTTGTCAAAACATGCTCAGTTAAGCGTGTGATGATCGCAGTTTATAGAAAAAAGATATAATCTAGTAGGTTATATCTGAAGAAAATGCCATAGCGAACTGAGCGAACAGTTATATAATTCTAGGATTCTGTGATCCAAATTAGTATGTTTTAATGATTTGAATTCATCAAATATTCGAGAAAAATTTAACTTATGTAACTCAAATTAACATTTACAGCATTAATGTAATAAAATAAGTTAATGACCAAAAACTAAATTTAATCAAATTGATCCTTTAATAATATATCACAATGATTAATTTAAATGAAACGCCATGTTTTTTATATACAAACAAGTGAAAGGTGAAAACTGTATATTGGTCAAAAGATTCCCTTCCATATGAATAACCCATTAACCATGATCAAATATCAATTACAAATACAAAAGGCCATTAAAATATATTGTTGTTAGTCCGTTATTTTAAATGGCTTCCCCGAAAATTTATCATAACTTTTCAGTGAAAATAATATTGACATTGGTATAATATTAAGTTATTAATATATTACAGTTAGAAAAGCAATTATTATAAGGTTTTTGCAATCACAGTTTGGTCAACTCGATCTAAAAATTGGAATCATACATTTGCATTTCGGTTCTCTGGGGTTGGCTGAAAAGTAAATAAATAAAAAGTAGTTATTTCTGTTTCCTAGGTCATCATTATCTGAGCTGTAATCTTAATATTTTATTGTTTGAGGAGAGTTCAACTTGTGAATTGTGAGAAGACGCATGTTGAACAAACGATATCATAGAAGCCAATATAAGCGATATTTTTAAAAATTAATATGTAGAATTGGCAAAATAACTATCATTTATATATTATTTCTTCTTTCTTCTCTTTTATATATTCATCACAAGGTATTGCGCGACTTAATTAATTAATTAATGAGTCATGTTACATGTTAGGTTTAGTGCAATATGAACTTCGGCAAAAAGGGCCCGGTTGACATTTTATCTTTCAGAAAACATGGAAAAATTACTCCTTCGAGTATCTGGAAAAATGATACCCTTGCGGAAAACGTTTCAGAACATGGTTTGATCATTTAAATTTCGAAACGTAAAAACATTGAAAAAAGAAAGCTAACGTTTTCGTTCATTTGGTTGCCTAGTAATCGGAATAATGATCTTTATCCAAAAATCTATTATTATATTGATGTGTCCTTGCAGATCGTATATAAACTTAAAGTGGGCATTAGCAATGTGCTAAGATCTTGCTAAAAACAATAATTACTTTTTTTACTACTGGATCTATGACAATTAAAGGCAATATTTCATTAATTTTAGCACAAACGTCCTCAGGATCGCAATTAAAATCAATTTTTTCGTTCGAACACCACCATGATAATCACTTAGAAGTAAAAGAGGTCGCTGGCACCTAAACATTGTTTGGCATTTTGCGGATCCGCCAACTTGTCAATGGAAAGTAAATAACAACAGAATAATTCCTACTTTAGTTGATTAAAAAGCTATTTTCTCAGACAAAATTTTCCTTTCGTTATTTGTTAGGGAATACGTTACCAATGAATTACTAAGTCAAAATTTCAACGTTCTAAAATATGCAAAAACTACTCGGGTTAGTACCTAAATTAACTTTATAATTAATGACCTGGCCTATGCAGTCTTACTGAAGTTTCCTGGAACACACGCCGTTGCGAAAAGAAAGTTCTTGTTGCAAATGGGAATTGTTTAAGAAGTAAGGCTAATTTGAAGTTTGCCAAGTCTATTGTTATACCTACACAGGAAGTAACTCAAACCCGACGGAAAACGGGCAAATAATGGAAAGGAAACCCTTCCCATATGGGGTACTGGAAGAAAAATTTTGCTAAATAACAACTGGAAGTCCACGCATGCGCTCGGTCTGACTGAAAAACTCGCTCCTAAAAGCTGAAAAAGTGGAAACGCAACGTAGTGTTATTTCGGATTTGGCGCAGCTTGCCAGGCGATCAGCAAACGGGATGTCTACGTGAATTAGTCAGACCTGTTGAAATTAAAACTCGATCGTGATTCCTAAACTCTGTTGCACGTAAGTAACATTAAAAATGCAGTCGATTTTGTAGGAGTGATTTCAAATTTAGCAGAGAACTTTGTTATTTTTTTTTTTAATTTCTAATTACGGGATGAAAAAAAAACATACATCCAGCTAATTAGCACGCTTTTCGATAAATAAAGGGATGTATTTTGAGATATTGCTTTCGTAAAATAATATACTATAATAAAATTTAAAAAAAGGACGAAATGAAAAATGCAGTACCCGCTCACCAAGAATTGTTTATATGTTGAATTGTTTTAGCGTACCTCTTTGTTTTTTTATAGGAACTCAAAGAAAATTAAATTTTTATTTAACTATTTTATACGAGAGTTATGTAACATTTATGGCACATAAACTAGTATTTATTTATTTTTGTATTTAGTTTTTTTTGCTAATGTGGATGTTTTGTATTTTTATTTGTAAGTATAATAATAATAATAAGTAAGTATATATAATTATTTAATAACAAATTTATCATGTAATAATAATAGTAACAATAATAATAATAATTCATAATTAATTTTTTATATGTGACAATAAAATTGATCGAAGTTTATTAAAACTTCGTAGATATAAACTTTAGTTTTAAAAGTGTAGGATTTTACTTTACATACTTTATTGGAGGTTTTCTTGAAAACCGTTCTTACAAAGTTACTCAATAGACTGCTTGGAGCAGATCAATTATAAAATAAAGCGAATTAAAAAAAGAATATTTACATAATTTGGTAAAAGTGCCACAAAAAAAAACATGAGTACGATATAATATAATCAAAAAATAACGTGAAGGGTAATTAAAAAAGCAGATTAATACGAGACAAAACCAATCTCAGTGGAAGGTAGTAGAAACTCTGATAATTCTAATAAGGTTTCTAAGGAACATAAATTGGTATTAAGTATTTTATTGTATAAGGGGAATAGTTAGAAAGATGATTGGCAGGGATACTGACAGTTCGTTTGTTCGGAATGGTATATTTAATGTCCTTAAGAGTATAGTTTACACAAATCTCACTGTCGAAATTTACTATGTTATATACAAAGAAAATATCAAAACACTGCCTTCTGGACTTCAGTTATTCCATAGATATTTCCGATATTTCTGGGCTAACTTAGACAAATATTAATAATACATCGTTTAATAATGAAATTAAGCTAGTGCTGATATTAAATAAATGAAACTATTTCTCAAAAATCGGAATCGGCGGTTTTTAGCGATGATTAGGACCTATTTTTTCCAATAATGCTGCGCTAATTATTATTTTCTTATTTCGTACAACACCTTTTCTTTGGACTGTTCCATTATTTTTATGTCAAACGGCATGCTATATTCATTTTGATTGATAAGCCATGACTGTGATACACGAAAAAATAAAAAAAAAGGTTTTCTGATTGACATTCACAAAAAATGATATGTCTCAAACAACAACAAAACTAAAATAAAATGTATTGGCGCGGAGAGTCAAAAAATGTAAAATAATTTTGTTGGACGCTGCGAATGCGAAGCGTGAGTTAAAGAATTGTTTTTTTTTTTCATACCTTATATAAATTTAAAAAATGAATCTGTTCTGAAGTTATTCAAAAAATACTGGAAAAGATGACAAATTAGCTAATAAATGTTTTGTTTTAGTATGGTCAGTCCTATTTTTATATGTTAACCAAAACTAATAGTTTCCCACCATATGCAAAAAAATTACAATTTAAAAAGTTTTGTATAATTTTTAAAAACTAACCAAATTTTCTTCACGATATCCACCTTTGTTGAAGTGGCATCAGATCACCTATGCAATTCGATAGAGTGGGCTATTTAACTTGAAATTTTGATAAATATTACTTTATTCCTTAACTTGCGAGTTTAGTCACTTTACGTGTACAGTACACTATTGCAGAACATCACGAATACAGTCACTGAGTAACGTGTTACGTGTTACGTATTTTAAACTTACCCAAAACATTTGATCCCAATCCGTGATTAAAGTACTTTAACCGCTGGTCATTTTAAAATAGGGACTAGAAAAATGATATTTAATATTATTTCAACTTCAACTTCGTCGTTAAACCGCCTTCCACGTAAGTCCTTTGTCAAATATCCAAACAAATAATAGGCACTGGGGGCCATATCTGCACTATAGGGAGGATGATCTATCTGTTGGAACCCACACTCTAAAAAGGCAGCTTGTGCAACACCAGCAGTATGGACAGGTGCATTATCGTGCAAAAGACGCACGCCTCTGGTCAGTTTTCCTCGACGTTTTACACGTATGTAGTCTCGCAATTTATGTAATAATGTTGCGTAATATTTACCATTGACAGTGGTATTAGTTTCTTTAAAATCCATCAAAAGAATTCCTTCACAATCCCAAAAGATCGTGGCCATCACCATTTTTGTTGACTGGCAGACTCTGAATTTTCTTGGAGGTGCTTCACCCTTACGACGCCACTCCATTGATTCTTTTTTCGATAGAGGGCCAAAAAAGACCGCGCACAGTCGACACGGCGTTGTTTTTAGGAACCCATCTTGCACTAACCTTATGCATACCTAAATGATCATGCAGGATTCGACGAACACTTGTATCAGAAAGCTTAGTAATTTCTGAGATTTCCTTGACCTTTAAACGTCGATCACTATTGAGTGTTGCGATTGTGGAAGAGGTGGTATTGACCACCTCTTCCACAATCGCAATATCTTCCGTTATGACCTCCACTAGTTGATCAGTTCTCGAATCATCTTCAAGGGACTCCTGCACCATTCGAAAACGTTTTACCCATTCTTTCACTACAGAATACGAAGGAGAACTTTGCCCGTACACATTATCCAGCCTTTCTTTAATAATTTTAAGTGCTAACCCTTCTTTTGTCAAAAACTTTATGACTGCTCTATACTCAATTTGCGTTATTTGCGTCATTTTTTCGGACACATCTTGTTTGAAATGCTGTCAATAAAAAACTATTTGACGCAAGATTTCAATTTTTTTTTCGCAGCCTACTAAGATATATATTTAAAAGAAGACAAAGTTTTATCGTTATACTGGAGCTGCATCTATGTCAGGTCGCGAAAGTTTGGTGCTAACCTCGTATATTTCATATTTAAAATTGCTGTCGCAAGTTGTTTTCGTTACTCTCTAATTTTAATTTTTGGTTACTTTAATATGTAATTAATAAATATGACAAAAACATTCTAAAACAAACTTTAATACCTAAAATTAACTCCTTTATTTATTGTATTCTATTGTTGATGGTTTTACGGCATATCTCTCTTATTAATACCGCAAACAGAAATATCATAACTATCTTAGATTTTTAGATGGATGATTTCATATAGCAATTTAAATAATATAGTGGCCCTAGTTCGGTAAAAGTTGATGCGCCACAGGCAGCATTGATATTTTCGTAGATAAGCTAAAGATTTACCGCCCATGTCTCTATGTTTCACCCACTAATCTGCACTTTGCTCCATTTTCCTTAAAAATTTCGCATCCAAACTTATTGTCGATCTGTCAGCGGCCATTTTGGTTGGTTAAAAACAAGAAAATTTCGCGCATGCATATATTAAATGGACTTTCTCAAAAAAAAATTCATAGTTGCTTCATAAGTTCCTATATTATCAGTAGGGCCAGTAAATCTCTAATATATGGGTGATTTTGAAAATTTTGCATTTTGAGACACCCTTTGTAGTTATGGGTAAACTAACTAACCAAAACTGGTCTGGATAGCGTTTTTAAAATAGGATTCAGTGGCATTATCAGTGTTCATCTGAAACTCACCAATTTGCATATGCAAACTAAACTTGTGTTTATTGTGATAATTTTGTTTGTGTTGTTATCAGCTATTCAAAATTATATAACACGTAACACGTATTTGAAATTATTTTTATGAGTAGGTCATACCAAAAATGTGTCCGTTTTCCTGATATACTTTAGTTGTTCCTAATTAATATTTTAATTTTTACGTCCTTCTGCTATGGTTCATGTTAACCCATAATATTACAGCTATATGTGGCACAAGTTTATTTTGACAGGTACCTTTGTGTAATAAATTACTTAATTTATATTAAAAACATATGTTTATTTTCAGCAAAATGACATTTAAATGGGAATACAGCAGTTTAGGTTCTATACAAATAAATAAAAAATAATAAAAAATAATTTGATTAATTCATTGTATGAGCGATAGAAGCTAAAGCAGCTGCACTTAATTGTTTAAAATCCGTCAACGCATAGTTTTTAATTTTAATGTTAAATTTTGAATTGACATAATTTGGCATTCGCCTAGCGGTTATTTATGCGAGTATTTCTCTATAACTACAAATAAACTATAATTTACGACTTAGGTTTGTAAGAAACTTTAGTGCTGGAAGTAGTCATCATGGTTTTAAAAAAATTATATGTGTGTATATATCAGTTCGCTTAACCCAAAACAAACAGTTTTGGTTATACGAAAACAAATAAAGCAAAGATCTATGGAAGTTAACGTAAACAATTCACGGGGAAGAAAATAAATGACGGGATCATAAATCTCAGAAAAAATCGACTTGTCCTTTAAAAGGTCCGACAGCTTAAATAGTTTTATACGGGAATCATTTTGGTGCAACTGCCTAGATTTTGCGTTATACTATTCTAATAAAGTAAAAAAAGAGCAATTAAGGTACATAACTCGTATTATTAAGTTATTTATGGTTAGCGCCTGGCAGTGACATTCATTTCAAATTGTCTGTTTAAACAAACATATAATTCGCTTTTGCGGCAGTATCTATCCTTTAGCTTACTTGTGATGATTTTGAGCCTAGTTTTCCTTTAACCTATCATGAAATTTCATTACTAACTTTTTATAGTACCGAATTTGAGGATATGTCTAAAGCAAAGTTGCAAAAACATATTATTATATAATTAATTTTGAAGAAAATAATTGTATACAACGAAAAAACTTGTTGGTGAAACTAACTAAAATTAACAACACTCGAGTTCATCGCTGAATTCCTCTGCAATTAGTTGGAGTTACTCTAAAAGATTGAATGGAGATCAGTTATAGCCATTTTTTTTAAATTCACAGAAAGTAACTTTTTTTTCAGAAACGAAGTGTATCAAAATGAACAAAAGAAATAACCAATTAATGAATTTGTTATTTTTTTGGTATTTATGACTGAGTTTGTTTTTGCTAACGCAAGTATGGTGTCACGTTTCCAAAGGGCAATAATGGTAGGAAAATGAAAATGCTACAACGGGTTCTTTGATTTCAGTGTATTTAGTTGTCAATATAGTTCTTGTTGGTTACAGTGTCTATCGTGTGTGGATATTGTAAAGATGCCAACAATACAGTATTAATTAGCCTTTCTTGTTCCAACTCGAGCGATTGGATGATTAATGGTTCGAAGAATTATGTTACCGATAATTACCACCTGCTCATTTTCGTAGTGGCAGGGTTACATTTTTTTCTTATAAAGGTATTTGTGGCCTGTTTAGATCTTCGTCATGCCATAAGCTGACAATACTAAAAGGCTAAATGATGTTGCATATTTATTTTTTAGTAAATCATAAATCCTTAAAGTTCAAGCAGAGATTAGGATTTTTATAATACTTATGGGTTATTTTTTTCATTTTGGCAAAGATTTATGATAAAATATACAAGACATTCAGAGGTCGGGTAAAATAGCATACGTTCCATGATATTATAAAAACCGCTACAAAAACTTGTAGGGCTATTTAAACAAAACAACAATATAAAAAAGACATCGCATGAAAAGCCAAATAAAATAGTTCAGAGAACTATCCAATATCATTTTGTTACTGCTTCCATTATTCTCTCAAATTTTGTTGATTATCGTTTTTTACCATCTATAAAAAACACAATAATTGTCAAAAATACTAATAATAATAATTTATTTATAAAAGTTATATAAGTGAATCTCTAATTAGTACCATCTATTTGGCCATGTCACTGAGTGTCAAAATACTCTCAGTGTTTTAAATATTTACAGAAATCATCTGACCCACCTTTTACTTAAGTAAAGCCCGCTCTTACCAGTATTTAATGAAGCAAACCTTTGACACCTTGGGTCTGGTTTGTACATGATTGGGTATTTTAAAGTTTATGAATTGGGACGGGTCGAAGTAGCCGGCTTTTGGCTACCATGTTCTTATGGTGACATTTCTTTAAAACCAAAATCACTAGGACAAGTTACACGATTAAACAGTCCAAATGATTAAAATTTATTATCAAAATGAGTGTTCGTTCTTAAAAACTTTCCCGCGTTGCGACCATTTTACGGCCGTCGCCGTGGCGCTTCAAAGTCCATTCTGCCACGCTTGATGACCAAATTTAAACCGACCGGTTGGTTAATAATCAGCCAACACCTCTACTTGGAGAAGAACATGTGGCCCCAACACAGTTTCGCCACCTGGCAAACAGCGGACGCCAGATCGTGCGATTTGACTACTCTAGATTTTTCCTTGTGGGGTTTTCTAAACTCAAAATAATGCGCAAGAGTCATTGAAAATTGGACCACTCGGATCCGTGCCAACGTTAGTCCACAAATAATGGCATTCATAGGCCTCTGATATTAAATAATTAAATTAAATTAAATTAAATTAATTAAAAACTCGCTACTAGGGTGGGAGTAGAAAATGATTTTAGGCGATAGTTTGTCAAACTAATGGACCAACACGATCAACTCTCAAAACCGTTCAAATGCTATATATTGTATTGTCCAGATAGAAAATAAGCAAACTAACGTCTGCTTTTTGTTTGAAGACGAATGCATAGATATTAGTCGTTAAAAACAGATTAATACTATATAATATTTCAAAGGAGGTTCCTTAATATTCTCAAAGCACATGTTGCAAATGTAAATATGATATGGTATAAATCTCAAGACTTAGAAATAAAATATCTTGTGAGAAAAATATAACCTTACGTTTAATTAGCATATTTGCCACGGAAGGTAAACATACCGCGACTCCAGCGATCTAACATCCAAATTTTATTTTAACCAAGTGCTTTAAATATTTAAATATATCTCACGTTTATTAGCTGCTGAGGCTACGGTGTATATAATAAAAAGTCTTAATATCTTTTAATGTTTTCGGTTTGTAGTATAAATCTTTTTTCTATATAATAAATTTCTGGCAGTTAAACAAAACTTTTATTTTTTTCGCCGGTTTTACGAGGCAAATTCATATTTCGAACGTCTTATTTTATTTTAAAATTAAATTTCGCTGAATACGCGTACATTGGCATATTAATATAACGGTGATATTATTTTTCATTAGACACTGATTTAAAAATAACATTTTAAGCAGTCAACAACTACTAAAGCAATCAAGAAATATTTACATAATTAAGTAGATTATGTTATATTTGTGGTTCCCTGACTGCGTTGTCCCTTCTTTTGGCAAAACTGACTAGCATAATGTTTAGCATTAAGCTTTAGAAACCATAAAAAAATTGAAAAATTATGGAAACGGTCAGTTATAGCCATAGACTTTTTCAAAAACTCAATGTTAACCCTCCATGCAGAATAAAAAGTTACGATATGCTTGATTTCTTGTGAAAGAGGTAAAATTATTCAGACCTCTGTTGTTTATCATGGTTTTAAGTCATGTATGTGTTTCACTGGCGGTGTGAAAACGAAATCGACACACGAGCATAGTAAATTGTAGGGATAATTACTTACAACTACAATATAAATCTTCATATCCAAACATTCTTGTGCCCTTCTTCTTGGTAAAATGGTAAAAAACAAAGATAAACGACAATTTAAAAATTCAGTTTAATATGCTTCTCAGTTCATAGCTTTAAAAACATGCTATTATTCATGTTGTTTCAAGAAACATTCGCAAACGTTCACGGCAGTTAAAAATATGCAGGTTAATATTTTTGTAATTTTTGTTGTTTACTTTTAGTACAACTTTTCTGACCTTTATTTATTGGTTATAATAACCTTGATTTCAGGCATGCTGCCTATGAAAATAAGATTTTCGCATAGCCGTTTTTTTTTGTATCTGTATCTTGGAACATCCTGTATAAAATAATATGGTAAATGATATAATGTATGATATAGAAAAAATCGTGGATTATTTAAATATTCTAAAAATACCCTATTAAAAAAATATGGAAGAAGTAAGATGAAAGGGTTTTCTTTATTTACTGGATCTGATTGGAGAAATATCAGTATTTCAGAAATTATTATTCGTGTTTCAAAGTATTCGTGTCGATTACAATTCCCCAAATATATTCCTGATCCGGGAATTATTTCTTACCGCGTTCGTTTTTTTAAATTTTATTAATTGGTGCTTTTTGTTTTTTAAATATGACCGCCATCCGGTAACCGCATTGCTAACGATTATATTAAAAATCTCCAGGGGCTGTAAAAGCGAGCAAGACAGCAAATAATCCGTGCTTATTACTGTAGGAGACTTTGCATGAGCGCTGATTAAACAGGGTATTTCAGAATAAGATTGATCTTTAAATATATGAATCCTCAAGTGATTTTAAAAAGATAGGTTTGAATGTCTTAAATGGGCTTTTTAGGTTAACGTTAACAAAACTGAGTAAAATTGAATTTAAAGCCCTGAGCAAATTGGCGCTGCGTATAACTGTTTGCATACCGTGTCGTCACTGGTTTATAAAGAAAGTAAAACCAAAAAACTAATTTGTTTATAGGGCTTAAACAGAAACATTTTTATATATCAATTATGAAATTTGTGTAACAGTTTTTTTTTTATTTTAACCAGCAGCGTTCGTACAGGATATGAATTAGAACACTTTTGGCCAAAGTCCTATTATGGAGAATTTGAGTTCGCTATCTTTTTTATGCAGATTTTAAGAATAATCTCTACATCCGATATTTAATTATCCCTAAAAGATCCTAACTTCAAAAGCACGAGATAAGTGCCTGAATTTTTAAAAGGCGTTATAAATAATTCCGACATTGAAAATTGTGTAAGCCAGTAGGTATTTATAAATTTTACACCCTGTATATATACATATATATGTTGTAAGTATTAATGGTTAAACAATAATAACCTATTATTTTTTTAAAACCTATTTTACTTCATTTTATCATATTTTCATATATTATTAATATATTTTTTCGATATTTAATGGCATTTAATTGAATATTGTTAGATAACAAAAAATATTTTTTATTATGATAAGTTTCTAATATGAAAATGATTTTAATTTTTGTACATATTATAGTAATTACACGTGCACAAAAATATTATTTCCTGGTTTTAAAAATGCACTTTGTCCAACTCAGTTGAACGGCGAGCTTCAATAACGAACTTCACATTTGATTGATAATTGGTTGATTGATTGGTTGATTTGATTTGATTGATATATACAGGCATAGCCAACTATCATTACTCAGTAACAAAGTGTCGAATTTTTTGGATGCCGATGATCGCCAAATGGTTTCATTTCATTATATGGTGCGTTCTTTAACAATGGACGCATTAGAACAATCAAATCGATTTTTTATTTTAATAATGGTAACTACCATTCCCAGACGTCACAAGGTGTGGAGTTTTACAAATTCCATTGGAAATCTTTTTTTTAATGCATTTTATATTATTTTGTCTTGTCGAAGTCATGTTTTCTAACATTTCACAATGACTGTGACTATAAATAAGCCATAAAAGAATGATCCTTATTAATTAAAAAAGCTTTAAATCCTATAAAGCTTATATTCAAATAATTGCAATTTGGAGATTCTTTTTAATTATTCTGATAAAGAGTGTCACAAAAGAGTTTTTCAAAGTCGACTGGTGCAGTCTGTATATTCTAACGATCCTGCAACAAATGTTTTATTGATTATATGTAGTTAACACTTTCTCTTTCCTTTCAGAAACTTCAATGAAAGTTACAAATGGGGCCTGGTTTTTGGACGAGAAAATTATACTCCCGAAACATGACGTTGAAGGTATTGGTGAGAGTCATCCTACCGAATTTTGGTGGTAATGCCACCAGTTACTATTGAAAAACCATCAACACGGTATGGATATGAATGTATCGAATGTTACATTTGAAGCCACAGAGAGCGTGGTGGAAGATTGGTCATGCGGTGGGACGCTATTATACCTGGCAACAACATATGCAAACTATTATCACCCTTACTGCGTCATTATTGTTTGTGCAGTTGGTGTTGTTCTAAACACTTTAAATATTATAGTCTTGACACGAAAAGATATGGCAACCGCACCAATTAACAGACTGTTAACGGCGCTGGCGTGGGCGGATATGTTACTCATGATAGAATACATGCCATCTGCATGTTACTATCACATAGAATCTAAAGTAAAAGAATATCCGTACTGGGGTGCCGTCTACATATTGTTTCATATCCACTACACTCAAATTTTTCATACCATTTCGATTTGTTTAACGTTGTCGTTGGCTATTTGGAGATTTTTGGCAATAAGGTGAGTAACAACTACAATATTATTTTTATCTTGCCGGTGAATTTCCTTACCGTTGCCAATTGTAATTAAAATTATGTTTTTTATTTTTTTGGTATATTTAAAATTATTATAAGCAAATTAACAATTATTCGTATGCAATGAAATCTATTTAAACTGGAATGACAAAGGCCTGAAAAATTACGGAAAAAATGGGAACTGCTGTTTGTTCAAAAACTGTTTGTTTGTAAAAATGGGAGGACAAGGTGTTCTCCTTGTTTGATTACGTTATTTGCAGATATTTTTTTACTGAGATTATTTAAAAATTGATATTCGTTGATCAAAAAACATTTTCTTCCAATATTTATATAAAATAAAATTAAATATAATCTGTATTAATAAACCCTCCAAAAAAAGCTAATATTAATTATTTAATTAATTTATGATTAAGTTTGTTTAAAAAAAAATCAGAATATCATCACTGTTGTAAATATTACCGAAAATATCCGTTCGCTCCAAATCCGTACCTAAAATAATTATTCCTAATCCTAATTATTCAACCGCACAATAAATGCGGCAAACTTTTAATTATATATAGCCTCTGAGCACTTTTTTTTTAAACAATGACCCAATACATAACCGCGACTCTTCTTATCTTATTGAAAAATATTTGCTTTAGAATTTTTCGGTATTGGCTTCGCCCACTGCCTTAATTATGCAATTGTTAGCGAATGTTAATGACAAAAAACAAACCGTGTTCGGTTATATTGAAGCGCGATTGGCTAAAAGACATAAACACGGTAAAATAAATAAATGCATCGCCGACCTGCAAAGCAATTTGGCAGTATTCCATTTCGAAATTCGAAAACTCCATCTCTATATTGACTGGTTTCTATATCGTGAAATTTGGATTTTATAATTTTCGTGTAATTTGGGGACAATCTCGATTGCAATGTATATCTCCGTTTTATGCATACATATGTTTCTATGAAGGCATATAAAAATGCCAGTCTTCAATCCCTTTTTTTGTTTTAGTAAACCACCTCATAGAAAAAATATACTGGGTCTCCAAAAAGTATGGAAACGGTGAAATATCTCGAGAATTACACAATACTTGATAAAAAATAAAAAATGCCTTTAAATATTGTGTAATATAGCTTTAAAAATGTTAAACATGACTCCGCACCCCAACCCACTGATGCTAAGGAGGGAACAACTTTGAAATATTAAATGGAACCCCCTCATTTATTATAAAGTTTTTTGGGTTCATTTATACTTTTAATATATTATGTTCTTATATATACAGTAAGTTTGAATTTTCGGTACGAAGTAACAATCTTGAAAGTAAATAAATGCTTTATATTCGAAAATTCACATTGTCTGAGGTTGCGTATTTCAAAAAGTTGTACGCTTCGAAAAACTTGATACGGCTCTTACGTTTGCTATTAGTTGCCTCTGAAATCGAGCAGAACAGAAGAGTTTTCAAATTAATATTTAACCGCTTTACGGCGTTTAACTTAGTCGAAATAAAATGCACATAATTAATTCAGTAAGTTCAATTCTTTCAAATAATCAGAAAAACATCATCATATTTTTGAATTGAATGAGCGAGTACTTAATAAAAAAGTGACTTGTAGTATTGTGGTTTATTTGACACGAGCGGAGCGAGTGACTTAAAAAGTTTACCGAATGTGTTGCATACTATACTTTTTCTACGACAGAATTAATGAATGTCAAAATCCAAGGCGAGAGAAATATTTCCGAAAACATCCGATTGCTCCCAAACGCTTGCGGTAAAATCTCGAAAATGTCCAAAGTGGCTCGGATCCATGGGAAATAAAACTGACATGATAAAGTGACGCTTCCCGCATGCCAGATCTATGTGTAATTAGGTATTTAGTGTTGGGTACATTTTTGCAAAACAACACCAATACATTCACTGTCATGACCGTCAGAATTCAAAATTCAAGCCGTGGGAAATATCTCCGAAAACATGATTGCTTCCAAACTGTGCGGTAATATCCCGGAAATGTCCGAGATGGCTCAGATCCGTGGGAAACAAACTGACGTGATAAAACGACAATCTCCGCAAGCTAGATCTGTGTATAATTGGGCATTTTAAAGAAGGGAATAGAAAAAAGGTTTGTTTAAATAGGTCTCAGGTTTGATGGATTTACATTCAAGGTACTTTTACTATCAGGTTAATAATTTCTCAAGAAAAATAAAATTAAAATAACAGTTTTTCTACTCCCTTCTCCAAAATACCTAACCGACCGATGTCGGGTGAGGGACGTGTCATTTTATCACGTGAGTTTCTTGTCCCACGGATCCGAGCCAGTTCGGACTTTTCCGGCATATTACCGCACGGGTTTGGGAGCAATCGGATATTTTCGAAGATTTTACCGAAGACTTTTACTGACGGTCATGTCAGTGAATGTATTCATGTTGTTCCGCAAAAATGTAAACAAAAATCAACAGTCGCAGAAAAAGTATAGAATGCAACACTTTGCGAAACTTTTTAAGTCACTCGTTTATTAAGCACTCGCTCCGCTGAGCCCGGCTCGTATTAATTATTAATTATTTTTGTACATTTATGTATATTATGAATAGCTCAAAACAAAATGCGAAAGAAAGAATATATGAACTTCCATTTAGAAAATACGAGTTAATATCTCGAAAGTGTTAAAAAACTAAGTAATAATTTCATTAAGAATTATAAAAAATGCGGAAAATCTACCGGCGGCGACATATTTGCAAAGATGCATTTATCAACTCTGAAGTTATACAAACCCCAAGGGAATATGGGAACTTATGTGCAGCGTGGCCCGTTTAAAAGGAACTTTTTTGACATAACAAAAGTCCCACTTTTGGTCTCAGAGAGCTAAGTTCAGTAGCTAAGGGTGTCTCATTAAGGAAAATTGAGAAAAGTATAATATTTCAGAAAAATATTTTAAATTTGATTATTTCCTAAAGAAAAGCATTATTTTCGTAAAAATAATAGATGGAAAAAAGTTTAAAAAGTTAATAAGCAACCCAACAAATATGTCTTAACCATAACCCGATTTCTGAAGATGAACGTTCGAAACGGTGCATCACAGGCCCATACTCAAATATATCGTTGAATTTTTCTTATAAAAAAGTGATGATTAGGAAAATAAAACAAGGTTATTTTAATAGAAACAACTTTAGAATTTATTTATTGTTTGTAACCCCTGTAGGATTCGAGATAAGCCATTATTGTGATGGACTTTTGATCCGGAAGCGTAGGATGAAAAACCAATTCAAAATGGCATTCATATTGATGATTTCACAGTTTCCGCGCGAGACAGGATCTGGCAATGGGGAGAAAAATGTGAAGAACTAGTACCTACAAATTTATTAGAAATTTATAGCAATAGGAAGCCAGATTTCTTTTTACGTCGGATTCCAGTTGAAATGTTTTTGAAAATAGATATATCAACAATCTTAAAGTAGACATTGTTGTAGTTCCATTTTCAACTCTCAAATATTTATTTTTATTTCAACATGTTAGTACAAAATGGCATATGAGAGTCTATGGTAAAACAGCTCAGAAATTTGAGACACAAATATAGCATTCTTATTATTTAATTGATATTGCGATACCTAGATGGACAATATCAGCTAATGCGAATTTGTTTAGCAGCACTCAATTAATCTACGTTTAAAATATGCTATACGTTCTGTGCTTTCGGTAGATTTTAGCTATAGGATTTTGACGTTTGCAAACTATTAATAAACTCGTGACTAAAATGATGTTTATCAACCTTGTTGCATGGACTCTTATCTCAAAACGGGTAACCAATATAAAAACCTTATAGACAGTAGTTGTTTGGATTCACTGATCACTTTGAAATATTATATTCTTATATATCCGGGATGTTTGAAATTTCGTGGACAAGCAACAACTTTTATATTTTAAATAGAACGCCGCATATAATTTTGCATTTATATATCCTAACAAGTATATAGCATATTTAAAATAATTTTTAATTACAAAAATCGTTGAAAGTATTTTTTTTTAAATGGAAGCGCACCATTTTTATTATTAAAAAAGGGGGTATCAAACTTCTCCATTATAAAAAATTGTAGATTTCGAAATACCTGCAATAAAACCTTTTTTTTTATAAAAGTGCTTTACGCCAATTAATTGGTTAAAAAGATAATGGCGAAACATGGCAGTGAAGACACTACATTTGAACACTACAGGAACGGCACCTACTGTTTACTGTCGTTCGACATTTTTTCTATAAATCATATCATTCATGCGTTAATTAAGTTACAGAAATTATTTAAATTTATTTATTTTCGAAGAATGGAATAAATTTTTTTCAAAAATAATATTAAATAATATTATAGCATATCGACTATTTCTTCTGGTGGGTACATTTTATAACAATAGCATTTTACTCAAAATCAGTCGAAATTAAAATAAAATAACAATATCAATAGAATAAAAATACAATTTACTCCTGCGTCAGTTATTGCTGACGTTTTCAATTGCAATGAAGTTCCGAAGAAACCAAAAGGATAATCCTCGAAACATCAGCAAGCAGGAGGAATCCAGAAGATTTGTAAGTAGTATTGCAGTAGTCTGTATACATCACTAAGGTGGCACAAAACTGTTTCACATTAATTTACATACTCACAGGAAATCAAAATAGTGACGTCCGTCCGTGTAGTGCGTGATTGTATTTTTCGCCATGTTTCGCCATCATTTTTAAATTAGGGATTTTATTTGAAAAAGCTTCATTTTTTAGTTAAAGTTTTTAATGTGTTTAGTTATTTTAAAAATATTAATACAGATCACTGAAGTAGATCTTGTTTTAAAAGGAAATAAACTCGAAATATGTAACAAAAACAATAAGTCAGAGAAATTTAGATTTAGATCGGCAAATGTCACTTTTAGTATATTATTAAAAATATATCGAAAACAATAAGACTAAGATATAGGATATTGTATATAAAATATGTCAAGAATGTTCCGAAGAAATAGAAAATACCTT